CAACTGCCACAGCAATAATAATTACAAACCAATTAAAATCGTATTTACATATTGTCTTTGTCATAATGCAGTTGAAGATACAGATGCAAATACATGGCCTACAATCGAATGCGATTACACACACACACAAACACACATTTGTGGGTGCATCGCCGGGGAATCGGCAACAACAGCAAAAACAAACATGGCAACGACAACTGATTGACGGCAAACTGTCAATGGCACGAACAAAACTCAGCTGCAGACGCAAATGTTATGGCCACCCACAAAAACCACCCACTAAAACCACCCAGCGCCCACCAACTACACACAACCACACTCATAGGCAATTGCATTTGCCAGTTGCGGGTGTGTGTGTGTATCTGTGTGTGGGAATGAAAGATTAAGCAAATATTGCGGTAAATTCAATTTTCAATTCAACGCAATTGAATGAAAGCAAATCACTTGAGAAGCAAAAGGCGTGAACAAAATGCAACAATTTCCGAAGAAGATTTCGTTGTAAGAATCTGAGCTTTGGCCAAGAGATAATATTGAGCTTAAGTAACGAAAAGAGAGAATGATTCACCTGAAACCAAAAGCAACACGTGTAATATTCATAAATGTGTTAAAAACAAGTTTACTTAGCTCCACTAATTTCGTTTGACTAATAAACATCGAACACAAGCAATGGCTTCAAAACAGCCGGGAGCATTACATTAAAATGCTTTTTCCAACGATTTAAGCTCCAATTATGAAGTACTTAAAATTATTATTTTCGGTCAGAAATGATTCAACTGACTGCAAAGAGTTGAAACTGTAATTTCAAACGGTGTAGGCATTTGTCCGATGGACGAAGGAATGTCTTCATGCCTGTTTTCACCTATTAGTTCTGTGTGGGAGCCCAGTTATTAACGGTACTTCAGAGTTGCTGCTGGCAACCATTATTTGCCAATTGCATCTGCCCACATTTCTTAAACGCATTTCACTACACGTTCAGCACAAAAAAACACTGGGAGATGTAAAGAAAATTTTTGAACCTAATAAAAAATCACACATTTTAAAAAAATATTGTGAATCGAAATATTCTACTTGCATATTGGTAATGACTTTTAATATAGGAAATATTCCAGATACGATATTGAAAAAAATAGACTAGTTCTTTTTAAAGGGTTATAAGTTTGAGGTGTTTACTTTTTTATAACATTATTGCCCGTTAATCGATATTAAAAATATTAGTGGATTAAAAACATTACTCAGAAATAATTAAAATCAATAATAAATTACAAAATCAACTACATAGTTTTCTTTTTTCATTTATTTCGCAAAGTGAGTTCGGAATTCTTTTTCATTCGAGATTAGTTCATTTGAAGTAAGCCCCATGGATTAGTTTCTCCGAGTGCACACACCGACGCATCTGGTCCATTAGACTGGTCAGTTGGCCAGTTGACATCCGTCCTCACGAGTCTCGTTTCGCCTCCTTTGGCTAATGCGGCCACTGGGCAGTCAACTGGTTCGTCCATCTTCCATCTCGCTCTGGCACTCCGTGGATGGCACGGCTGTGTTGATTTTGCCCTTTGGCTGACACAGAATGTTGTTGACTTTGCATATTAAAACAAAATGAGAATGCAAAAGCGGGTAACAACAAAACGGGAACATTGTTCAAAGATGCGAAGGAAGGATAGCTGGGTTGCGAGGGCACTTATAAGGCTACTTTTTCATTTGTGACGCCCACGTTAAACTTTAATTAATTATATTCAGTTTGTTTGGCAAATTAAAAATTGTTGACTTTCACAGAATCGCAGAATGATGACGAGGACGATGGAGGGTAACCGGAAAATGAGGTTGGGGGGGGAATTTTAATTAGGCAACCCCACACACACACCACACAAACACAGAAATACACACAAACACACTGTGAAAGGTTGCGTAAGAGGCTTAAAGTGCGAGAATGGAACAAAAACGGCTGGCAAAATGTGAAATGCTGTCGAGTGTGACGTCCAATAAGAATTAGTGGCCAACAGGAGCATCAAAAAGAGTCAGTTGTTGCTGTTTTTCGTTATTGCCATTGATTGACACGAAAAGCGGCCACGCTTTCAGGTGTGTTACTGTTTGTGTGTGTGTGTTTGTGTATTTCACGGATCCGCAATTTTTGGTCCGGACATGGAGAAATCGGGTGAAAGGGCCAGGGCGTTGAGAACCTGCTTTTCAGTGGCTGATGGAAGAGATGGTGATGGAGGACGGTTACAGCGTGGCCATCCACGCTAATTGGAGCACGTCGCAGAACACTTCTGCACTGGGAAAAATGTCTTACATGAATGGCAACATGAGCAGAGTAGCAAATTGTTTCTAATTTTACAGCTTCTACTGTTTTAGAGTTAAATACTAATCGTACCCCTATATAGCACTAAAAATTATTAGCTATTATCTATCTAGGATCATTTTTTTTTCGTTTTATTTAAGCATAAAATATTTTTTTTTACATTTTTTAAAGATATATTTCAAGTTTGTATTGTATCGAGTGAATTTCTTATGCATAATTGTTTGGAAAATTTAACAACTTGAAGAACGAACTCTTTCCCGATATAAAATATCACATTTTCTGAAAAATTTTTTTCAGTGCACACCTACACAGTCGCAGGTGGAAACGAAGAAATGCACTTAATTGGAATACGACGAGGAGGGCAGCCAAAGTGCGTCGCGATTGCTCTATGATTAATTAGTGGCCACAGGAGAGGTAACGGGCAATGCAGAGGAGAACTGGAGTGAGAAAACCGAAACTGTCCCGGGAAATGATTGATACAATTTGGAAACTCCCTTGCCCGTTGAAGAGAAATTGACAGGAATCAATTTAAAAGCAGTTAAGTTCAAGTTTTTTTCTTCCTCTTTCCACTCAATGCTTAAGAAAACAAGTTTTGAGTTTAAAATATCGATTGGTTTCTTTAACGAGCTCAGTTCCTTTTGAGGCTGGAAATGTGGATTATGTTCCGTGTAACTCGAACAGCTGTTGGCTGATTTTTACCAGCGAAACCAAGTGACATCCAAAGAGAATATCCCCCCGCCAAACTCAGTATTTCTTGACGTTTGCCGCGGGCTTCGTCTTACGCATAATTAGCCGGCGTAAGTAAACTCCTTAAGCTACAGTTAAAAGCCATAAAACTTGCGCGCATCGTTTGCTGTCATGTTAAATTCATAATTTCAATTTGAAATTGTTATTACAGCCGTTGTTGTTTTGCCATCCCTCTGTCGGGCCCCATCATCCCATCTTAATATCCCCTTCACGTTCCTCGCCTGATTATTATTGACAGTTGCCGACGTCTTCTGTTCCGTTCTGTTGTTTTAGTTGTCTGACACACCCTATCCTGCTCATTTTAGTCTCATAAATATGCAAATTAATCATTTGCGGAAATTTACATACTTAATAAGTCGCTTTAATTAAATGTTCACGCACGCATGCCTTGCAATCTTGCCCCCGAGAATCGGACGAAATCGGCGTAATCCTTTTTTCCACATTAATGCCAGTTTGTTAATTGTGATGCAGCTAAAAAATCCGTCTCTGTAGCTCTTGAAATCGACTCGATTCCGAAAGGGGGAATGCGAAAAACTCGGTTCTTGGCAACTGTTTCGCATATTCCGGGACACAGTCACGTTTTATTCAAAGCAGCAGTGGTGGCAACAGCACAAAAACAGTTTATCTGCCGAAAACAGCAAACGAAAAATTAAAAAAAAAAAGAAAAAACATGGAACGATGAGCACAGAAATCTTTTTTATGTGTTCAACGAAAAATTCTCCCAAAAATGAAAATGAGCACCAGGCCCAGTAGCATTAAAAAAAAAAAAAAAAAGTATGCAAACTGAGAGGCGCAGCGAACATAAATTAACATTTTTATGCCCCGCTGCAATGGACCAACAAGAAGTTGGCTCACAAAACTGCCGGGAAGTGGGTGGCCTTTCAGTGGGTGGTGAGGCCTACGAGAGTCCTTTCTAATGCCCGCATTATTTACGAGGAAGCTGAGGGCCCATTCACATCTCTCCATTTCATTTCATTTCTGTTCTGTTCGTTTCGTTTCCATTTCGCTTCGTTTCCATTTCGCCTCGCCGCATTCTTTGCCATTTGCCTTTGACGCCACAAATAATTTTAATTGGTTTTCCTTTTTGGGGAGACCCACGACCCCAGATGGTAATGACTTTATTTCTATATATTATGTATTCAGTGAGTTTGAAAACCATAAGACCATAACTTGTAATCGACAAAGTTTTGGTCATGAACAAGCAAAAATATCAACAAAAGTGGTCATCAATTTTGTATCACTTCAAATTAAGTCGAGCGGTTCGACAGTAAATCAAACCCAAAAAAGATGGCTTTGTTTTTGCAACCTTTTTCTATTAAGCAGGTTCTAAATGTAAAGTTACATTAGCACGTAATGCATATAAAACTCTTCGAAAATCTTAGATGAATACTTAAAAAGCTTTCAAAAAAAATTATAAGGATTGTTTTTATCTTCTTTTTAGCATTGTCAACGAGATTTGATTAGCTATGTACCGTCATAAGTTTTCTCTCATCCAGATAGTGTATAAAACATTTCTTCTTTAGTCCATTTTCCATTTATTCACATTAATAAAGTTTGCAAGTGTGTTTGTGTTCAGCCGCAATTGCAATTTGATTTGCCTAAATTTGCATAAATGCTTGTGTGTTGTTTTTGGGTCTGCACCTGCAACTTTTGGTTTTGATGAATGGGGAAGCAGTTTATATCAGATAAAAGGTGGGGAAGACCATCCACAGCAAATATGTGGTTTTGCGCTTTCATCCAAGTTATATAATTGTCAAAATCAGCATATGATTTTTATTATTATGGGCTAAAAACACTTTTAATGCATACATTTTTATCATAACCCTTAACGTTAGATAAATAAAAATAAGAGGTAATTTCAAATGGCTTAAAAATCATAGCATTTTGCCAACATTCACCAATCAAAATTGCATATTTGTAGCATAGTTTTTTGGGCATTTAATTTTTTACTCACCTTTGTTCGCTGCAAGTTTCACTTTTGCTTTCGTACTTTCTCCACCACTCTCTCTCTCTCTCTTTCGCTCTTATTCTTTCTCTCTCTATCTCTTTGGCTCTCCTTTTTTTCACTCACTCGGACAGCTTAGCAAGCCATTGTCTTAGTTGTAGCTGCTATTCTTGTTGTTTTTGTTGTCATTCCGAAGTCAGCGACACACACGCACACACACTGCCACACACGCACGCATAACGGTTGTGGGAGAGGGACGGCGAACAAGCGGGCGAATTCATTAGGCATGCGGGAATTTTAATTTCACTTGCTCACACGCGCGCACATATGTGGCGACATATTTCTCAAACATTTTCGTTAGTTGATGTTGTTGTTGTTCTTATACTTGTTGTTGTCGGTGCTCCCGTAGATGTTGTTTTTGCTGTTGTTGCTGGGCATCCTTTGGCCTTTGTTTTTGCCCGTGCGGCGCTTTTCAATTTGCATGTCGCGCTGACCTTGCCGCCAAGTGGAAATAACTGTGCCAGCACACACGCACACACACGTACACTCCCGCTGACAGCTGTCAAAAATTGCGGATGGCGAATAGCGGATGTCGGATGCGAATGCGAAATGCGGATTTTACAGCCGAATGGGGAACAAGTAGATGCCGACGTTATGCGGCTGCCGGCAAGGATAACGGGACCAGGCCTTCAGAATCTCCATTTTTGCAAAAAACTAGAGAGTTTAATGTTCAGTCAAGTGCGTGAGTGAGACAGAGTGCTTCTCACTCCCCTGCTTCCTCTGCCCCTCGCACTCCCCGCTCCTCTACGCTTATTTATCTTTTTCCCGTTGCCTTTGTTCTACGCTCTCCGTGCGTGCGTCTGTGTGTGTGATGACAAATTTCTGTCATTGTCTGTGTGCAGCAGCAGGGGCAGCAACAAAAAAAACCAAGAGGAATCGCCAAGGAGCTCTTCCAGTTTCAGTTTTCCTTGTTTTTTATATCTTTTTTGGAAATTAGATGCTGCTGTCGCAAGTCCTTGTTGTTGCTTTAATTTGCATAATAAACGTAGATTTCCGAAAATCGAGATGAAAACCCGGATAACACGTGGCCAGAAATGCGCTGATTTGTTTCTGGCCCCGCAAAAAGCAGCTGGCTGGATAGGTGAAAGTCCAGCGGCTATAATTTTTTTCTCGCACAAATTCACATTAATGGCACATGCAATTTTCCCCTACATTTGGCACCTAGCGAACAGCTTTCTCCCGTTTTGTACCGTTATACCGTTTTTGCACCGTTATACCGCCGCGTTGTGTTCACAGGACCGCACAAGCTCAGACTGAAGCGACGAAGTGAAGCTGCGTGAGCGGCAGGATGCTTTCACGCTTTATTACCAAAAAAAAAGAAAAATTCCTTTATCCTTGCGTTTGCTCGCGCGCACAGCATTCTCTTGTGTAGACTTTTGCTACTCTCTTTTTACTCTCTCGTGCAGGCGCTTTCCAGCCCCCCCGCCACCCACTTTCCTATGCCATCCCCCACGTCCCCAACAATGAAACGCTCGAAACTCTCCAAAATGAACAGACCGTTTTAATAACTCGGCCAACCAGAGGTGCCATATTTTGAAAGTGTTCCGGAAAACCTTTAATGGTCAAATCCGCCTTAAAAAGACCTTACAAATTGTATGACTTTTTATGGTGTAAAAAAACAGTTTTGTATTAATATATTACATTTATTTATGCATTTATATATGCATTTATATATATATGTATATGTATATTAAAATCAAAGCATTATTTTCAGACTTTATTCGTATTAATCTAATGCCTTAAATTGGGGATTCGAGTATTAAAAACCTCATTCATTGTAAGCCCAAGATAACCATTGCTTTCTTGAACAAGTGTGTCTATTAAAGTTAACTATACAGCATCATCTGCTATCGCTAAATATATTTTATTAGTTTTTTTTTTAAATATGAATTACTTAAATATCGAAACAGAACATCAACACAACATTAAAAAATTAACCGCTTTCAAAAGCTACTTGTTATGAGATTCGATTTAATCGCATTCCATTGGTATAAAATCCAAATTACTAGTTTTTCCTTATAAAAATTTACGTTTCGGATTGCAAATCAAAAATGTTTTTTGTCCATTTTTTTTTCTTGTATTAATTAAAGAATCGAAGTCCTAATTAATATTTTACTAAGTGGAAGACAAGTTGTTTGCGGCAAATTTAAGGAAAACCAACTTCTGTTAATCAGAAATGTTAAGATAACATTGGCGAGTTCCGCTGTTACTCTGAGAAAAAACCATGAATTTATCATTCCGTTGGAGAATTGGATTATCTAAGTTTCCAACTTCGATCCCGGACACGCACCTTCTTCCGGGGCTGAAACCGTGGATTTTTTAGGATATCGGGCTGAGGCTAGAGCGTTGCGGACGAGAAATCCCACATCTGTCAGGCACCATCTTGTGAAAAAACGAGTGCGGAGAGGAGTTGGTGTAGGATTTGTACAATTATTTCTGCGGCGAAAAGTTAAAAAGCGTTCAAAATGTCGATTATCTCCGCCCGCCTGGCGTCCTCGGTCGCCCGCAACCTGCCCAAGGCTGCCACCCAGGTATTAACCACTAAATTCTGTACAAAAAGATGTCCGAAAAAAGTTGGCGAAAAAGGTGTCATAACCGAATCGATGGGGTATTTGCGAAAATTAAGTGCATCGTGTGCTTCAAAGTCTTGACCGGCAAATTAATAAAGGTCTTGTGGACCCATAGGAATTACTTAATTTGGATTTTCCAGCCTTTTGGCCCAGAAATTTGTGTTACGCAATGCGGCAAACTACTAAGCGGCCGCTGAAATTTGTGAGGTGTCTGTGTTACATAATCAATGCGAACTAAGAACTGACCAAAAAAATAAATTATTTTAGTTATTTAGCGTGTAATATCTAGTGAAAAACGTTAATTACCCTTTGTTTTTATAGTCAGATTACATAATTATTAAGTTCGTGGAGATGCGGTGGAAGAGTAGTTTGAGGTTATGTATTTCTGTCAAGCAAGTGGTGAAGGTGTATAAACGCTATGTCCGGATGCACCGACTAGACAATACCCTGTAAAATTGGGTTTTATTAAATGAAGCCATAGGTGGGGTTTCGTATGTTGTTACTTTGTGTCTATCCAACGTGATCTGCACCTTACATAATCTACAATTACACATAATAATAATGGAATATTATTTATCAATTTACAGGTTGCCTGCAAAGCCGCCTATCCCGCCGCCAGTCTTGCTGCTCGCAAGTTCCATGTGGCCAGCTCTCAGCGCAGCGCCGAGATCTCCAACATCTTGGAGGAGCGCATCCTGGGTGTCGCCCCCAAGGCTGATCTGGAGGAGACCGGCCGTGTGCTGAGCATCGGTGACGGTATCGCCCGTGTCTATGGTCTGAACAACATCCAGGCCGATGAGATGGTGGAATTCTCCTCGGGTCTGAAGGGTATGGCCCTGAACTTGGAGCCCGACAACGTCGGTGTGGTCGTCTTCGGTAACGACAAGCTGATCAAGCAGGGCGATATCGTCAAGCGTACCGGTGCCATCGTGGATGTGCCCGTCGGTGATGAGCTGCTGGGTCGCGTCGTCGACGCTCTGGGTAACGCCATTGACGGCAAGGGTGCCATCAACACCAAGGACCGTTTCCGTGTCGGCATCAAGGCCCCCGGCATCATCCCCCGTGTGTCCGTGAGGGAGCCTATGCAGACCGGTATCAAGGCCGTCGACTCGCTGGTGCCCATCGGCCGTGGTCAGCGTGAGCTGATCATTGGCGATCGTCAGACTGGGTAAGTCCACGTGAAAAGTAAAGAAATTGATAAGGTTATCATCGTTAAAAACAATTCAAATGAATCTTAAATAAATAAATAAATTGATAGTATTAGTTTTAATCATTTTAAATTTATACTAATGTATTTCTAACCAACCAATTTTATTTCCTACTTGCAGTAAGACCGCTCTGGCCATCGATACCATCATCAACCAGAAGCGTTTTAACGAGGCCCAGGACGAGTCGAAGAAGCTGTACTGCATCTACGTCGCCATTGGCCAGAAGCGTTCCACTGTCGCCCAGATCGTGAAGCGTCTGACCGACTCCGGCGCCATGGGATACTCCGTTATTGTGTCTGCCACCGCCTCCGATGCTGCTCCCCTGCAGTACCTGGCTCCCTACTCTGGATGCGCCATGGGCGAGTACTTCCGCGACAAGGGCAAGCACGCCCTGATCATCTACGATGATTTGTCCAAGCAGGCCGTGGCCTACCGTCAGATGTCCCTGCTGCTGCGTCGTCCCCCAGGTCGTGAGGCCTACCCCGGCGATGTGTTCTACCTGCATTCGCGTCTGCTTGAGCGTGCCGCTAAGATGTCCCCTGCCATGGGAGGTGGCTCCCTGACTGCCCTGCCCGTGATCGAGACCCAGGCTGGAGATGTGTCCGCCTACATTCCAACCAACGTCATCTCGATTACCGATGGACAGATCTTCTTGGAGACCGAGTTGTTCTACAAGGGTATCCGCCCTGCCATCAACGTCGGTCTGTCCGTGTCCCGTGTGGGTTCCGCTGCCCAGACCAAGGCCATGAAGCAGGTCGCCGGTTCCATGAAGCTGGAGTTGGCCCAGTACCGTGAGGTCGCAGCCTTCGCCCAGTTCGGTTCCGATTTGGATGCCGCCACCCAGCAGCTGCTGAACCGTGGTGTGCGCCTTACTGAGCTGCTCAAGCAGGGTCAGTACGTGCCCATGGCCATTGAGGATCAGGTGCGTAAAATATATCATAAATGTCGGATATGCAAATGATTTCCGATACAATTATTTTTACAAAAATGGGAACGGAGTTATCAGACATTTTCAAAATCCTTAAGTTGTAAGTCAAACATCTAATGCTTTTCGAAATCTCCCAGGTCGCCGTCATCTACTGTGGTGTGCGCGGTCATCTGGACAAGATGGATCCCGCCAAGATCACCAAGTTCGAGAAGGAGTTCTTGCAGCACATCAAGACCTCCGAGCAGGCTCTGCTCGACACAATCGCCAAGGATGGTGCTATCTCCGAGGCGTCCGATGCCAAGCTGAAGGACGTCGTTTCCAAGTTCATGTCCACCTTCCAGGGTTAAGCATCGACAGAACGAAGAAAAATTGGAGCAGCCGCGTGCAATGAACATCTTAGATGGTTCGAATAATGCTGCCATCTCAGCGCGCCAACAACAAAAAAAAATAACAACTTAAAGCTTAAGATAAAAAGAAATTACACAAAAAACAAGAGAAAACTCCTTTGCACATTCATGTTTTCCTACGTGTCCTGCCAGGATAGCTTCTATTCCGTGGCTCTGCGTCATCATGCCGCAAAATCTTGGGAGAGAGAGAGCAGGCGCAGGCGATGGAATGGTCTGCGTGTCCTAGCCGGATCCAGTTTCGAGTTTCAGCGAAATGTCCGTACGGTTCCTTCACCTTCTAAACGATAGATAATCCCTGTTGTTCTTCTACACATAAAAATTAATCAATATTTGAAATATTGTAATCGAGAATAGTCGAAATAATGTCTGAGGATGATTGTGAAACGATGATGAATTAAAAACGATACTAAATTATACTCTACATGCACTAGATGTTTCTTCATTGCTGGGAAGTCATTATCTTTTGTTGATAAATACATTTTTTTTGTTTTCAATAAATTTCTCTTTTAATTTTAACTTGCTAGGGGTTTTTTTGGGATACTTCGTTTTAAAAATGCGGGAAACGTTTTTTTTTTTTAAGTTAAGACCAAACTGCTTTTTGTTATGAAAGCTGCTTGCCAGCGCCTTATCTTTATATATTTGTAGATCGAGCTGTATAACTAAATCGGTCTGCCATATCACGGATGGCACAAGGTCATATTATACTACTCTGAGGACCAAAATCACCAAGTTTTTGGCACATTTACAAATAAATTTTCTTAAGTTAGTCATAATCCTGTTTATAATGAACATCCCGACCGGGTTTCAGAACTAATCTTTGTCCCTTCGCTCAGCTGATCCGCCAGCCGAGGGACAGATGTCATCTCTCTCTGGTCCTTTTGCGTAACCCCCTGACCCCTGTGCGAATTAGTTACCCCCGCTGAGCTACCTGAACGACTAGCTGCACTCCAAGCAGCAGGATTAAGTAAAGGACTTGGTGGTTAAGAATGCTTCGTGCTGTGCATATTTCGTTAACAGTAAGCCAGAAACGACAGCAAGAAATTCCCAAAGTACAAAAAAAAAGCGGCCCAAGACCCAAAAACTGTAAACCCGATTTATACAGCCTAAAGTTTTTATGACGCCCATTGCCACTGGCAGCCAACATAAAATATGCCAAAAGTGAGGAACAGGGGGACGCCAAGAAAAATTACTTTCTTTTTATTACATTTGTTTGACCGTAAACAAAAATTAATGAGAGCCATAAAACCGTCAAACTTAAATTTTGAACAGGCGCACAGCAAACGCAGCAGGCCAAATACAGTGCAACCTCTAAATAACGAAAACAGAATACATTTGGAATTTCATAAACTCAAAAAAATAAATGCAGAGGTCAGTTATATCCAACAACTCATAAGTTAGGTATAAACATTTAAAATAAAATTCAAATCTGGGAATAACTAAAGATAAAACAAGAGGAAGTGAAAGGCAAATTATTGTCAAATTTAGCATTTTCATTTAGTTAATACTCATATTTATTTTCCTTATTAAGTAAACACTGTAGAAGAAAAAGTAAGATAGATACCCATACAAACTCAAGCCAGACAGTCACACATACATCCACGTGCGAGCAATGTGCTCGGCAATTACCGTTGCCCATGGAACAGGGCGTTCAAAATCCAAAAGAGAAGCGTGAAATTCGGAAGAAGTTAGGAGAGAGGCGGAAGAAAAGTAACTGACCTGCGATCGGGAAGGTGACCTTCCCCGAGGGTGCCGGTTATATACATATGTGTGTTGGATATATCAATGTGTTTTCTGTGTATTCAGGATTGATAAGAATGCAGGACAAAGGAACTTTGTCCTTCAGAAAAGGTCTGCGTGTGTCTGGTCCCAGATTTTTTTTAGGGTGCGGACAAATTCTCACACTCATCAGCTGTCAAAGCGAAATAGCGATAGCAAACTCAACTTTAAACCAGTAGAACAATGTGCAACACACAAATAATTAAATAATGTTCTAGTAGAAATAATAAAGACCCATAATGAAAATGCAATTTAATGTTCCAAAAAAAAAAAGAGTTAAAACACTTCGAATAAAATTACACAATTCTTTATTTGCTATGTATTGTTCAGAGATATTTTTATAAACATCAATGTTGGTTAAAAGTTTGTATTTGCTTATTTCAAAGTAAACAATAAAACTAGCGTAGGGGCTTTTGTATGAATTTGTTGAATACATGGTATAAATTACAAATAAACTAAGTCTCATGGGAGGTTTGGAAACATTTTTGCACAAGTTTTTCGGATTTATTCGTAATGCACAGAACGACAAATTTCCCATCAAATTTTAAAACTAATTACAAATACAAATAGTAATAGTGGTGAAATGGTTCCACGCGTATAAATGTTTATAAAATATAGTTCTTGGAGAGACAACGCCGATGTGTTCGGCCAGCAAATGAACTCGTTGCCCACTCTCTCTCGGTGTCCACCGCTCGCCACTCGCTCCTCACTGAGAAGTTGGACCCAGCGGGAGGAGCAGGCGGGCTTCAGTTTGGTCCGGGTTTTTTTTTCTGTTTTCCCGGAGGAACTCACTACCAGCGGCCAACTCGCCGGCAACATTTGCTCCAGGGGCAAAGAAGCCGGAGCCAGCTCTTGGCAGCGGGCAAAAACTGCTCAAGGGACTCCAGCAGATTACGATGTCTAATTATGATTATCATAACGATGATGACGATGGTTGGAATTATGCGACCACGGTTTTTATACGCATTTTAAAACGAACACGAAACGAACAGAATATGGAATACGCTACAAATTTAAAAAATGAAAACAAATTAAACTAAACTAAATAAATCTGGTCTTTCAATCCGCCCTGTCCCCGACTACTTCCGTTGGCTCTGGCTCACAATGGAGTCCATCAGGGCTCCAGTCAGCTCCGCTCGCAGCGCGATCTTTTGGAACTTGCTGCCCTGGTACTTGTTGTAGACGGCCTTCAGCTTGGCCTGGGGAGCATCACGGGCCAACTTCGCAATCAGTCGGGTGATTGGTCGCAAATGAGCGGCTGAGTAGCGCGAGTAGAAGGTCAGAGTGGGTGTCCAGTGGCGATCATTAAATCCCGTGCCAGCCCGGTAATTTCCGTTCAACAAGTGCAGCGAAAGGAACAACGAGGCAGCTGCAATCTGTAAGGAGAGAGTAAATCGTACACATTTTTTATAGAAATAAAATATAAAATATAATATTTTTAACATCACTTTCGTTATAACCCACCTCTGATGGCCTGTAGTTGGCCATTTCGTAGTCCACAGAAGCGAGCTCGATGAAGTACTTCGACATGGCATGGTGCTCGTCCTCGGCGCCGGCAGCCTTCGAGTAGCGCCGCAGGAAGTGAATCGGCAGCGGACGGGACAGGTTACAGTCGATCGCCTTAAAGATCTGCAGCTCCATCTGGCGGATCTGCCTGGCTGTGTAGGTGTCATCAGTGATGAAAACAAAGTCCCCGATGGCGGGAGGGAACAGCTCCTCGTACTTGGTGGCAATAAAAAGAGCTGTTACCCCCACCAATTGCAAGTAGGTGCGCTTGGTGTCTTTGACCACTTGCAAATAACGGTCGATGATGGCCACTGCCAGCTGGAAGGTCTCTGCAGCGAGGTGGAACTGCAGGTGGACCTCGTTGATCCAATCGATCAGCACAGCTCGCATCTTGTGGGACACCTCCTTCTGACCGGCCAAGTGGTCTTTGTGGATGGGTTGCTGCTGCTCCACCTGGTACAAATAGTCGTAGATATCGTTCACATATTCGGAGACCAGAACCAGGTTCTCCTTGTCGTTGGCATCGATATCTTCGATTCCAGCCAAGCGCTTGCTCGAAAGCGACATGGTGGTTGGCAACGAAGAGGTGGTTGTAGTGACAACACTGCTGGTTTTAATCAGTGGCATCCTGAGCACATCTTTCTTGGCTTCGGGCACCTCCTTCTTGACTTCCGGCACGTCCTTCTTGACCTCCACCTCTTTACGGACCACTGGCTCCCGACGAATGCCGGAAACTCCCATCACGGGTTTAGCCAATGCGGCTCTCAACTTGGTAAGCGATTTCTTGGACAGATTGCTGTCCTCGCGTTTGAGAGTAGGTTCGTTAACATTCTCGTTGGAACTCGGTTTGGCTGTAACTGGGGATGTAAATAAAAAGGTAAAACTACTGATACTAAAGGGAACTACTGTCAACTAAAAACCTATAATATCCTTTTAGTATATACAATGTATTAAGTTATTCGGGTTATGGACTGGACTACTTACGCTTGGTGGGTTCAACAGTCGTCTTGGTAGGAACGCGATTGCGTACCGAATTCGAGCGCAAAAAGGCCGACACGCCCCCCTCATTCGCCTTGGGCGGTGCGGCGTTATTGCCATTTGTGGTGGTTCCCAGGACCTGTTTCTTCCAGTGAGTGTCCACTCGAGCCTTGGCATTGCGCAGGGCGTCTGTGAGCTTAAGATCCTTGGATCTGCCACAAAAAATTCGAATGTATAGGTGATGAAGTCATACAAATTACTACGTATTTACTCTTTCTGCGCTGCATCCTTCGCAGCAACGGCGCGGTTTATGCCGCGATTTTGCAAATCTCCTAAAGCAGCGCGTTTTGTTGTTACCTCCTGCGAAGGCACCGTCAATTTTTTCAGTTGCACTTGCTTGAAATTCTCCGAAGCGTTCTGAAAAGGAAAGTGATTAACAAAAAATATGTGAAGTCAGAAATAATAATTTTTTTTATTTTATTAAGAAGTGTATTGAATATACTATGATACTTGGTTCCCAAGTATCCTTAATACATAAATATTTTATTGTTCATTTGTACTCAGGACAAGTTGACTATCATGAAATGCAGTTTTTCCGCAGCGGCCATTTTATAAAAGGAACCGTAAGGTTTATCTTCTTTATAGACATATCCTCTGTGATTTTGCCAATCAAAGAGTGGAACGCAATAATTAGCTGTGCAAGTACCGCAAATTAAAATTGCGCCAAAATGTGACTAAATTACAATAACAACACGAAGGCGCAGGACAAACGGCACATTTTCACCCCCTCTTTCACACGCTCTCTTCGTTTCCACTCTCTCTCTCTCTCCTCTTCCCCTTTGCAGCACTATTCTTGCCCACGCTGCAATGGCGTCTCCTAGAACCCGCTACTTTTAGACTTATGCGATCAACTAACGATTTATACTTAATATATTTACTATTTGGGGAACTTACCTCGTCACCGCGCATTTTCAGTGTCGTGCCCACCATTTTGATTATTTTTTTATATCTATACAAACACAAGTAACACAAAGATCGGCAGACGCTTGGCTCTTATATCTCTTTTTCGACTTTTGGATCGCGTGTTTTTTTAACTGAACGCGGCTTTAGTTTAGAAATATAATTTGTTGTCCGAATAGTTGATGAATAGTAATATACAATTTGTAAGTCGAATGTTGCTGAGATTCGAGCGAAAACTCCACGAAACTCTGATCGAGCCGAAGCGAAAATGCAGTTTGAATTTGAATTGAGTTTAGTATGGCTGTAGACACGAAAATGTCAAAAAGATATCAAATTATCGATATTCTTATTGCGATATTTTTGGGCTAATTATCGTATATCGGTGTTATTTGAATGATAGGCTGGAGGGTTTTCCCGCTAGAGTGCGCTTTTTTGAATCTAGCTAACAGATACCTTACATTCGACAACATTGTTTCAAACGAGTAAACCTTAAAATAAAATGAAAACTTCTTATCAAATAAACAGCGATTTTAGTTACAGTAATACCCAAGAAACACGTTTTATCCGATTTTTTATACTAAATCTATGCCAAACTAAGTTTTTTTAAGAGTGCAACTACTTTGTAAGTGTGACCGCAGTTTATATACATATATATTAAATACCATTTCTGACCTATCGCCTATCGATAATATTCAACAAAAAAGTGCTGCCCATAAAATTAAAAATTTGAATATTATATAAAATTCTCCTAACGGTAAATTAACCACATGTTAACATTTGTTGCCGTTAAAACCATTTCTGTTTAAAGAAAATATCTTTCTTTGTTATGCATTATACAGTTTTTTTCAACTCCTAGATTTCTAATGTTTTTCCGTTTTAATTAAGGCATCGCATTGACTGACACTCCGTCACTTGGGCGTTGCAACAGCCATTGATTGCATCAATTAAAAGTTGATCACTTCAATTGGCTGTGTTCGGTTTGTTTTTGTGCTCCTCTGATTTGCATTCGCTGATTTAAGATTTCCTGCTGCCACAGGCCGCAGAACATCGAAACTCCACGGCGGAAATGCAGCATAATTCTTACCTCTCCTCAGCCTTTTTTTGCTGATGATCAGTGTCAAGTTTTCGTCTGCTCCATCATTTTCAAGCACTTGACCACAAAACAATCGCCTCAGATTTTTGCTTCTGTTTTTTTGTTTGTTTCAGTAAACTCTTTTTTTTTGTGGCCCTTTGCTCCGTCTTAACGGTTGGAGCATTCTTCTTCTCTTCTTCCGGCGCTCCGGCTCATTAGCATATATTTATGAGTTTGTTGGTGCTCAGTTTGCGAACTCCAGCCGAAAACGCCAAGTTGAGCGAGAACGAAGCGCCAACCGACGATCGTGTGTTCAAGTTTTCCGTGATTTTCACATTTCATTCGCAAAAGTGCCGCCGTCGCGAGTGGTTGCCTCGCTCTCTCTCTTTCCATCTCTTTCGGCACCACGCTAGCCGTCTCTTTCGCCGCCAGAAAAGTCCTTCGATCGATCCAACGCGCATTGACCTCCACTAAATCATTTAAAATACCCCAAAACGCTCAGATTTCGGAGTGATTTAGTGATTTGCATGTCGCTGCGATATAGAGTTAAATAAATATAAAACTCATTTCGGCTATGGACATAAACCAGAAGATCGTTATGCTCCAGAGCCGATGATCTATATGCCGTGTGTGTTTGTTGCTGGCTGCTTAATTGTGCGCTGGCGTTTAAATAAAAATAAGTGCGTTTAAATGTGAAAACAAAAGACTGGCATTATATATTGGCAATCCAGAACGGCAGACGTCTGTTCTCGGCCAATAAAATCACTATTTCAAGCACCATTTCGGCTTATCTCGAGTGTCGATCAATAAGGAAGAACTTAGGCAACAAACTGAAGTAGTGAACTAAAAAAGGCAAAAAAAAATAAGATAGAGTGCGAAAAGTGGCCCACAACAAATGACTCGTAATGCAATGTCTGGGCAATTAATTAGTGCATAAACAGTTAAATTCACCGCCGTAAAAGTTGGAGCCGCACCGCACACACACACACACACACGCACACGAACGTGCCTTCACTTTTCTCCCGAGAAATCGGAGCTCTAAGTTTTCCACCCTCGATTTTCGCAGCTGGAAAATGTAACTCGGAGCACCACAAATTATGACGCAAAATACCAAAATCGGACTGCAGCCCGAGGAATAATATATTTGCAATTTATGCAACAATCGTCGCCTGGCTGTTGCAGCAACAAAGAGTGATTAGTGTACTCGAAGCATTACAATAGTTACACAGCTTACAAGTCCCTGGAAAAAGCAAAGAAAAAAACAAAAACAAATAGCCGTCCTCATCAACGCATCGTTATGACTGTCTCAGCAATTGGATCTAATCGGCACCGTCGTTTGGCTTTAATTGTTTTGACCACCTTGTGGCTGCTAATCGATGCCACCCCCTCCTCGAATCCAAAATCCGTCAGCATTGAGTTGCGTCGCAAGAGGAGCTTGCACTATAATGGCATTGAGGTGAGTCGACTCCCGATATCAATCAATGGCGGAGCATTGTCAAGTGATGTAGCCTGTGAAGCATTGAGAGATTACAAATAACGAGGGAAGGCAAAACAAACAATAAATTTGCTTTATTAATAAAAACTTATAACCTATAATTTATAGGCTATAAATAATTTCAAGAATTGTAGAACAGTTGTCTTAAATCTTTCGATCATGGTAGAGCACCTTTTTTGTATAAGCTTTACTTGAGGTCACTTAGGATATCAATCAAAGCTTGTTAATGGCCTCATTGTCACCCGATATGTGATATATGCATGTACGTTTTTCTGTATAATAACACAGAGAAGAAAAAGAAAAACTTAAGATCAAATTTATGTTGCAATGTAAGTTTTAAATTTCAATAAGGGTCCAATAAATAGCACAAGGTTACATTTATTTTATTTGAGTAATAGAGAAATACTCTAGCTTTTAAAATGGGTTTCAAAATATTTCAATGTTTAATATATTCGTTTACATTTTTGTTTTTCAAAAAAAAGGTTGCCAACTAATTATAATTTAAAAAGTTTAAACACAACTATTGTTAACACTTTCAAGTTGTAAAATGTATAAGAACCAAAGATGATATTAATTTTTGTATATAATTTATGTTTCTAGCTTTTATACATTTTCTGAAATATTCAGTGCCAAGTGTATACGTTCTTGAATGTCATACGATTAACCCATTTACAAAAACAGGTGATCATCCATCTACGTATGCGTCAAGTGACCAATAAAGAGCATAAAAAATCGCCATATAGACAGAACATGGACACGAGAAAAAAAAAACCAGAAAACATATTGTCTGACTCAACGTGAGTTTGAAAAGCTAAGCAAAAACCGACGATGGGAGTTCCAGGGGGAAAATGGGGAGGCATTGAGGAAAATCAGAAAAGAACGAGGCGTTGAATGACCTCTGCAGAAATGGGCGTTGAAAACTGTTTTGGTAATTTGAGAACCTTAACCCAATAAAAAGCCCTAGCTCTTGCGAACAAGGCGACAACTTGTCGAATTACACATGAGTCGCGTGTTGTCCCGCTTTTCCCCTCCATTCCCCTAATTTTCCCAGATTCTTCAGTTTATTAATTTGAGCTTTGGCTGGCGTCGCAGCGTCTTCTCGAGTGTTTTAGGAATTCATCACACGATTACGGGGAATTGCAAAGAATCTTGCAACAGCTGGCTATTGCAGCTGCCACGAAATCGCGAAAAGTTCTCGCCTGTTTCCCAGACTCAAATAAGAATTGGAGTGACAGGTTGTTCCCTCCTCCTGTGTTGTTTTTTAAGCCAAGTTATTGACCCTCTGAAATGTACACCTTAGAATCTTTCGCTCGGTTACGCTGTTGATTATGTGATTTTCCCCCATTTCGTTTGTATTTTTCCTTTGGAGTCTGAAATTGGCCCGAAGACAATTTTCTGTGATATAATTTCCACGTGTTGGTTTCTAGTTTTCGCCATTATACCCTTGTTTTTTCTTGTACTATTTTTTTCCGCTCTCCTTTTATTTTTTTTGCTCATTGTGCCCACGGGTCACGCAAAATTTCATCACATAATCAGCTCGTCGGCGATTACAGTGAGCATACCTGCATTTTCCGCTTTTCCCCCCTCCCACTCTCTTTCTATCTCTCTGTCTCTTTCTCTCTAAAGCGTTCTGGGTTTTGTCATCGGTTATTGTTGCTGTTTGTTTGGGGCTTTTCCGGCAGACGCCGACTCTTTCATGTTGATTTGGTCTTATTATGCTGTTGCCCTTGCAACCAATTAGTGTCCATTTCATTGAACATTGTTTACCTTTTGCTAAAGTTCAGCGGAAAGATGGCCAGAAAGTGAGGTAAGACCGGAGATCGAAAATGGGTATAGGTTTGGAAATAGGTCTTCCACATGTTGAACTTTTTTACTTACTCCAACCTTTTTCTATTTAAATTTTCTTTTTTGTTTAATTAAAAATTAAATGATTATTTTAATATCATTGTAACTCCTTTATATGGTTGACTATTGAAGTTTCGAAAAAACTCGTTGGAGTTGATTTATTAAAACGTTTATTTATTTATATGTAGTTTGTTAGTTAATAGTTACATATTTTGTTTTTGAAGTTTTAAGCATTTAAGGTGAAATATAAAATGGTAAATTGTTTGACCCAAAGCACTTGTTGATATACGGTTAAATTAAGTTACTATTTTGTGATGGCCAAAAATAAGTGGGTTTCAAAGGTTAAGATATGTAGTTATAAATTTGGAGTACTGAAAAAAACAATCATTCAGAATCTCCACTTCAAATACCAACTAATGAATCAATTTAAGAAGTAGGTATTTGCTTTTTAAAAATCTTTCCCATTATAAATTTTACTAGAAACCTACTCACTAAGTTCTTGCAGAATAATGTGACAAAAACGATTAAAAATTAGTTTTTATACTATTACTTTGTGGTTACCGACCAGCCACGCCCCCTTTGGCACAGCATTACAATGTTGATAATAAACACTTGCCACAACGGCAATTTGTAACACCTTCTCCTCGCGACTGGAGGCGGAGTTTCGATCCGAAAAAAGCCGCAACGCGCTTCACGCTTCGCCGGTCGCAACGCGCTTTTCTACAAAAGCCAAATAAAGCCGAATGAAAACTGTTACAACAAATTAAATTAAATAATCGTGCAAACAGGCGCACGCACCACAAAATCGGGCAAGATATATATGGCGAATGTATTGTTAGGCCAACTGGTACTCGGATATTTAAACAAATTTTTACTGTTGCACTAACCTTTCCACCCGATGATCTGGTGACCCCAGCACAGCTGTTCGGATTGTCTAATTGGGGTTTTCTTTGAGGTACAAATTTTCCATTGTCTGAGTGAAAGTATTTCTTATTTTTTTTTTCTGTTTTTGGGGGGACTTGAGAAAACCCTTCTCCGTGGGTGCTCGCATCTGTTTTGGTCTGTTTAACGCTTTGCTGGCGATGTTACACTTTCCGCTTTGCATATTAAACATCATTCATTGCTCTTTCCATTTCTCTTTTTTTCTGTTTTTATTTTCATGCCACTGCAGCTGGACGAGAATACTTTAGTTGGCCATCTGAGGGAACACGAGAGGGCTCTGATCTTTGGCTCGCGATCTGCGGAAGAGGGTAAGTGTTGGCCCCAGGCACTGGCTCGAAAAGATTCTTAACTCTGACCCATATACTTACCTAAAGATGGAGATGGAAGAGGCAGTAGAGGCAGTAAGAGTGGCAGTTGCTCAGGGAAAATTGATAGTCTTGTCGCCAGGGTTTAATATTTAAGGCGGTTCTGCTGTAATTTTAGTAAATATATATCAGTTGATTAAGGTACTATTTCTTGAAAAATATTTCATACCTCAAAGGTACTTGCTACCTTGCCTACACTTGGTGAAAAAGCGAAGCGTCTCTATAAGGCACTTTTAGCTTTGGGATTTCCGACTAAGTTTTTGTGCTGACTTTAATTTATAAAATAATGGATGGTAGGCAAAAAATGTTTGTTTTATTAATAAATGTTTAATTTATTTCATTACTTTAGTATAAATACTGCATTATGTACGAAGTAACCGATAATGGTAGAAAACATTTTTGCAAGTTGAGAATTATAAAAGAAATAAATTTTTGATTTTTTTTTAAATAATTAAAACTGTTTTACAGTTCGACGGATGAGTTATTCATAGATTTAAGCCATCACATCTCATCATCTCTGCAGTGTTGGGCTTTTAATAATTTAATTATTTTCATTTTCGTTTTATTATTCTGAGTGGGGTAGGTCTTGTAGCCATGACCCGTAACCAACTGCAACGTGTCATTAGGCAAGGAACCCGAACACCAGCAACTGCAATCAACGAATGCTAAACTTGAACTGTTAACCGAAAGGTGGAGCAAAGGGGGAATGGGTGGGGCAGGGGGAGGGGGCCTTTTCAGAGGGGGGCGTGGAAATCTGCGCAGTTGTTGGCATTGATTCATGGCAGGCATTTATGTTGTTTGTTTACCTGGCAGCGCCCGAATTCAAACTCGTGCACTTGGCCAAACAGCCAGCGGAGCAGCAGCGGCAGGAGGGCGATCCCCAAGACGAGGATGGTGCACCAGTGGCAGAGGAGAAGCAGGAGGGGAATCCCCGAAAGCAACGTCAGCGCCGCAGCGTGCCAACAAAAGGTGAATGAAATAGCCCAAGTCTCCATACCGCATCCAAATCGAAATCCAGAGAGCAGTTCGTGCTGCTCCAGTTGCGGTCATTATGCGAACAGTTTAATTAATTCAAATGCATTCGACAGATGACGAGCGCCGCGATTCCAACGGTGCGGAGGCGGTGCCTCCCCCCGAGGGGGCGGGGCAGGAGGCTGGCGGTGGAGCGGTGGAGGTGGAGGCGAGGCTGCAGCTGCAGCAGTCGCCGCAGCTAATCGACGACGCCTTCATCTTCATCCGCCGCACCGAAAACGGAACGCAGTTCGTGGAGCACTCCCCGCAGCTCCTCAAGCGACTGGAGCGCTGCTTCTACCGGAGTCCAGCGGCTGCTCTCGATCTCTGCGAGACCGGCAACGTGGTAGGTGGCACTCAGAAAAACTAACATAAGAAAACAAGTTAAGAAACTAAAAAACTGATTTATAGAATAAACATTTAGAATGTGTATACTAATATAAAATATTCAATTTTTATTTAATTTTATTACATTTTTAACTCAATTTTCATTATCACTCAACAAATGTCAGTAAGAGATGAACATAAAGTAATATCTAAACTATAAGTTTTCAACGGGTTATATTTTTTCTCTAATAAAACACAAACTAAAGTTAAAAATTTAAATATTTTTCTTTTATATAGACTTTACCTTTATCTTAATAAAAACTGGAGATTCAACAAAACATTTCTCAAAAATTTTTTCAGTTTTTTTCAGTTGAACTAAAATATTTTAATATTGTAAAAGGCCTTAGGTGAGCGTCATCAAAAATTTGTTTCTTTTTTCGAGATTTATTTATTTAGAAATTAATTTAAAATATTCAAAACATAGTGCTGTTGTCACTTTAAAAATAATTATTTTCTTTAAATTAAGTTTTGCTGAAATTGATGTTTGTTTATCCCCCCGTGGGTTACTAATTTTTCACGGCTCGATCCCCGCAGCGCGGCGTTTTCCAGCAGAACGGCAGTGACCTGGTGATCCATCCGCTTCCCGCTCGCTTCGGCACCGGGACGCATGTGCTCTACCAAGCGAGAGTGGACAAGAGCGGCTACAGTGGGGCCTCGTCAAGGCGAACGGCGCCACCGTTAGACAGCCAGCTGCAGTTTGAGCCCGATGCGGAGGAATTCAACGAACCGAGGAAGCGATTCCGTTCCCAAAGTCAGGCTCAATCTCCCCTGAGACTGCGCTTCCAGCCACGACATCATCATCATAATCATCACCGTAGAAGGCGTCGCTATATTGGCAATCCACCGCGCTCCCGTTGGTCGGACATTCCGGAGGAACTCTTCATCGAAACGGCGATTTTCGTGGACAGCGATCTTTATGCTCACATGCAGAGGAATTTTCCCACGGATACGGAAAGCAAGGTGGTCAGATTTCTTTTGGCCATGATCAATGGCGTTCAGTTGCTGTATCATCATCCCACTTTGGGTCGTCGGATAAACTTTGTCCTGAAGCGTTTGGAAATCTGGAAGTCCTGGGATCCACCTGGCTTGGTTCGTTCCAGGGATGTGGAAAACTATTTGAACAGCTTCTGCAAATGGCAGGAGAAACTGAATCCCTTCTCCGATGCGGATCCTCTGCACTATGATCATGCCTTGGTTTTGACTGGTTTGGATCTGGTGACCTATGAAAAGGGAAAGGCCAATAGCCAAGTTGTGGGAATGGCCACTGTGAAGGGAATGTGCACTTCCATTTATTCATGTACGATCAACGAAGCCAAGCATTTTGAGAGCGTCTTTGTGGTGGCCCACGAAATTGGGCACAAGTAAGGATATCTTTATAACTATGTAAGGAGTATTATTTAATTGGATTTTTTGCAGTTTGGGTATGAGACACGATGCCAAGGAGATAAGCTGTGATCCCACTATGCACATAATGTCTCCAAAATTGGGAAGTGGCAAGGTTACCTGGTCTAAATGTTCGCGTACCTATCTTGAGGATTTCCTAGTGTAAGTACGATAAATAGTATATTAATAACCATTTAACTATCTTAGATTCATTCTTGTACGGTTGTTAAACCTAATTATTTTATTGTTTTCCCAGGGATCCCCAAGCGGAATGCCTTTTCGATCGTGACCAGTTTGTGGGTCCTTGGGATCACACAGCTGGTGGTCGTCTTCCGGGTGAACGCTTCAATGCCAACCAGCAGTGCATGTTGCGATTTGGAAAGAACTTTATGCAGGCCAGCACTCAAAGCAAAATGGAAATCTGTCGGGATCTTCACTGTCGCCAGGATGGACTGCCATGGACTTCGCATCCTGCTTTGGAAGGCACAGAGTGCGGGGTTAATATGGTAAGACAACAAATTCATCTCAACTTCTTCCTAAGAAACAAAATAGGTTAAAAGGGATAACTCAAAGTAGTAACATTTGTGAAAATGTTTTATAATTTTGATAGGAGATAAAAAAGCGAATTAGACACATGACATCTACAATGATATATGTTATTTTTAATACTCGTATAACATAATAATCTAGTACTTATAAATAGAATACTAATTTAATCTTTCAGTGGTGTAGAGGTGGTTCCTGCGAGTCTCGGTCCTCGAAGCAGGGAAGCTATTCAGCCCTAAAATCCTGGCCACCTGAAACCGTTCCCGAAGCCACCCACGAGAAGATAATCAGACACGAGCCCAACAGGATTCCGCCGCTGCTGCACGACTACAATCCGATGGGAAATGAGCTGCCAGGATCCTCCTCCAATTGGGGAGAGTGGAGCGAGCCGAGTGCCTGTGAATCCAGCTGTCTTTATGGACAATCCCGAAGACTCCTGGAGGGCAGCACAGGACTTCGTACCTTCAACAGGAGCTGCTTGAACTTTCCATCGCGATGTTTGGGAAGAGATTGTCGATTTGTGACCTGTAATTCCCCGCAATGTCACAAGGTCCCTGTTCAAACAATTGGTGATTTTGCTAGCCATGTTTGCATGCAGGCGAGGAAGTCTGATCCTGATCTCACTGGCGAAGGTCAGCAGTTGAGCAGCACATTAGATGGCTCCTGCAAGATCTTCTGCCGCACCAAGAACAATGGCACCAAATCCCGGCGATGGACTTTCCCGGATGGAACCACCTGCCAGTCAAAGCAACACAATCCGGAGGACATTACCTTCTGCATTTCGGGAAGGTGTGAGCGCTTCTCCTGCGACAACTCCACCTCGAACTTCTTCAAGATGGACAGCAGCTTCTGCCAGGCGAGAACAGTGCGTCCCACGAGGGATTCCTCGGACCAGGAGAGCCGCCAGCAGACCACCAATCAGAGATACGCCGATCGACAGGAGGGAATACCCAAGAAGAATCACTATGAGAATGGTAAGGAAATGTTTTTTACAGGGGAAGAAGAAGAAGAAAAATCTCGAAAGAATGTACAGACTGCTCAAGATGAATTACACTTAATAGTATTGAAATTCCTTCTTGAGTTTAATTAATAAAATACAACCTTATAAATTTTGAGTTCCGGGTATCCTGGTAGCTAAGCTAAAAGACATATCAAGAAGAGTATGCAATATATAGTATAAATACTAAATGACTTGTGTTATCAATCATATAATGGTAATAATACATACTTATAAATTATATCTTGATTTTCTCTACTTCACAGAGGTGGCAAAGCGTCCTCCGTACAGCCAGGGAAACCACATCAGTGCTCCACCATCACCTTACAAGAGGAGGACCTACCACAAACCGTATTCCCCGGAGATTTCCCGACCCCCGCCACCTGCCTCCGCCTCGCTGATCGCCCTGGATCGCAGTTCCTCCTCCGAATCGGAGTGGGTGGTCCACCCAGGTTGCCACTCCAACTGCATGACTGACTCGAAGGGCGTCCAGGGGGTCACTTCTCGGTTAACCGGAATGGAGACCATCCAACTCTGTTCATATCGCATTCAACCCTGTGAACGATTGCAAACTGCTGCGGAATTTGCGGAGCAAACTTGCGCCCGATATCGCCAGAAAGTGCGGGGATTATCCGGTCATGGAGCCCAGATCTCGGCCAGCATCGATGAACCGGATCGCAGTTGCCGTGTTGGTTGCCAGGACGAGTACATAAAGTATCGATACTACTTGGTCAACGGTCGAAATGGACACTTTCCGCCAGGAACTCGCTGTTCGCCGGTGGGAAAACGATATTGCGTATACGGCAAGTGCCTGGAATTCGGCGATGATGATATGCCGCTAGAGAAAACCCACATCAGTTTGGGTCAACTGAGGACTCGCCGGAGAAGGAGTTTGCCCAACAACGATTTACTTAACTTAACGGAGATGAATAGCATGCAGAACCTTAATGAATCACTTTTAGGTGAGTGGGTTCCATTAACACCCAACTACTTTTAATTATAACATTCACTTCTAGATGTCTCCGTCGAACACATCGAATTCACCCAACCCATTCACGTCTCCGCAGACGAACTGAGTAGCAAAAGCCGATAGCCCAATAGCTTCCTGGCCACATTTCCCTTAGTCGATTAAGTTCTAAGCTAGATTAAGTCCAAGGCTGCCCCAAAAAACTGCCGAAGAAATATACATGAAATAATAAATGATACGAACTACTTACTAATGCCTCTTTTATTTGTAAATTTATAAGTGAATATTGTAAATTCGTTATTGGGATAATTAAATAGATTATTATTACTATTATAATCTTTGTCTTTCAAATATTTCATTTTTTAAGTCTCAAATTTATAAAAGTTGAACATATTTTTATTATGTGTGGTAAAAACCCAAAGCAAAGCAATCAAAAAGTGGTCTACTTTTTTGAGCTCTTAACTTTGTTTTTTCTTCAGATTCACAAAGGGCCATTAAATGGCAATGCAAAAAATATTGACATATAATGATAGTGAAATTGAAATTGAAAATTCGTTTGCGGGGATCCGCCTTCACTTTTCAATATTGGCTACACTTCAACTGCTCGCCTCCCACCTGGGAAAATTTTGTGCCTTTGGTAATATTTGTGTAGGTTTTCTTTTTTGGCGTTCGCATGCAAACGATGGCAGCAATTACCAATACTCGATACCAAAAAGGGTAACAGCAATCAGCCAAACATTCACACACAAAAACACGACATTCGCTGGTGTGCGTGAAGGAAAAAATTAGATAAAACACCTACGAAACGCTGAATATGCCACAGTCTGCAAGGAAAGCGCGCGCCGTGCAAATCGAATAGAAACGAAAACTAAGCCCAAAAAAAAGGGGGAAAAAGGAAACGCGGAAAGCGTCGGAAAATCGGAAAACCAGAAAAACAGAAGTCGGAAAAGTGAAGTGTGTGCAGGATTGTGATTTATTAATGGTGTTTTGAGTTGGAATTTAATCTCCAGAAGGGTCAAAAGGAAATATCCTTTGGGGACATCCTGTCAAGTTCAATGCACCTGCATCCGTTGCACTTTATAAAACCGCAGAGCCATGAATAATTTAACGATGGCTTAAAAACTGCTGTGAAGTGCAATCAAAATCTAATTAATTGAAGACATATATAACCAGCTAATTAGTTTTAAGCCCAGACTAATTGGCACTGACATTTTCATCGCTCCTCGGGGAACGATTAAAATTTGGGTCAGTGGTTTACTGGTTTTGTTCTTTTTTTTTTGGGGGGCAGGAGTGACGAAAAACCTTGGAGGCCACTCACGCAGCTCTCCTGGGAAACTGTGTCAAGTTGGTCTTAAAATTTTGACCACACGCAAGTGCGTACTAAATATATTGTTGTTGTGGAATTACTCATCAATTGGGTTCGAGGAGCACGTGCTGTCTTTCTTCCAAGGACCTTGGGGCAGGACGCTCTGACCTGTGCTCCCGTTTTGGTTAGCATTTGTGTTTGCCCATTCCGATAATATGCCCATTCGAATTCGAAAAATCGATTCACAGCTAATTGGTTTGTTTTCAACGTGTTTCGTTTGGCTTCATTTTATATTATTTTTGGGGAACAAGACTTGCAGCAGGCAATGTCCTGGCAAAGTGCAGTGAATTATATGCCCTGGCAAATTGTAAAATAAATAAATAAAACATAAAACTGAACACAGGTTGTGACTCTCAGTACGCCCCCAAGCCACAGTTTTCCCACCTTTTTTCCGTACTTTCCATTGAGTATGCATACACGCAAGGACCTCGTTGTCCTGTTGTCCAGTTGAGCAGTTGCCCAGTTGAGCAGCTGACCAGGTGCAATTGTCAATTCAGACGTCGTTGAACTTGCCAGGACAGCGGTTCATCCAGCTCTGGGATTTCGGAATTTTAAAGGAATAAACTATTTTGCAGTGCCAAGTGAACAAATAAATAACAAATGAATCGCGATTGGGGAGAAGTGCAGAGTCGCGGACTCTAGTAATTCACTATCCTTAAATAAAGAAGAAGAAAAATTGTAGCAATGCCTCCGAAACGACGCAGAAGATTCCAAGGACTCTACTACCATTCATCGCCGCCAAAAGGTGAGTGTGGAGTGAATACATGAATACATATCCATATTCATTCATCCTAATTGAGGGAAATTGTGGTGACAACACGCCAAGGAGAGGCGCTGAGAAGTTTCGGTGTTTTGTGTGTGTGTTTTTTGGTGTTGTGGCCAAAATTTGCATATTGCGTGCCGTTAAGGGTGTCAGCTCAACAAGTTACAATGGCAGGGGATTTGCGGGTTGATTGCCACATTAAGTGGCAAACACTAATGCGCCATTTCCGTGGCACTTTCGAGCGCTTTTTATTGCCACTCAACCGTGTGTGTTCTTCTTTCGGCCAGGAAAATGGAATGGAATGGAAATTTAATGATTCACTGCGCGGCCAACTAATTTACATGTCACTGCTCAAGAAAATTCCTCAAGGTGTTGGCCCAAAAATAGATGGAGGGGAAGACCTTGACATATCAGTTTTTGTGGGTGTAAGGGTCAAGAAAATAAGTGGAATTATTCTGGCTAAGAAATTTCCTTTCATGAGGAAGTGTTTTCTTCTTGGTTCCTGACAGTATGCTATGGAAATTGCTTTAAGCTTGTTTTTCCAGAAGTTCTTTCTCTGTTTTTCCATGCGAGAAGTTTTCCCCTTGGAAGTAGTAAAACTAAAAGTATGCAATGTATTGCACATTTTCTCACGAAAAAATCTACTAAGAGATAATAATGAGGACCTTAACATTTAGTTTTTAAAGGTTACAGAAAGGGTCAAGTATTTCTAGTAAAGAAGGGAGTTGTCCACACAAATTCTTTAGAAGTTTTCTCCCCAAGGAATGCTAATCAAGCCGAAATCAGCCAAATAGGAATTCTATTTTCAACATATTTGTTTTGGGGTAACACTAATGAAAACGTTGACTTTTTCGCTTTATATAACACAACAATACACACACACTCATACACCGAAGAGTTATTTATTCATGTCAGAAGTTGGAAGTGCGCGAACAGGACGCAATTATTCCTCCTTGCGGTCGAAGGGTTTGCGGGTCTTGACCACAACACAGAGACCCGAATTCAACACCTTTCGACCTGGCCAAGAGAATTAGTTTGCCAACGCGGCTCAAGCTAGCCGGACGCAAAAGAAAAGCCAAACCCCACAAACAGGTAATAGAAAGTAATAAAGGGAAAAGTAGGCAAGGGCTTATACCTTATCTGGATTATTAACTATATCATTGCACACAATTGAGCTCATAAAATCAAGATGTTTTCCCCCGTTGCAGTCATGCCGATGAATGGACAGACAGGTGGCCAAAATGGACGCAAGCGTCGCGACAACGAAGGTGCGTACTTAAAACATTAACACTGGTATTTCCGCATCCAGGTGTTCGATTTCCAAATACCACACTAAATTATTCAGCCAGCGATTTAATATGTTGATACGGCGAACGAAGGGCGTTATCCAGTTTTCTTTTTTTTTTTGCACTGCAAAAAAGTTTGGCGCCGACCTTGAAGCATTTCAAGTTGGCGAAACTTTTCGCCGGGCGGAAATTGTCTCAAGTTTCCACTAATGCCACTTTAAACGAGTCGGAGTCACAAACTTGAGCATTCATTGCATTTATTTTTGTTTTAATTTAGTTTTCCAGTTCGGCTTTCGTTTTCTTTTTTATTTCGGCAAATTGCATGCAAACACGAACGAGGGCGAAAATGATTGGGAAATCGCAAGCAGTTTTTGTCGGGGTATGGGGTTTAATTTCCACGTTTTCAATTTCCATTTTGTCGGCTAATAGATTTCTCGGTGAAGTTATCCACCATACGGATCTGGATCCACGAGAAGGACATCGGCAAGCTGACTCGCATTTTGTGGGCGGGCCAGGGAAATCGTTTGAGTCAACAAGCCAGCAACAATGGGCGTGTGAAGCGTTTCCTGGCCGCCGTGCCCCACGTCATGGTAAGAATAAAGGGGGGTTCTAATTTATTTTCAGCTTAAAATATACCTATATATGTATACCTACCACCTACAAACCAGAATGCCATCAAAGATCTGCATCAGGCTGTCATCGACAACAATCTGGAGACCGTTCAGGCGCAACTGGAGCCGCCAGTGCCAAGTGCCTTGGTTACTTGCAAGGATGGCAATGGCCTGAATATCATCCACAAGGCCGCCGGCTTGGGCCACACCAAGATCCTGGAGTACCTGGTGGGCATTTGGCCCGAGGGCGCCCACGAGACGGACATCACTGGCAAGACGCCGCTCCACTGGGCCGCCAGTGCCAAGAACAACATGCGCTGCTACACTCTGCTCACTCAAGCGGGCTGCGACGAGGAGGCCGTCGACTATGTGAGTGGGTGAAGTGGGTGGAGTGGGTGGTGGGTGGAGTGGGTGGAGGGTGGAGTAGTTAATGTGAGAAGTGGTGGTGTGTTAACTGTTCGACTGGTATAGTTCCCTTGAATAACAGCTTATCTTAAAGTAAGAACTTTTGCTTTGGGTTACTAGGTCTTTAACTTTATACTTACAAAGTTGTAAGCTATGCAGAAAATGGAAGTTCTTATAATGGAAAGGCAAAAATATCACAAAAAATGTTTACTGCTTATCTTAAAGGGTTATTTATTCTCGAGAATAGTTAAAGTTAATTTAAAGTTTTCAATGGATATTAGTTTTTATGAAGATGAAAATAGAATGGTTTGCAATAGTAAAATTAAAGTTGTGAACAAAGATTAATCTAAATAGTATTCAGAAAAAAAATAACTAAAGTAGTTTCAGGAAATTATCGACCAACCCTTTTTAATTTGACATTCTCTGTTAATCTAGAAAGTACAGATAATTGCACAGATTTCACAACCTATATTATAGATGAAGTATAGAAATGCATTAAGAGTAATCTTGCAGAATAGCCTTAAAAATAGGTAGAGGTCTTATAAAAGAAAAGTTTGAATTTTAATGAATTTTTTAGAAATTTACTTTTGACAGAAGCATTATTTCTTATTATAGATGTGAATAGCTGATGATTTTAGTGTTTATGAACAATGAATTCTCCAAAAGACTATTTATTTTTGCAATATTTTTATTAGAAATTTTGAAGGCTAGAATCGAACCCCCTGTCACCAGAAATTAGCAGTAAAAATCGATTTAAGCCTATGGGGGTGTAGGTGATAGCCCTTTTGTTTGGTGCTCATGCGGCAATTAAAATGATTCATTGGGGGGCAATTTCAGAAAATGAAGACACCTTCGTACTATCGCCACAAGCCGCACGAAATCGAGCGGGCTTTCCTGGTTTATGTGCCGGATGCTCCGCGTGTTTCCCCCGACAGCGCCACCGATTGGGAGGCCTTGAGCGATGACAGTGGACTGGAGAACGGTGCTGGTGGGGATGCCAGCTCCAAGGTGAGTGGGTTGGCCATTTCCCAGGGAAATTCCCACACCTCATTTTCTTTTCCTCCTCCTGTCTTTCCTTTAGAAACTGGACATCAAGGTGCCGCCTGCGGTGAATGGTCGCAAATCGCTGGATGACAGCCTCGAAAATACCTCGGAGCTGGACACCAACGATGGGTGAGTGGTTTGTTGGGTGGTTCACTAGTTAAGTGGTTGGTTTTTGTGGGTTTTAGACCCCAGTTAAAAGCTTAAATCTGGCTGCCTTTTGCTAGCTAAATGCGCTGCCTTTTTGATTTGTGTTTCCATTATTATTTTTTGGTGTGTGTATTTATTTTTGGAGGGGCATGGCTTTGAGAGAGAATATTTTTTTTGCATTTTGCAATCGCAGTACGAGTGCCAATGATGAGGATGAGGACCTGTCCAAGGCGGATGTTGATGCCGAACCGGAAGCGGAAGCCGGCTCGCCATTGCAACGCCGACCGGAAACGCCGGCCACTTTCAACACGATCAATGGCGACGGCGACGAAAGCGAATCTGAGGTAAGTTCCGCCGCCTTTTCGACTTTATTTTTTTCCCCATTTTGTTTGCTTTCGATGGTTAGCGGCTTGCTTGCACCTTTCGAAAAAGAAAAGAAATGGCTTTCGGTGTTTGCAACTTAATTAGCTTCTCGGTTTTTCTGGAGACTCTGTGAAAGTAAGCCATTGTCGGCTCCCGCTTTTCCCTTAATCCTTTTCGACACCTTTCTCTCGGCACATTGCGCTTTTTGTTTAGAGCCCAAAAAAATACATAAAAATATATTGAATACCCTACCCGCTGTGTAAATAGGCTGAGATCGAAGGAGCGTAGTAACGAAAAACTGTTGAATCACTTGGAAAGCAATCAGTCGACAATTGTTTACTTTTACAGAATATTGCAAGAGCTGTAAGCGCTGATGGCGAAGGCGAAGGAGGTGGAGGTGCTGAAGAAAACGGAGTTGGGCAGGACAAAGGAGGAGGAGGAGGAGGAGAAGGAGGAGGAGGAGAACAGGAAGCGGCAATCGTGGAGAATGGAGATTCACCGGAGGATCAGCCGGCTGAAGCGGAGGAAGTGGAGCCTCCGGCAGAAGAAGAAGAGAGTGAGCTTGATGGAAACAAAAAGACTGAAGAAGAGGAGCCGGAAAAGGAGGAGGAGAAGGAACCGGAACCGGAAGTGGCCACCATGTCCGTAGAAGAGAAGGAAGCCGAGTCCGATAACGATAACGATAACGATGACGACGATGAGGTACAGATGGGCGTGCTCTAAGTGTCCTCGAACGTTTTGTAGTTTATTCACGTTTTGTGTGTGCCGTTTCGCTCAACCCATTTAACCCCCCTCTTCAATGTGAACCTGTACAATGAAACAAAGCTATAAACCTAAAAAAAAAAAACAAGTAATATATACCAATCAGCTGCAGCAGGCACTAGAAATTCCATTCATACTAATTTGTTTCACCACTGCAAGAGCCACGCAACAACAGCAACTTCAGCCGCAACCAAATCAGCAGCAAAATGCGAAACTTTAGCAATCAACTTCAACATAAGCCCGCTTAGATAATGAAATTACTGAAACCTAGCGAAACTCTTTATACTCTCTATAGATACTTATCATACGTATATATATATTATATATTTTGTAAAGCAAGTGTGTGCGTTATGTTCTCCTCTTTCGAAAAATACAGTTTGAATAACAATATAATCGTAGACGTAGTCAAAACCAGTAACTAACCAATTAAAAATGGAATGCAAAACCTGCAACTTGTGTCTTTTGTTTATCGTTTTTCTAATGCACCCGAGACCCAACAAATTCGTGTGTGTATTTGTTTCCGTTTCAGTTTTCCCCCTTGTATCTCTTCCTGTTCCGTTTCCGTATCCGTATCCATATCCGCATCCGCATCCGAATCCGTTTCCCTTTCGGTTTCACTTGAGTGTGTGTTTGTTTGTTGCCTTAGATCGAATCAATGCCAGTGTCTGCCCCCAATTTGTCCCTATCGATTGGCTAAAATCAGCAGCTGTTTGCCCACAGATAGACTTTGTAATAATGCACATACTGCATATATATATATGGAAATGCAAAACATATATGTGCAGGCCCAAGTTTTCACTTTCGCACGGCTGACATTTCGACTGGGGAGAAGGGAAAAGGCTTTCCTTTCCGGACGGAGTCGGTTCTCAACTGTCAGAGGCATCCAGTTGTTGGTGGGTCCGAATGGGAACTGAACATGCAAACGTCAAAACAGTTGCAGGCATTAGATATATGATATACGATATATAGCAAATAATACCATACGTACCGTATATAGAAAGTTGTTGCAGCAAATGGTTGCAGTTCCCCCGAGCGATTTGTTAAGGATAATCAAATGCAGTTGTGGGCGTTGCTTATGGCAGTTCTAATAACTATTTTCAGCTGCAATGTAATAAAAAAACAAAGGAACCCTAGGCGTATGCGTGATATTGCGTATACGCCATGCGGGCTTTCATATAACTTCATTTAAATTGAGTGCTTACGTGCCTGGCAGACGTATTAATTAAAATGTTATACGCTTAATGGGATTAATGATCTTTATTATAGGTTCTTAATAAACGTTAATTTTTAAATGGGTTCAGAACTGGCATTGTCACCCGTAGAAGCACTTAGTCCTTGTACAAAACAAACGTAATCGTGTTCAATGTTTTTTGTGACTCTGCACCTTGTAGCCATGTCTCCAGCTCACTGTCCAAGTAATTAAACATTAATCCCTGAGTGGTGAAATAAATTTGAACAGGATGTTGTAGCTTCGGGCAGCAAAGAAGGAGATCCACAGGAGCAGGATCAGCAAACTGGAGGACAAGAGGAGGACGGCAACGAGTCCTTGACATCGGCATTGGCCATCGAAGGCTTTGTGCAAGGATCACCCGAGGATTATACAGTTCAGTCTCAAACTGCAGTAAATGAAGTATACAATGCTATCCCTTTTTTATCTCTCTACAAACTATAAACGCCCTTTGTTGCTGGCTCACCTGGCTTGTTTTTGGGTTCGCACCAAAGTCACTCATTCAGCAAACCATCGAGTTCAATTGAAAACCCGAATCATCACCCTTAGCGCTTTCAATGATGCACTTTGTTGTTGTGTTTTTTGCATCCACATTTCACCATCTTATGGGAGATGTTGTTTGTAATCCTTTCTGCAGGACGAACGCATCAAGCGAATTGTGGAATCCGGGGACTTGGAGCAACTGGCCGAAATTGTGCTGAATGGCGAAGGTGGCAGCTTGGTGGGCTTGAAGTCGCAGGAAGCGGAAATCCAGGCCTTTCTCAACAACGTGCCCACTTATATGGTAAGCAAACCGAGGGACAGGAAGGAAGGGGGCCACTTTGGGGCTCACTAATTATGGCATGCATCATATTATATTTTCTCTCCTTTGGCAGGAGAAAATACATCGCGTGCACGATGCGGCACGTGACGGAGGTTTGCTGGCATTGCAGCAGGCTCTGGATCGCCGGAAGTTCGCCATCGCCAAGAACGACATATCGCCCAATGGATCCACGCCGTTGCACGTGGCCGTCCTCTTCGGCCACACGGGTGGGTATTCCCTCGCCCTTTTATTTCATATATCCCCACCTACCTACCTATAAATGCATGATTGGTTTTCCACCATCCGCCCATTCAGACATCGTTCGCTACTTGGCATCGCGTTTTCCGGAGACCATGACAATTACGGATAATGACGGACGCACGCCGCTTCATTACGCAGCCACAATTAAGGACAACGGCCACTTCTACAACATGCTCCTGCAGTTGGGCGCCAATCCAAAGGCACTCGATAAGGTGAGTCGACCAGGGAGGGTAACAAATTCCAGAACTTTCAGTGAAATTATTTGAGGTAACATGTATGGTGGTTCTGGGAAAAACTTTTTGGGATAGAATATAAAACGATTTATATCAAGAGGAAAAGAAAAATTGTTAAATGTGATATTGGCAATTTATGTCCAATAACCCCTTTTATTAACCAATAATTTTGTTGTTTATCAAAAGAAAGGAAAACAAACAAAATTACAATTTAATTTCTGCGCATATGTTATTGAAAGTTTGTTGAGTGTTTAATGCTAATTTTAGGCTTTGCTTTAATAGCTAACATAATATAGCATTATCTTTATTTTAAAAGGCTCAAATTGACAGAATCATCCAAAATAGAGTTGCACGCTCATTTTCTGTTGTAAAGGGAAATACCATATTTTGGCTTTATGTAAAGTTTGTTTTTGTTTTTAGGGTTCGTTAAAATTAAAATTAGACAAAAGAAATTAGATAATTTTAAACTAAATTACAGACATAAGTACCTTTCCCTTGTTTCGTGATGTGCATATTTAATAACTAAGCTATATATATACCTAAAACCAAAAGAACAACACAACCTTTGATACCAAAAAGAGAGCTGACATTTAAGAATAGAGCCCCCATATTGAGTTCCCAGGGAGCAAGTGCACCTGCTCCCAACGCCACCAGCATTTAAAATGACAAATGAAAATTGTTTTTAAATGACTCACCCGAAACCGGAATTGAAAGTGGGCCAAGGCCTCCGCTTGACTTTCAAATGTCTGTACAGGCAGTGAGTGGGGTTCGAATCGAATATACCATAAATTTGTGATTATCCCGAAATAAATAATGGAAACCGCATTTAAAATTCAATAACCAAACACACGCAGCTGGGCCACTCGCCCGAGTTCTACTTGGACAAGGACAAGGCGAAAAACATTCTCAACTACACCGAGCTGCTGAATATTTTCGGTGCCGAGGAGCTGGAGAACCAGTTGCTCAACGACCAGGGTAAGAGGCTAAGTGGCTGCAGCTGTTCCAGCTTGACCGTTCACCACCACCAGGCACCACCCACCCATCGAAGTTCCCTCGCATCGAAACCACTCACAAAATAACCCACAGAAACCACACAGAAAAACCACCCAGAAAAACCACCCATCCTGCAGTTAGTATTACATAGGCCATGCCGCTTTGCTTTGTCCGTGGCTTTAGTGGCCTTTTTGTTTTCACACTCGCTTTCGCTGGCCAACAACTACACACTCACACACACATTCAATCACTCACCAACACACGCATACCTGGGGTAAACCGAAATAATTAAATACATTTGTTTGCCAACTCAAACATCCGTTTTAAGGGGGCGGTGGTGGGGGTGTCTATAAACTATTCCCACACGGGGCTAACAGAACTCGACGCTGGCTTTGGCCAAGTCAGTCATCGATTTTCAGTCGCACCGTGAAGCACACACGTCCTTTGCTCCGCAGTCACACACTGCGTATACGTGTTGGATACTCGATTAGTTTGGTAGTGTTTTTCTGTCCGCCAAAATGGAGGGAAATCGCAATGAATTTTTCAACGAAATCATTGGCAATATTGATGAGATATTCGGTATGTAAGCTAATTGCACCTGCGCCTTTTTTCTCGACCACCAACCATCCCGCAAAGATCCTTTCATCCCTTCATCCTTTCGTTTTTTCGTAACACGGTGTTTTGCTGTTCGTATCCGTTTGTAATTGTGTCCTGTGTCAACGCTTTGGTGTTTGAGTCTGAATAAACTGATAATCGTAACACCCCCTAAAATCAAATGTAACCTATGCTGCGGATTCGGATTCCAATGAGCAGTTCCCGATGACCTTCATAGTGCCCGGCGAGAATTGCAGGATGGCGAGATATCGAGGACTTTGGAGCGTTGCTTCAGTGTCATTGCGGAATCGGGAAAAGTTCTAAGTGGCACAACAGCCTCGGCTTTGTCTCATCGAAAGCCACTAAGTGCCTCCTCGTTGCAACTTTCTGTGACCAGTTACCTAAGCAGATTCCTCAAGAAACCCGTCTACGAAAAAATAAAGAGAAGGCAAACCCGACTCGATCACAATCTCTTCGATGTCCTTTGGCCGGCGATGCGAAAGACCTCGAAGGCTCGTCACCTGGAAGAGGATATCAATTGTGGGATCATTGCTCCAGATTTCGATGTGTTTGTGGTGTTCCAGGAGTTCCTGGTTCCTCTGCTGAAGGACATGCATTGCCTGAGTATCGATGCGGATTTTAAACCTCAACCACGACTTGCTTACTTTCCAATGGATAATGGTGAAAGACTCAACACGGCGGCTTTTGTTTTCGATGATGAATCTCTGTTGGTCACCCGTTGTTTGGTGGAGGTCTCCAGAAATCTAGACCAGTTAGAGTTACCTTTGAATCTAACTATTGGCCAACTGGAGCAAGCGGAGCGACTGATGATGAGCAAGATTTTTACCACACATTTTGCAGATGCCATTGGTGAAACAGATTCCGGAAACTATTATACGATGACAGAACTTTTGGAAACTGATTCGGAGGTTACAATGATGCTGAGCAGTTTGGGTTTAATGATTCCCCTGCTGGACACCCAGGATTTGGTTCAGGCTGCCGAATCCACGGCTTTCAATGGTGCTTTATGGCCTTATGGTCGTGGAGTTTTTGTTAACTCCGCTAATAACTTGGCCGTGTGGCTTAATTGCCAGGAGCACTTGAGAATTATATCCACCACGAATAGTAAGGAGCCAGCGGATATGGGAGCGGCTTATACGAGAGTGGGAAGAGCAATTTCCTATCTGGAGACCCAATTGCACTTCAAGGAGAGCTACCTCCTCGGATACCTCCAATCCAGACCGAGTTATTTGGGCACTGGTCTTAAGATGACCACGATAGTCAAGTTACCCAACCTGATGAAGGAAATGGACAACCTGCGGCATTTGTGTTCCGTGCGAGGTTTGAGTATGGTGACCAATCGCCTTTCGAAACTCACAGTGCGCCTTGTAAATATGCAAAGCATGGGTGTGGTGGAATATGTACTTTTCCAGGACTATTGCACTGCAGTCACAAATATCCTGTCACTGGAAAAGGATATGTCGCTGACGAACTCCAAACATATTGCCACAATGCTGGTGAAGATCTTCAAGCGCAAGAAGAACAGCATTGTGGATCGAAATTAAAGGAATGAACTTGAATAAACTTCGGTTTTAATGTACATAAAAGCAAAGAATACCTCAGCACAGTAAATCTTAAACGTATATATATGCAAGTACCTATCTGATTGATATCTTCTTCGTCTCCTCATCTTAAATCTCCTCCGCTTACGCTGCGTTTTAACTCAATCCCCAATCGTAAGTTCCGCTTTCAGTTTCACCTACATAGTCGTGTTCGTGTTTGTGTCTCCAATCGAAGACTGTGATCCTGTCACGATTTCTATATGATTTGCAAGGTCTCTTGAGTTTCACCATCGGCATCCTCATCTTCGTTTGTTTACCTTTCCCTCCGCCCGAGAAATACACTTCCCCTCTCGCTTTGTGTACATAGATTACTGGGACTCGATCCGCTAAATGTGACTGAAGATATTCTGGGACTCCGGAGTCGCTAATTCGAGTTGCTTTTTTCCACACAGGTCAGGCGCAACCAGTGAGCTTTCAGGCCAATCCCATTTTCAAGACGGAGCAGGGAAAATACCTAGCTGATTGTAAGTATTCCTAAATAGTTGAGGTTTAGTTACGTGACAAAAATGTAACTACATTTCTTGGAAAAGAAATCAAAAGTAATTTTAGATAAGTTTTACTTTATTTTGTAAAGCCAACTAAAACCGAAAGCCTTATTGAAAAACAGCAGAATATTTTTAGGATAACTTTGGTTAAAAATGTGTGATCACAAATTATAAATAAATTTTTTAGTATTTTCCCCCAATATTTAAAGTTTATACCATTTAATATTAAGAGGTTTTGGTTTTTGGACTTTAAAGAAATTTTAGTTGATGATTAAGGTGAACAGTTTTTAGTGGTAGTCTATGGGTAATAGAAAATATTTGCTGATTGATGATACATTTTTCCATAGCTCTCGCCGATCCCTTGATCAAGGCCCTCACTGAAATAGCCAACAAGAGACCCAGAGATCCCGTGGCCTACTTGACCAACTACCTCCAGCACTTCATGGGTGATCGCAAGCCAATGACCGAGGTGCAGGTCCACTCGGGAAGCAGTACCAATTCCAATTCCACTTTGGCGATGGCCAAATCAAATGCCAGCTCGAATCACCGTCTGGGCAACACTCGAAATGGCCCTGGACCAACGAATGCTGATCTCATCGAACTGGATGCTCGGTCTTTGGTCGAGGAGGAGGATGCTGAAGGAGCTCTGGCCGCTCAGCATATGGAGGAGCGGGACGAGCATGGACAGAGCATGCTGCACTTCGCCTGTGCCCGTTCCCATCGCAGGGGTGCACTCTACACGCTTATCGAGGAATCGGGAATCGATATTACCTATCGAGATGAGTTGTATCGAACGGCGCGGGATGTATCGCTCCAAGCAAATCAACCCAACAATGCAGCCGAGATCGATCGATATGTTTTGGCTCAGGCAGTTATCGGTGGGTTAACTTAACTTTATCTTTGATTTAGAAAACAATATTAATTTCTTTTCAAAACCAGGTGATGTGGAACCCTTTGAGCAACTGGCTTTGCAAGGCTACGATCACATTCTGGATGTCGAGGATGAAAATGGTCAGTCCATTGTGGATGTCGTACAGTCCCGACAAAACGAAGCTCTTAGCGAATTTCTAAGCAATCTTCGTGGTTTGGAGGAGACTCGCGAGGAACTGCATCAGATGATCAGGGAGAACAATATGGAACGAGTGAGAGAGCTGACCGATGTTGCCAATGCCAAGTGGTTGGTGAAAACCAAGAATTATTATGGTAAAATTAAGAGGAACTTGTTTAATCAAATTTGATTGATATTGGTTTCCCAAACTTTAGGTCGAACCGCCTTGCACATAGCTGTGTTAAAGGAGTCCGAGGAATTGGTTCAGCACCTGGTGAAGATCTGTCCCGAGGCTCTGAAAATACCAGATAATGTAAGTAAACTTATTATATTCTTGAGTTAAGTTTAAAGCTATTGTAATTCCCAGCTGGAACGCTCTGTTTTGCACTATGCCATGGGAACAAATGCGCTGGAGAGTGTTAGCCGGATTTTGATTCAGAACGGAGCCAAGAGGACCGCCAAGGATTTGAAAGGACGACAGCCAAGCTATTACTTCATCAACAAAGCGGATATTCTACGTTTGCAGGAGGAGGAGGAGGAGAGCCGCTGAGAGAGATTGGGTTAAGCAATATGTATAGCATAGATTACTTTAAGCGTTATATAGTCCAATAAAGTACAAGTAAATAGAAGGGATTTCGCTCATTAGGGAGAAGGGTTTTTATGGAAAATTTAAAGGATATGTTACTCTCGGAAAGGTATCTCTATTTTAGAGTTCAATGATTGCTTTTAAAGTCTTTTTTTTAACCGTATCCGGATTACATGCGCCTTAGCACTTTAAAAGCCATTCGATGTCGGCATGTCCGCTTATCCGCAGTGTTCCGCTATCAATCTGCTTTACCATCGAGTACATACCTTCGGTTCTATTGTCGCTTTTTACCTTATCAATATCGGGTTTTGAAGTGCCCCGATTTCATATTCATAATAACGCCGGTTTTACCTGCTGACGGTTTCGACTGACTCTTCAATTTTATGAAAGGTGTAAAGCGAACTGGCTGAATTTGAATAGTTGAGTTTCATTTAAATCTTTAAAGTGTGTGGTGCTCATAAAATCAGTGCGGATATGACAACCGAAATTAATACGGGTTAGTTAAGTGTCCTTGAAGGATGAATTTCTTACACAAGGAAAACTATAGGAATTTTGCAATAATTATGCAATTTAATTAAAATCAAAGAAAGGCTTCCAACTGCTTCAATAATAAAAAAGTTTTAAAATACTTTTTTACAAATCAAATATTTAAATTGTTTTATATTTGAATATTAATTAACTTTTTTTGGTTCCTTAAACTTGTTATTGACCGTTTTAAAGTGATACCATTACTAAGTGTTCAAAGTTGCGTAAGGAATTGCGTAAAGATTTTAGCAACCTTTCTTGTAGCATACTTTTTTTACAACTTTGTTAACAACTCACTTTAAACCAATTAATTAGGTTAATTGATTAATTACATAATCAATTTGAAGAAGAGTGAAATCTATTCCTTAAGTGGCTTCTTAACAGCTGATTAACTTTTATGTATAAAGTATATACATAAGCAGCAAAAGCAGCCAATAGGAATGCTTTATTATGGATTAGGAATCCAAGATAGTCAAACCCACTTAAGTGTGTTTTTTATGGGATTTTTCCAATCGAACAGGTCCCGTGATTGGCCAACGACATGTGCAGGCCTTTTTGCTCTTTCTTTCCATTGTGGTTAACTTCATGACCAAATTCAATGCTGGAGTGGCAGTTGTGGCGATGACGAATGCGGAGAATACCAATCCGAATTTTCCAGTAAGTTCTGAGATTTATCTTGTGGAACTCATTAAAATATTTTGAATTTAAATAGGAGTACGACTGGGATGAAATGGAGAGGTCTTACATCCTGTCCAGCTTCTTTTGGGGCTATATACTGACCCAATTCCTGGGCGGATGGCTGTGCAGACGGTATGGAGCCAGGCTAACCATGTTTGTGTCCACCTTTGGACAGGCCATTCTGGCTGTACTGCCTCCTTGGTTCGTTTCCTGGGGAGGATGGCAGGCCTACTGTGGCATCCGGATGGCGATGGGACTTTTCCAGGGATTCCTCTTTCCCTGCATCCACGCCCACTTGGCCAACTGGTGTCCGGTGAATGAGAGAAATCGGTTGGGAGCCCTGGCCAATACGGGAATCGATTGCGGAACCCTGGTTGCCATGTTTGCCAGTGGATTGCTGGCTGCCTCAAGTGTCGGCTGGCCCGGAATCTTTTATGTGTCCTGTGGAGTAGGAATTTTCTGGTGCATCCTTTGGTTGATTTTTGGAGCAAATACCCCAAGGGAATCCAAATTCATCAGCGAAGCGGAACTGAACTACATTGAGACTTCAATTCACTCCAGTCACAAACTGGAGGAGACAATACCCGCAAAACGAATTCCAGTCCCTTGGAAGGCCATTTGGACTTCAGTTCCTTTCTGGGCTTTTATGATCGCGAAATGCGCTCAGTCGTGGGGATTTTCGACTCTCCAGACCGAGATGCCCGCCTACATGAATGGAGTTCTGCTGATGGACATGAAGAAAAATGCCCTCTACTCCGCTCTACCATATCTCACATCCTGGATAATGGCATTTGTCTACCTGATCATAGCGGATATCCTGCTGACCAGGAACATTATGTCCATTACTGGCATTCGCAAGACTGTCAACTCGATTGCCTACTTTGTTCCCGCTTTGGCACTGATTGGCGTTGGCTTCTTGGACAGCACCCAAAAGACCCTGGCAGTTGTACTTATGTGTGCCAATGTGGGAATCAATGCTGGTTCTACAATTGGGATGACGATTAACACCATCGACTTGTCTCCAAATCATGCTGGTATTTTGATGGGAATCGCGAATACGGCCTCGAATGTTATTCCCATTGTGACTCCAGTACTCGTGGGAATTATCGTGAAAGATGAAGTGAGTATACCTAAACTATAAAATAAACTATAAAATAGTAAAATAGTAAATAGGTAGTAAAATTCGTACCAAACAAAAACGTATCAAAGAAATATTATTTACTACTATTTCTGATTCTCCTTAAGTATGTTCTATATGACTCACTATCAAAACATATTCCCAATCTTATTTTTAACAGCACGATCGCGAGCAGTGGCAAGTTGTCTTTATCATATCTGCTGTCGTTTTTTTTGTGGGCAACATAATCTACGTTGTTTTCGGTCAGATGGTTAATCAGCCTTGGGATGCACCTGATTTCTTGGATAAAGAACGATCCTCCAATCTTCAAGAGGAGGGAAACTCCAAAGCTCTGGAAGCGGAACTAAACAAAAAGTTAGAGGAACCAAAACCGAAAGCTATTGAAGCTGGCTTAGAAAACAATGAAAGCAAAGATATTGATGTAAGTGAGGACATTTCCAGAAATAATGAAATTTGAGATCATCAAAATGTTATTATCCATAACTCGAAAATACCTTTTAATTTTACTCACGGCTGGACCTTTTATAAAATAAGCTAAAAATAAGTTACAAAATAAAGTATATATATTCCCAAAGATTCATTTAAAATGTAAATAATTTTGTTTATTACGATCCTATTCAAATATGTTTGTTGTGTACTGAATTTGAATGAAGTTTTCGATGGCAAGTAATTTGTCATTAAAAGTAATCAATATTATAAACTAAATGTTGCTTAGTTTTTTCTCTCAGTGTATTTAAGAGTACTTTAATCGGTTGCCCAGTCCAATAAAGTACAAGTATATCGGAAGGTTTCCGATTAGCCGCTCGTGCCCGGCGCCCTAATAAAATGTATTGAACAACTTTCGCTATCTTTTGAGGTGCTTCACACTTTATCTTTCGAAAGTTTTGGGGCACGGGCTTTCCGGCAAAAGTCTTAAGGATCCAATGGGTAACCATGGTGAAGATAATTGGCATTGGTCACCGATAAGATTAAACTTGACCAGTTGCCACTGAAGAGGATCAACATATAGGTTTTTGATAATGATTTTGATGAACAGCCGTCGCCAAAGGAAAATCAATGACGTCTTCAAAGATAGTAAACCATTGCGAGGGGGCCTTTCCCTTTCCATTTTCATTATCGCATCCGGATTACAAGCGCCGTTCCACCTTGAAAGCCATTCTCCCGATTTAATCAGCAGTCCGGCGTTCTTTCTGTCTAAATAGTAGAGCTCTTATCTCCCCGCTTTACAAGTGGGAACCCTCGGCTCCATTGTTGCCTTTCCCCTTATCAGTATCGTGTTTGTGAAGTGCCCTGATTTGGTGTCCATTAGGCGGGTATCACTTCAAAACTGTCGGCGGTGCCCGATTAGCTCCCCAATAAAATGGAAGGTGTAAAGCGAGCTAATTGCAACTTCGGGTTTGAGTTTTATTTCGATCTTTAGCGGGTGCGGTACTAAATCAAGTGGTGGTTAAGAAAAGATGACGGCGGAAACAAATACGGGTTAGTAGAAGGTCCTTAGGGGATCTTACTTACTTATGGTCAAGTTAAACAAAAAATCACATTTATAAGAGCATTGGTATCCTTGTGAATAAAATATGTCCTTGGTACTTTTAAAATGTTTCTTTTCTTGAATATGAAAAAAAATATGTTTAACTTAATTTTATTTTATTTACGAACCTGGCCAAATAAACTTTGATGAAAAACTAAGACCTTCCTATAAAATTGCTATAAATAAATGTAAAAGTGTTGAAAACTGTGAATTTTATAAAGCTTACAGATCATGGATCGTGCTTATGTTAAATATAATAAAAAAAATAAAACTAAAATGTATGTGAAATTTTTAAAATTGCAATTCTCCAAAAAAAATATTTAAATTAGGATTAGAATCTTTTTCATTGCTTCGTGGCAATATTTTCTAGTTTAATCCATTTTAATGAAAACCTCTTAGTCTGATTGGCAGTCTCAAAATTACTTTATCAAATCATAAAGAAACTGAAACGTATGATTTAAGTGGTTTCTTTGCTCTTGAGAAATACCAGTATATTGGGTAAGCTAAAAAACCATATGCCATTTGCCATTTGATAAGGTTTTATTTTAGTCTAAGAAAATTTAAAATGGGGAGCTCCAGACCTCTTAAGTGATTTACTTATGGGATTTGTTTCTTATAGGTCCGATGATTGGCCAGCGCCATTTGCAGGCCTTTCTGCTCTTTTCCTCGATTGTGGTCAACTACATGGCCAAGTTTAATGCTGGAGTTGCAGTCGTGGCGATGACAAATGCCGAGAGTGCGAATCCGGATTATCCAGTAAGTTAAAGGATTCATTTTTGGAACTTTTGTAATTATATTTGATTTTTTTTAGGAGTACGATTGGAACGAAATGGAACGGTCTTACATCCTGTCTAGCTTCTTTTGGGGTTATATATTGACGCAGTTTTTGGGAGGATGGCTGTGCAGACGATATGGAGCTCGGATCACCATGTTTATTTCAACCATTGGATCAGCATTGTTGGCCCTGCTTCCACCCTGGTGTGTTTCCTGGGGAGGATGGCAGGCATACTGTGCCATTCGGATGGCGATGGGACTCTTCCAGGGATTCCTCTTTCCCTGCATCCACGCCCACTTGGCCAACTGGTGTCCGGTGAATGAGAGAAATAGATTGGGAGCCCTGGCCAACACGGGAATCGACTGTGGAACTCTAGTGGCAATGTTCGCCAGTGGATTGCTGGCAGCTTCAAGTGCTGGTTGGCCAGGAATCTTCTATGTGTCCTGTGCAGTGGGTGTCTTCTGGTGTATCCTCTGGTTGATTTTCGGAGCAAACACCCCCAGGGAATCCAAGTTCATTAGCGAAGCGGAACTGAACTACATTAAGAATTCCATTAACTCCTCCCACAAGGCGGAGAAATCTGAAGAAAAGGAAATGGACAGAATACCGGTACCCTGGAAGGCCATTTGGACATCGGTGCCTTTCTGGGCATTGATGTTCACCAGGTGCTGCCAGGCGTGGGGATACAGCACCCTCCAAACCGAGATGCCCGCCTACATGAATGGAGTTCTGCTGATGGACATGAAGAAAAATGCCCTCTACTCCGCTCTTCCATATCTCACGTCCTGGATAATGGCCTTTGTTTACCTGATCATAGCGGATATCCTGCTGACCAAGAACATTATGTCCATCACTGGCATTCGCAAAGGCGTGAATTCGATAGCCTTTTTCATTCCGGCCTTGGCTCTGATTGGAGTCAGCTTCTTGGATAGCCAACAAAAAACCCTGGCTGTTGTACTTATGTGTGCCAATGTGGGAATCAATGCTGGTTCTACAATCGGAAGCACCATCAACACAATTGATTTGTCTCCGAATCATGCTGGCATTCTCATGGGAATTATAAACACGGCTGCTAATGTTGTTCCTATTTTAACGCCTCTTCTTGTGGGAATTATCGTCAAGGATGATGTAAGTATCAGTAATAAATTCATCAAAATTTGTATTTATTTATTAATTGTTCATGATAATTTCCTATCTAAAAAGTATTAATTTAAACCTTCAAGTAATGATTTCCTGTTATTTTTTCTTTTGCAGCACAATCGCGAGCAGTGGCAAATTGTGTTTATCATTTCCGCTGTCATTTTCATTGCTGGCAACATAATCTATTTAGCCTTCGGTCAAATGGTTAACCAACCTTGGGATGCACCCGATTTTCTAAATAAGCAACAATCCTCCAATCTTCAAGAGGAGGGAAATGCCAAGGCTCTAGAAGCAAAGCTAAGTGAAAAGTTTGAGGGATCCAATACAAAAGAAAAGGAAGCTGTTTTGGAGAACCTTGGATCCCAAAATGATGACGTTAACAAAGAAAACCTAAGCTAAAACGAAATTTTAAATCCCGTGAAAATCCAAAGTCCATCACTCGAAAACCCCTAAAAATGTTACTCGCGGCTGGTCCGTAATATAATATAAGAAGTTTTCTTTAGTTAAGTTTAAATAAGTGAAATGTATTCCCAATGACTAATCTAAGATGTAAATAATAAAACCTTTATTTTAATAACTGTACGACCTTGTTAAACAACCTTTCCAAATCTGATACGTCATCATGTCAATTTATTATTAATGAAACGGCTTACTACACGAAGCATTGGAAATACTGATCGTAAATAAGCAATCATTTGACATGTGTGTCATGTGGGAAAAAGATTGATTGTTCTTTCAATTAGTTTGACATGTGTTTTAACTACTAGCAAATTGAAACTTGATAAGGAAAGGGTATTGTGACGAGAGATAATATTACCGAACACTCGAAAATTGTTGTGACCTTTGAGTTGTTTTGCTTTTAGATAACTTGTGGGCTCGTCAAGATTGTAAAGATACCATCTTATCAGCAAACTAAAAACATTATTACCTTAGGTCAGTTTATTAAAATGATTAAAAACTCTAAACATGATTACCGGTTAATTTGGGCTTTAATACTTAGACTTTTAGGGTTTTCTTATCTGCAAATTGGATTAACCCCCCTTGGAACAATTACCAACATTCCTATTTTCGCTTGTTTATGATTCTAATCGCGTGCCAAGTTTCTTGATGTCAAGATATGAAATCTTTGTGTGAATACTCACGAATTAAAGCCTTATCACAGGATAATCTGAAATTGATTAACAGTTCGAAGTCGATTAGCAGCTCGTACGATTAAAATCGTGTTGGCTTGTGGTATTTTTACGGTTTTCTCGGGTTTAGTTTGTGTCTAATTTCGGACACTAAAGGTTATATTTTCGTTGGCACTTTAAGGATGGCAGTTGAAATAAATAAAGGTAAGGAAAAGTGTGTATTATGCAAGAAAATAAAAAGAATACTTTGTAGATATGAAAACAAAATAAGAGAAAAATGTGTTAACTAGAGTAACTAAAGAAATGCAAATGCAAAAAGAAATTTATATTATATAACCTTGCAGTTATACATATGTGAACTATGAAAGCAATAAGGTGTACTGCAGAGTATAGCAGTATATTAGTAAGTACTGTATAGTTAAAGGTTATAATAATAAATAAAATAATTAATAATTAACAATGCAACATCGTGAAATATTTAATTAATTTCTATTTTAGAAGTGTTCAAAAACAAAGATAAATAACTTATTTTTTGATTACAGGTCCCCTACTGGGAATGCGACACGTTCAGACACTTCTGATTTTTCTCAACATAACATGTCTCTATATTGGTCGCCTAAATGTTGGAGTTTCTGTGGTCGCAATGACAAATGCGGAGTCTACTAATCCAAATTTTCCAGTAAGACTTTTCATTTAACCAATAATCATTAAATCTTAATCTTTTAAATTACATATTTTTTATCCTAGGAATATGATTGGAGTTTGGCGCAGAAATCGTACATAATATCCAGCTTCTTTTGGGGATACGTCTTTACCCAGTTCTTGGGTGGATATCTCTGCAAACGTTATGGAGCGAAAAGTGTTATGTTCTGGGGATCATTTGCATCCGCCGTTTCTAGCGCATTGACACCACTCTTCATCGGCTTTGGTGGTTGGCAGGCTTATTGTGGAATTCGTGTCCTGATGGGCTTTGCTCAAGGATTGATATTTCCCTGCATTCATCAGCACTTGGCACGATGGTCGCCTCCAGCGGAAAGGAATCGCTTGGGAGCCCTAAGTCACACGGGAATCGAATGTGGCAACGTGTGCGCCATGTTCCTGAGTGGAATGATAGCCAAGAGTTCCATTGGCTGGCCAGGAATATCCTATGTCTCCGCGGGAGTTGCCTTCGTCTGGTGTATTTTCTGGTTCATTTTTGCGGCCAACAATGCAGTGGAAAGTCGCTTTATAGGCGAAACAGAACTTCACTATATTGAATCGTCTTTAAAACACAACGAGGACTATCACAAGACTGTGATTCCCATTCCCTGGAAAGCAATTTTAACCTCGGCTCCATTTTTGGCTCTTTTGGTGGCGCGGAGCGCAGAATCATGGGGTCTGAGTACTCTTCAGGCACAAATACCAACCTACATGAACGGGGTTCTTGGCATGGACATGAAAAGCAATGCATTCTTTTCGGCGCTACCATTTTTGGCCATGTGGTTAATGTCGTACGTTTATCTGATTGCCGCCGATGTTCTGCTTGCCGGTAACAGATTAAGTCTGACTGCACTGAGAAAAACGTTCAACTCACTGGCTTTCTGGATTCCTTGTGTTACCTTGATTGGAATCGGATTTCTGGACCAGGAACAGAAGAATTTGGCCATCGCCTTGATGACCATCAGTGTGGGTGTGAATAGTGGTGCTACGATCGGAACCTCACTAAATACCATTGATTTATCACCAAATCATGCCAGTATCCTTATGGGAATCGTGAATACAGCTGCGAATGTAGTTCCTATAGTAACTCCTTTGATTGTCGGTATCATCGTTGAGGAAGATGTAAGTATCTTATAATAAATTTTTAATTAATTATTATTTTTTACTTAACTTCTTCTAATACTTTTTTCAGTCAAATCGCTCTGAGTGGCAGATCGTTTTTATAATCGCTTCAGTGATCTTTCTTTTTGGCAACTTGGTTTTTATAATCTTTGGATCCGCTGTTTCTCAGCCCTGGGATGCGGAGGACTTTTTAAAATCGAAAGAACCTGAACTAGCTATAAAACCAACTATTCTTGAAGCAGCAAAAAATGATGATGAATTGGCTAAAGATACTTTGCAATCGGTGGATTGATATCATGGCATTTTTGTTTAACTTAATTAATAGTTTATAGTATAAGTACTTTACTAATTAAAATTGTTTTAACCATATGATATAGTGACCCGTTTATATATTTTTATACCCCGACATTTTAATAAAAAAGTGCATTTATAAAGGATTATATTACCGCATTTTCCAAATCCAAAAGTTGGTCATATTTTCCTTTATATAAGTTGATAAGAATATGGACCCTTTAATTGTCTCAAATTGTAACGTGCAGGTTTTGTAATAGCTTATGCATTTCAATTTAAAACCCATTTGTAATATAAAGCCAAGCCCCCTTTATTTTAAAATTCTTTTTTTTTAGGTTCGCGTGATCAGCAGGAAGTTACTAAAATTCGCCCGTGGTTTGACCTTATCGAACGATTATCAGATTAGTAAATATTGCTTATCGCCCTATGCGATTTGGATTTAAAACAGCTCTAGGTCACGCTAGCTCTCACTTCAAGTCCTACAGTGCTACGGATCGGTTGATTAAAGTATCGGATTTCGAATTAAAATTTCTGTTAATCAAATCAAAGATGACGGCAGAGATTAACAAAGGTGCGTGCGTATCAAGGGAAAATCCTTCTGGTTTTTCATATTTAGACATTGCACTCCGCACAACAAAAGCGATTCGCACGCCAATCAAGTGGCTATAAATCACTTTAATTATGGCGCCGATAACGAAGTCTCAAGAGTCATTCAGATTTATTTGACCGTCGACTTGCAGGCAGGAAGTACTTTTGATAATGGAAGAGTATTTTACTTGTGTTTTCAGGACCCGTGGTGGGAATGCGACATGTCCAGGCGTTCCTGATCTTCCTCAACATAACCACCATGTTCATAGGTCGACTCAATGTGGGAGTGTGTGTGGTTGCGTTGACCAATGCGGAAACCACAAACCCAGACTTTCCGGTAAGAACGAGTTTGTTATCAAAGTAACCTTGCTAATTTTGTGTTTCCCCAAAGGAATATGACTGGACGGAGGCGCAGAAATCGTATATACTCTCCAGTTTCTTTTGGGGTTACATCTTTACCCAGTTTCTGGGAGGATATCTGTGCAAAAGATTTGGAGTGAAGAGTGTCATGTTCTGGGGAGTCTTTGGTTCTGGAGTTTGCAGTGCCTTGACACCACTCTTCATTGGATTTGGCGAGTGGCAGGCCTACTGTGGAATTCGAGTGATAATGGGATTGTTTCAAGGATTGGTCTTCCCCTGCATTCACCAGCATTTGGCCAAATGGTCACCGCCAACGGAGAGAAATCGATTAGGAGGTCTTAGCCACACTGGAATCGAGTGTGGCAATGTGAGTGCCATGTTCTTGAGCGGAATGATAGCCAAGAGCTCGATGGGATGGCCTGGAGTATCGTATGTCTCCTCCGGAATCGCCTTCCTGTGGTGCGCACTGTGGTTCATCTTCGCAGCCGACAATCCCACTGAATCTCGCTTCATTGGAGAAGCTGAACTCCATTATATCGAGTCTTCCCTGAAGCACAGTGAAAACTATCACAAGAAGGTTGTTGCCATACCTTGGAAGGCCATTTGGACCTCGGCTCCTTTCCTGGCACTTCTTGTAGTCCGATGCAGTGAAAACTGGGGATTGAGTACTCTGCAGGCTGAAATTCCATCTTATATGAATGGAGTCCTCGATATGGACATGAAAAGCAATGCTTTCTTCTCAGCACTTCCCTTTTTGGCCATGTGGTGCATGGCATATGTTTATTTAATCACTGCGGATATCCTTCTGAACAAAAACCTGGTTACCTTGGCGGTTTTGAGGAAAACTTACAACTCGATAGCTTTCTTTATTCCCGCTGTCACTTTGGTTGGCATTGGATTCCTGAGCAAGGAACAGAAGAACTATGCGATTGCTCTGATGACCATAAGTGTGGGTGTGAATAGTGGTCAGACCATTGGAAGTGTTTTGAATACCATTGATCTATCGGAAAATCATGCTAGCATTCTAATGGGAATTGTAAACACAGCGGCGAACTTTGTTCCCATTGCCACTCCTTTGGTGGTTGGATGGGTTGTAGAGGATAATGTAAGTATAATCTACTATATATTTTTACTGGGTACTTAAACCAACATTTTGTTAACCTTTTCTTCTAGACTGATCGCACAGAATGGCAGATCATATTCATCATCGCCTCTGTCTTCTTTTTTGTGGGCAACTTGATCTATTTGATCTGGGGCAAGATGGAAACTCAACCATGGAATGCCGAGGACTATCTCCAAGTCAAAGATCAGGAGCTTGGCAAGGAATTAGCCAGTAATGACGCGCCGAAGAAGAATTTGTCCTTACAAATCAATGAAAAAACCAAAGATGATTCCAACGCGACTAGCGGATAAAAAATCCATTTAGTTTTTAAGCCCGAAATTAAATAGACTGGACTGGATTTAAGATTTAATTTAAATTCTCATATAACAAATAAATAACTAGTTCTTTAAATTTTTTAACTTTTGTGTGTTACCTACCTAATTAAATTAATTTAATTGCATTCTTATATTAAGCTTTCAGATTAGTAGAAACCTTTCTTATCAGCTCCATTGATATTTTTTTACTACCTTTAAGAGGTTCCACTAATTTACATTTTCCCTGTATTTATTCTGGTTGAGTATTTAACAAATGTGGTGCAAAGTGGTTTGAAGTGTCGGAAATGACACTCGTTCTTAAGGATCTGATAAGGATGGCTTAAGAGCTGTTTAGATTAGGGTAAGTCTGCAATATATTGCCCAATAATATAAATGCTTGGTTGCTGTAACGGATTTCTAAGTGGTTGTAGTCAGACTAATTAGAATCCTAAATATAGGTATGATTTTCTATCCCTTATTCTTCTATCTTAATGCCATTTAAAGCTTCTGCCATTTGGTTACGATAATTTAGAACCCGAGGAAGCTTTAGAATTCCTTAGAAGATAATGTAAGCTCTAATGCTAATCTAAATTGGAGTCCATTGAGCTTTGGCTCATAACATTTTGAGTGGTGGGGGAATCACTCGAGATTTGAAAATGGTTTAGATTAGAGTTTCTTTGATTTAATAAAATTCAATATGTTGATAGGGACAGTATAAATACTTTGGCCATTTGGCCAGGTACATTATCGATTAGTTTATTATTTATTTAACTGGTAGCATCGCTTATCAGGCGCGTTCCATTGTTTCGACGAGATTAGGGCCATAAAGAATAATTTTGAAAAGCAACAAAAACAAATTGAATAAAATCATTCATTTATGGCTGTTCTTGTTGATTGAAGTGGCAGCTAGAGTTAGCCTCTTTCCGCTGTCCGTTTAGAGCTTTCAGCGGATCGGATTTATTTTCACTACGGTTCACTGGATTTGCCGAGCAAAAACTTTCAGTTGATAAACGGGCCATAAATCTTTTGGGCAAATAAACACGTCTCTGGCAAATGGGGTGTTTTCAGCTACCACTTTGTGTAAATCCATCAATATTTACTGATACAACGTAGGAACATATGCATATGCTTTCCCAACCCAACGATGGAGGCTAGTACAATGGTTTGGATACGTCAGTCGGCTTCTGGATCGAGGAGTTGCGTCAAAGATCCGTCGATCTTGTTTGTCGCCGAACCATCTCTTTCTTGGGGACTCACCTGCGTATCCCCTTGCAAATAATACGAGGGTAAATGATATCGCCGTTCGTTCTGGCCGAGGCAACCAAAGCTTTCCGCTGTCGTATAAATGTTGGCAATACAATGGCGGTTGGGCTTAGAACCATTCCACCAATCTAACAGTGCAGACCTCGGGTTAAGTGAATAGAAAAAGGTGTTCCTAGTGGACTGACTGACTTCCCGGTTTTTTGTTCGTACTTTTCTGCAAACATGACCCATAAACCATCGAAGGGCCCTCGTCTGGGCGTTCGGCATTTGCAGTCGTTTCTGCTCTTTTTGGGCTTGACTGTAATGCACATTGCGCGCTTAAATGTGAGCGTGGCCATTGTGGCCATGACCAATGCGGCTACCACGAATCCCAATTTCCCGGTAAGTTTTTAGTGATCTTTTGCGCCGTAAAACTCAGCTGACGTGGCTCTCCTTTCCTCCACCAGGAATACGAATGGAATGAGAAGCAGAAGTCGTACATCCTCTCCAGCTTCTACTGGGGTTACATCCTCACGCTTTGTCCTGGCAGCTTCCTGTGTCGCCGTTATGGCGCCAAAGTGGTTCTATTTGTGGCCAGTTGTGGCACCGCTGTTTTCAGCCTGATGACGCCGTGGTGCATCTCCTGGGGTGGATGGCAAGTATTCTGCGCCATTCGGATTCTCCAAGGATTATTCCAGGGTGTGATCTTTCCCTGCGTCACCGAACATTTGGCCATGTGGTCGCCTCCAGAGGAGAGGAATCGCCTTGGTGCCTTTAGTTACACGGGCACAGATTGCGGCACAGTTTTGGCCATGTTCATAAGTGGCATGATTGCCAAGGGAGCGATGGGCTGGCCAGGAATATCCTATGTTTCTGGTTCTCTCTGCGCTGCTTGGTGCTTCCTCTGGTTGATCTTCGCCTCCAACAATGCCACGGAATCCAGATTTATTGGCGAAGCCGAATGCAAGTATATTGAATCCTCGCTGGAACACAACGAAGACTTCCACGATCGCACGATACCAATTCCTTGGAAGGCAATCTGGACTTCGGTGCCTTTTGTGGCTCTCCTGATAACTCGTTGTGCGGAAACCTACGGATTGAGCACTTTGCAGGCTGAGATTCCCTCCTACATGAACGGAGTGCTCAACATGGAGATCCAGAGCAATGCGGTCTTCTCATCGCTGCCATTTTTGGCCATGTGGCTGTTGTCCTATGTCTATTTGGTGGCTGCCGATGTCCTGCTCAAGAAGAAATTCCTTTCTCTTACTGCCGTACGAAAGGTGTTCAACACGATATCTTTTTGGATCCCAGCAGCTGCTCTAATTGGCATTGGATTCCTTGGTGAGGAGAACAAGAACCTGGCCATCGTTCTGATGACTGTTTCGGTGGGCGTTAATAGTGGCGCAACAATTGGCAGTTCCCTGAACTCGATCGATCTGTCGCCCAATCACGCTGGTATTTTGATTGGCCTGAGTAATACGGTGGCGAACGTTATTCCCATCCTCACACCACTGATTGCCGGAGAGATCGTAACCGATAAGGTGAGTCAGCCCTCGAAAAGAAAAAAACACAAGAAAAAACTCAAAAAAATGAGGAAAAACCCGAGCAGAAAAACAATAACAAGTATTTCCCAATTTCAACAGCACAATCGCGGGCAATGGCAGATCGTTTTTGGACTGGCAGCCGTCATTTTCTTTGTGGGCAACGTTGTCTTCATCATTTGGGGAACCGCCAAGGCGCAACCATGGGATGCAGATGACTATCTCAGGCCCAAGGACATGGAATCCGCGAAGGAGAAGGATAAGGAGAAGTCTCCTCCCCACGAAGTTGCCCCACCAATCGATCCTGTTTTGGAGCAGCAAATCAGTTGGCCGGAGAGGTATACGGCAAAAGCCATCGAGTGATTTGTGGCGGAAGTCGTCCGCCCATAACAATTGCTTTTGTTAATCAGTATTAACCATAAGTAGGCTGTAATTTATATTTATTCTATTTATAAGGCGTGACCGTTGCGCCGAGGCTTAAGTAAATTATTATTTTTCAATCGAATCGCTTTGTTCTTGTTACCAATCGCTCGTGATTTCGGCACTCGAATCGAGGAAGAGCCCGATCGCCCGACGCAATCTAATCTGTTAATTTATCTTATAAATGTATATAAGTACCCATATTTATATTGGATTGGGGGCTCATGCGACCAATTGTCAATCGCTGGAGCTAGAGAGTTGAGTGCTTTGCACCGCCCAGCTAGATGGGTTCAAAAACATTTGCCACAGCTGTTTGTGAATTTATATAAAAATTGTGATACTAGAAATAATAAACTGTTTACTTGTTTCTCTGCTCGTTGTACTTTTTTTTCTATTTGAACTTGCTGCTCGTGGCTGGGAATGCGATTTCTGTTGATTGCGATCTATTCTGTTGATATTTTTTCCAAGACCAACTCTCTTTTGCGTTGCTCAATAACCAATTTTGGCAAAGGATCTAGTTGTTTTTCGTACAGATTTATGGTAAGTTTCACATTATTTACTACTTACCTCGGATCTGCGTCATCATGTTTTTTTAAGTAGGTATATTTACACACGTGAGGTTGGTTAGAAAGTGAATCTCAATTGTTCAGTTGTTCAAAGCTTTGAGATCTGTTTGCTCTAAAGTTTTTTCCACAACCTTTAACAAATACAAACTACTTTAAGTCAACCTTACTCTGTGAGGATGTCTAGAGAGTAAATCTCAAGTGGCAAGCTGTTCAAACCTTTGGGACCTGTATGCTATATAATCTTTACTTCCTACAAACTATTATTAGTTCACCACTGAAAGTATAACGATCTGTGGAATTGTTAGAAAGTAAATCTCGAGTGTCAAGCTGTGCAAACCTATATGATCTGTATGTCATATTATCTTTACTACCTTTAAACTATTATAAGTCCACCACTGAAAGTATTACGATCTAAGGCTAATTAAAGAACGAGGGATTTCCGTCTGAGACCAGCCTACTTCTGAATTGAGTAAGGTCCCTCTGAGTTATCTTATCAGCTGCTAATACAGCAGTAATTATCGCTTAACGATCGTTTGATAAAAAGGCAGTCTAATGCCCGGAACAAAAGTGATTGTAATTAGCTCTGGCTATTGATACAAAGTGCCGGTTTGACTGCCGGCGTTATATTTACTCTCTGATAAGAACTTATTGCCTATGGCTACTGCAGAACAATTCTCCCCGTCATTGTTATTGTTTGGTTTCATACTCAATTTTTAGCCCCCACGAGACGGTGACTTATGGGGCCAGGAAACAAAAGCGGAATTGCCACCCACTTCGCTTAAAAAATGGCAATAAACCAAAAAGATTAAAATGTAATACTGCTTATGAGAAAGCATTTCTCAAAAAAATTAAGTGTTAAGTGCAACAGTTAAGTGTTACATTCTGAAATGATTTGTTATCTACGTAAATCTTTGGGATGTAAGAGTAGCAGATTTTAGAGACTTATTCCATTTTATTTTAATAACAGAAAACATTAATTTTAGCTTTTAATAATGTAATGTTAAAACTGAAAACCTTAATTTTTATAGCTAAAGCTATATATCTGAAAAGCTAAATAAAAGAACACTTAAAAAAATAATTAAAAAATTTCAATTATTTTTGATGTAATTGTACCTATATATAGATTTTAAATGTCCACCTAAATGACTGCGCAGTGCTTAAAATATTATTCTTATTTATTTTTTTTTTTTGCCCTGATCAGGCGTAAAGTATGCTATGCTTACAAAATAAAAGCCGCGAAATCCGTCTTTTTATTTTAAATTTAAGTAAATGATTACAAATGATTATGATTATAGGTACCTACATTCTTATTTAATTTTGTATTTTACAAAACTTACTTTTATAGCTAAATAATTAGCTCTTTTTTTTCATTCATATAGACTTTACACTTTAAAGATTTTTAAAAATATATATTATTATTTTTATTATTTTTTATTATAAAAAAATATTTTCCGAGAAGGAGAAAAATATTCTATTTTTTTTAAAGATATTGTCAAAAATCACTTTTTTATGTACTTTAAAGTGTAGTGTGCCATGTTGTTACATTAGTGTCCCCGGGAACCTGGATTCACTTTCAACGCAATCTTATTCAGAATAATTATATATGTAGAACTCAATTGTTAACAACGGCACGCGTAAGCTTGATTATAGGCCTGATTTCGATTTTGGCAGTTAAACTAGTTTTGCAACAAAGTTGGATTGCAGCTTGTTATTTACTAGCTTCGCCGATCTGTAGATTGCCAGTTGGAATATTCAAGGCAGTTGAAAGAGTCGCTGCGCTTCGCAATGACGATAACGTCGTTTAACTTGGTTGCCAAAGGTGAGCTCTTAACTTCGATGCACTTGGCAAGTTCGCTGTCAAAGTCTTTTGTTCTCGCAGGTCCCAAATGGGGCGTTCGCCACTTGCAAGTGTTGTTCCTTTTCTCATGTGCCACACTAATTGTGGCACAGAGGTTTAATATGAGTGTGGCCATTGTGGCCTTTACAAATGCCAAAAGCAGCAACCCAAACTATCCGGAATATAAATTAACGGAAAAGCAGAAATCGTATATTCTGAGTAGTACCTTTTGGGGATCCTGTTGCACTCACCTCATGAGTGGCTATCTGTCGAGTCGTTTTGGAGCCAAGGTGCTGCTGCTGGCCATAATGTTCCTCACCGCTCTGCTCAGCATTGCCACGCCCTTCGTTTTGGCATGGGGCGGCTGGCAGCTGCTCTTCTGGGTGCGTTTGGTTCAAGGACTCGCGATGGGTGGCATGTGGCCTTGTCTGTACACCCACTTGGCCAAGTGGTGCCCCAAGAAGGAGGCGAATCGATTGGGTGGTGTAATGACCACTGGATTGGATTGTGGAACAATACTCGGATTTGCTTTAAGTGGACTCTTATCTGCGTCTTCACTTGGCTGGCCCAGTGCCTTCTATGTACCAGGTGAATTTTTTATACTTAAATCTTAAATTTAATACATCAGATAATAAAGTTCTATAAAAATTGAATTCATTAACTTTTGTTTCAGGATACCTAGGTATCGTATGGTGCCTTCTTTTTATGCGTTACGGAGCCAATAGCCCATCCGAATCGAGTCTTATTTCACTGGCGGAGCAAAAGCATATTCAACTGGCACTGGAGCAGAACAAAGAGGTTCGGGGTGAGAGTCCTCCAGTGCCATGGCTAAAGATCCTCACCTCTCGTCCTTTTGTTGTCCTGGCTTTTTGTAAGATGAGTCAGGCCTGCAGCTTCTACACGTTGATGCAACAGATTCCGCGCTACATTCACGGTATCTTTAACTACAACATTTTGATAAATTCTTTGCTCTCCGCTCTGCCCTTCGTAGTCATGCTGATGTCATCCTACGGATTTATATTCTTGACTGAATATTTGACCCGACATCGCGACATATCCTTGTCGGTTCTGCGAAAGTGCATTAACTCGTTTGCATCATGGACAACGGCAGTTGCCCTGGTGATTCTTTCCTACGTCAGCGATCGAAATGTGGTGGGCAGTATGCTCTGTCTGGTGATAGCAACTGCTTCGATTTCTGGACAAGCTATTGGCAGTTCCCTCAACCACGTGGACTTGTCGCCCAATTTCGCTGGTCTGCTTTTTGGAATCAGTAGCACATTAACGTCTGCGGCAGGAGTGATATCACCCATCATAATTGGACTGGCGGTTACCAATGAGGTGAGTAACTTGAAGCCTAATTTGGAAGGTAATTAAAAGGATGCTCATAAGTTTTTAACAATATCAACGTATTAATTATATAATTTTAGTCCGACAACACACAATGGCGTTCCGTTTTCCTTGGCATCTCTGTGATTTTGTTCCTTGGCAACTTATTCTACGTGATCTTCGGTAAAATGACTGTTCAACCATGGAATGAACCCCAATCCAAAGATACTCAAACTGAAGCATCACCAAAAACCGGAGCACCAGCAGCTTTATCCGAAGAAACCATATCCACTGAGAGATTCAACTATTTGTAAATGTATATTTTTAATAAGGTATTCAGTGCTAATGTTGTATAAAAACAGTTTAAAATCACAATGGTATATATGTCACGTGTCCCCAGCAGAGTGGAATTCGCTGCGACCGAAGTTTGTATCTCGCAGATAGTAAACTGCAGAATCGTTGATCAGGGACATCACGATAGACTTGAGCCCCAAAATGGAAGCCAACTTATATTTAAGAATCACTGATTTGATCAGTTCTACCAGCTGAGCCAGCGACTCCTCCTGTTTTGAATTCGGCGTATTACTTTGGCAGTGCAGCAAGTAACTAAGAAAATAAAGGATTATTGTTAATAAGGTTAATTAAATACCTTAGATTCTTACCCCTTGACTACTTGTTCAATAACATCATCATTGATGCGCTGATGGCATAGATATTCTTGTAGATAGTTGGTTACCTGAAGCACAACAAATTGGGATAAGATAGCCTCGCTCCAGTTTATATCATAACCGTAAGCGCGACCCAAAATTAAAGTTTGTGGGACACTGAAATGATAAGCAATATAATCTTTCGTTTTGTTTTATTATACAATAATAATACCTCAGATGGTTGTTAACCAATTCCCTAAACTGTTCCCTCGATCGAACTCCAATGACGCTCACACACAAATGATTGATGGTATTTCCATGCCGTTTTTCCAATGCCTTGTTGCAGAGATCCAGCTGCATGGCCATCAACTCCGCCCGGGAAACACTTTGCTGGGCCAGCAGAAGCTTATTGTCCAACAGATAGTTCTCCGTGGCATGTGTATAGTTCTCCAAAGCCTGTTGCAAAAGTGTTTGTACCTCCGGGGAGCATTTTAGTTTATTGGATTGCTCGGCAGTTGTTTGGATTTTGTTAACTATCTCCTGGGCTTCCTCGGTCCACATCTCCGCCAACTCCTTGTACATAAGAAAGTGCAAGGCAGCCAGGCGGAGCAACTCCTTTCCATTCTTTGGTTGATATTCTCTTAAATAGCTGAGAATGGCCTGTCGAAGTCCACTCTTTTGATCTTCATCGAATTGTCCCAATAAGGACTCAAATTGTTCGTTTTCAATTAGTGAATCGAAGCAGTAGAACATCTCGCGGTAGCGTGCTATTCCAATCAGCATTCGGACAATAAGCGACCAGGATTTGCCCTGAGCCAATTTCCCATTGAGGGCTTTAGCTTTCTGAAGAACACTAACAATGCCTTCCATGGAGCACTCGTGCACAAAACATAAGTGCGCTTTGATCAACAGCTCTACGTAGATTTGATTCTGCTTTTTATGTGAGAGCACCTGCGGAATTCCTGAAAGTGTTCCCGTGGGAGAAGGCGTGGGTAATCCGTAGAGTGTTATAATCTTAGAGAGATTCTCGAAGGCTTTGGTCTCCTCGAATGCCTTGCCCTCTTGGTAGCGACGGTATGCTTTTAGGGCATCACAGTATTCCAGCAGACAATTGCCCAGCATTGTTGAGTTAGGAGCCAAGTCCAGGAATAAATGGAAGTCACGATCGATGCTGTGACCCCAGAGATCAGCATTCCGTAAAGCATTTCTTGGCTGCTCCCTGGCATGAAAGATGTAGAAACGGGGACGCACAATGCAGGTGGTCAGCTCCAGGGCTAAACACTCAGCAATCTGTAAAAATTAATTAGGGAATAAAGACTGATTCGTATTTTAACAAAAAGAAGTTTAAGGTTTATAACTCACTTCTTTTGGTGTCATCCTCGTAGATATTTGTATATCACTGACCACAAGCAGTCGCTGCAGACAATCCTCGGCTGCGGCGCTCTTCAAGAGGATAGCAGCATCTTTGGTGCGCAGAACATCCAGATACTCCTTATCCAGATACATTGCTGCCCTATAGGCCAAAACAATACGTCTACCCAACTCCACGCCATATTTCAACTTCGATCCAATGCCCAGCAAGGTGTCCAGAGTCTGTTGCTTCTCCTTGGAAGGAATCTCTTCGAACTCCAATGCCACACTATCCGAACAACTATCAGAGAGATCACTGTCCCACCGATTCAACACATTTTGGTTTAGAGTAATACGATTAAACTTTGGAAACGCACTCTTCTCGATTTCACCGAGCAGCTGGCGTTCCTTGCTGGAGAGATTACTAATGCTGGTCATGCCCTCGGCCAATGCCATTGCAAAAACAATGAATCGAAGGTCGTTCGGCCGGAATTCAAAAAGTTCTTGAAGACGCAGAGCCTCCACAATGTCTCCTTCGTCCAAAAGCGTGTTTAACAAAGTATTAAGTCTAGTTTCCATCTCTGAAGTGAGTTGTGTTTTATCAGATATGCTTAGGTCATCAATCCCAGCCAGTTCCTTGAGTTCTGAGAAGGATTTGTAGAGAACGCAGCGCTCTTGAACCATGATTTGCTCATAGTACTCTGAATGGTAAATGGTAAGCTGGGAGAGTTTGTCCTCCGGCAGCTGCAAGTAGCACAGAACCATGTCGTACTCAATCTGATCGCGATCAAAAGATTCGTTTGGGAACAAGTGGTGCTGCTTGATCACGCCCAGCGTACTCTGGAGCAGCTCATATCGCCGGAGACCCACTTGACCAACAGAGGAGGCTGCCTGAAGCAAAAAGTTAACCAGAATGGCGGGAGCCAAAGCATGCTGGTGGATCTCCTTCTCGTACTCCTGATGGGGTCTTAGTTCGCCGGCTTCCAGCTCAGCCATCCATTTGCCATAGACAATATCACTTAAAGGCAGCTGCAGCAAGGTTGCCAATTGAAGGGCTTCCTCATAAGCTCTAGCTTCGGTGAGGGCATCCACCAGGCGTCTGTACTCGGAGCTATCTCTCCTTACCAGCTGCTCCAGATCAATGGACAACTCCCGCAGCCAGGTGGCTGCTACTCCGAAAACTTTATGCAGCAGACAAAAATCCAACAAGTCGCATATATCGCCCACATCCGAGCGACAGATGCAGTCAAGGAATCGCTGCTGCTGCAAAATGCAGTCGAAATTGGATTGCAGTTGGATTAGCAGCAAGCCAACGGAGCGCTGCATCACTTGCTTCTGGGGTAGCGAGCCACAGAGCGGCAGAGTGACTGTACCTTGACTCCAGCTAAAAAAAAACTGGCGCAGCTCCACAATCGTGGAATCGCTAAAGTCCTCCTGATGAGCTGTCAGCTGAAGGAAACGGCAAAGATGTGTGAATTTGCATTCCTGAAATTGAAATAGATTTCTTATTTAATCTAGCTATTATTATGTTTGTTTTAAAAACTCACCGGCTGAAAGATTTCCAAGCTGTGAAGAAGGGCATTCACATGCCCACCAGCCACTGCTCCTCGGATGACAGACCACACCCATTCTGATCGCTTCTCTTCGCGCACTTTTGATGCCTCCTGCAGCTGCTCGCTCCACTGACCGCTGGCCACCGAGAGCCAGACAATCCAGCACCAATCGCGGTTCTGTTCGCTGAGTGTGACAGCCAGCACAGCCAAGACAGGCAGTTCCTGACGGATGCAGTGCCTCAAGAGATTTATGCTACTGCAGTGCGGAGCGTTTCCAGCCATCATCTCCAGAAACTTTGCTGTGGTGGGAATGATCTCCTCTGGCAAACTATTGGTGCTGCACAAAATTATAGCAAACAGATCCTGTCGAGCACTGTGGGTTATCAGAGTGCACAGGGATTGATCTGCATTCCTCTGAAGCTGATGCATGCTGCTATCCTGATTTGAACTGTGCGAGGAGTTGGTCATCGTCTCCTGAGATGAGTTGGTTTGGGTCTCACCGCTACGACGAGGTTGTCTTTGAAAGCTCCTTTTATGCTGGCGATCGCCAGCGGATTCGTAACTTAAGGCGCGTAACATATGCACACCAAGTGGAGAGGACTTAAAGTGCGGCAAGAGCTTCTTTAGTTCACTCAAAGGAAGATCAAAGTATTGAAAGATGAGCAGCAGCTTCCACCAGTCGTTTTTGGAAGCGTAGTATTCGAGCAAAGCCACTGGAAGTTTACCAGGAGTATCCCTGACCGCCAGACGCATCAGTGATTGATATAGTTCCAATGGAAATTCCTTGGGATTCTCCTCCAGTTGTTGAACCAATTCCCGGTCCCAGTCAGCCAGTAATTCCGAGTAACTTTGTCCTTTCTTGCGCTTTGGCAGCTTTCTTTGCAGCAGGAGAAAGCTTCTCAGTGGTTGGGTATCGAATCCCAGCATCTCGCAACAGGCCACACAATGGGTAACCAGCTCCTCATCCCCGGCGTGCTGTAGTGCCATTTGGGTGACCGTTTCACAGGCGTGGAAGAGCTGTGTCTTTGTGATCTGACCATAAAGCTGAAGTTGCTCCGTTATCAGATAATACACTGCGTAGGCACTTCGCTGCTGCTTCAAGTAATGGGTGTAATTTAATTGGGATTTTCTTGCGTAACGCTGGCAGAGACGCGCATTCGAAAAGCTGACCAGTTCTCCATGTCCTGCGGTGGCCAGGAGTGGAAGGTTCACCTGCTTAAACTTCAGGAAAAGATCGTGAGCCGTGGGTATGCCGGAATTACTGGATGCGGGTCCGTGATCAAACCGAGCTATCAGCGATTGTAGATAGCGCACCCGACCCAAGTTGGTTGAAGTAAGGAAACCCTCTAGAGATCGCACAGTTGGCTCCTGACCCAGAAAGTCGTAGAAGGTGAGCAACGGGTGTCCTTCGAAGGAGTCAGCGCTATCGTGAGTTTTCTCTAAGTACGTCTGAACGCTCTTGGAAATCTAAAAGAAACGGTAAAAGAAAATTTATAAATGACTTTCTATATTTAGATATTATTTATATGTTAAATTAATAACTTGGCTTTATGTATATTGTATATTAATATTGTTATTCAAACCTTTTTAAAAAAAGTTTGATTTTTAACAAACGATGACGCATAATGAACCAAGGTTTATTACAATTACAATTACATCACCTTTTTTGTTATTCTAAATACAGGAAACTTTTAAAAATGAACTTTGTTTTCTTGACTCACCAACTCAAATCCCTCGTTCTCAGCTAAAGAGTTGGTTTTCAGATCTACAATTAGATTGATTAGGGCCTCCTGGTGAGGCTCACTGCCAGCCAGCGCTTCCAGTGACGCAACTGGTACACATTCCATCAGGAGCAGTGAGTGGTGACCACGATCCAGGAGATACTTGGCCAGAGGCTGACGGCTGATGAGATCAGCATGCTTTCCCAGACACTCCATGGTACAAAGTCTACGCAGCAGAGTTGGAATATCACCGGATTCATCCGGGAAAAAGTGTCCCGCACGGGCGAAGAAGTTTCGCAGCACTTCACTGGGCTGCTTAAGATTCTCCAGGGCGTATTCGTACATGGCGTCATCTATTTGCCATGCGGCAAAGCCCTGCTCCAGGGGAGAAAGCGTTGCCTGCTCCTCCACATCGATACTCTCCTGGCACCAGCACCAGCGTTGGAGTTTCTCCTGCTGGTCACTATTTACCAGATGCTGCCAGACCACTTCCTTGGAAAGAGATCCCAGCAGAGATTCATTGCCATTGGCAAAATATAGATCGACGAGAAGCAATTGCAGAGCCTTTTCCGGTAGAGTCATCAAGGCTTCGATGTGGACACGAGGCAGCCACGCCCGGTGCTTCTCCATCAGGTCGGGACACTCCCGAACTTGCTTGACCAAGGACCAATGGTAGGCCAACACTGGCTCCTCCTGCTCATACATCAACGGCTCCCGGTTACGCAGGTGATCCAGGATGAACTCGCTCAACTCCTCATCCTGGCACTCCGAGGCGAACTGGAAGAAGAAGCACTTGACATCCCGGTCCACGTTCCGGATCACATCCTCCGCTTTGCAGACAAGTCTCTCGGAGAGCAGCCGCTGCACATATTCATGCACCACGTCGTAGAAAAAGTGACGGTACTCCGGAATGGGGATCATCCGCTTCTTGGCCCCGTACTCAATGCACAGGTCGATGTGCTCGCCCTTGGTCGCCACCTCCTTGATGATGGCCACCTCGTTGATTGCCCTCCAGCTCTTGAAGATCTTCTCGCGGGCCTGGGCCTGCGCCTGGGCGGAATGCATCGTGTTGGGCGGAGTTCTTGGAATTTTTGGAATGTTCTGCGGGCCTTTTCACATCTCTTTGTTTCGCCTCCTAATGGGCAAACAATGCAATCAACAGTTGATAATAGCGAAAAACAGCTGTAACTGCTTCTTCTTCTACGGAACCTTATCTGCGCTTTAACTAGTTCCACAGTGGGCTCTGGAAGGTATGAACTACCGGGACTCATGCCATAACAACTTTTGTTATGAAAAGTATCTAAGAGCAGTATTTCATTATTAGTAAACTAAAAAAACATTACGTTTCTGTGATAAATCTAAGAACGGAAAATAATAAATGCAGTGAAAGAACAAATTTAAAAAAATACGTATTTTTCTGGGTACAGTGGCGAACTGATCTCAGTGGCCTATCTAAGATAAGATATTCCAAATACGATTCAAGTTACTAGACATAGTTTAGTTATATTTTTTTAATTAAAAATCTTATGATCTAATTGAAAGTGAATAACGGTTAAGTTATCTTGCTTTAGTTAATTGCTGGTGCATTTGCAATATTTGGTGTGAACACATTCAAGCTTGGCCAGTGATGACAACTTGTTTTTTATGCATTTCCAATTGGCTTTTTATTTTCTGTATATTTGCGTAAACAAGTGAAGTAGGTTTGAGTCATCGCTAGAACAGTAGCAAAGTTATACTCCATTTTTGGCTAAAATTAGGTATTTTTCTCGATACTTTGTGGTATATTTCGACGGTAGACGCGTGGTCACACCGTATTTCCCTCCTTTTCGTTTTCGTTTCCGGCGAAGTAAGTAGATTAAATTCTCCACGTTTTTTCTTTTGCTAATAATTAAACCATCCCTTCGGCAATCTAGCGAATAATCTTGGAATAACCAGACGCGAGCAGCAAAATGTCGAAGAGAGGTAAAAATCCGATTGAAGTGTGTGGTTGAAATGTGAAAATGACGAGCATGTGACGCCGCCAAGTGTGGAGAATGCCGAAGCAAAATGTGTTCCATAACTAATTATTGGTGTTTCCACTCAATATAGGACGTGGAGGTACCGCGGGAGGAAAGTTCCGCATCTCCCTCGGTCTGCCCGTGGGTGCTGTGATGAACTGTGCCGACAACACCGGAGCCAAGAACCTGTACGTCATCGCCGTTCATGGAATCCGCGGTCGTCTGAACCGTCTGCCCGCCGCTGGCGTCGGTGACATGTTCGTGGCCACCGTCAAGAAGGGAAAGCCAGAGCTCCGTAAGAAGGTAATATCCCAATCCATGTTTTCATTGAAACTGTAACAGCTAACAACCTGATAAAGAAGCACGTTTTTTGCACGCTTTGTTTTTGTACACTTTTTTTGTTTGTGTGAAAGAAACTCCCAAAAAATATTTTTTATTTTATGCTGCTCATGTTTAACAAAAACAAATAATACAAGACTTTGTCCATTCTTTTGCTTCTTTTTAACTAATTCGGTTTGTTTTTAATTTTTCGCATTCTGTATAGTACGTTTAAATATACTACTTTACTGACAACGACCAATTGTTTGTATTTTGCACCTAACATGTGCCGGCAGAGATAACGTATCGCTTAAGAGCACGTTTCTTGTTATAAATTAATATTGTATATTTTTTTTCTGATTGTTATTGTCCAAAAAACACCGTGATGTAGGCTTTTAACCTAACTTTGGTTAACCACAATACGTATTTGTTAGTTAGTATAATATAAGAAATTGATGGAATTTAAATCGGTTATTTTCCCTAGATAAAAACATTGCTAATTTTTGTTTTTCTTTTTTCAGGTCATGCCTGCCGTGGTGATTCGGCAGCGCAAACCGTTCAGGAGGAGGGACGGGGTGTTTATATACTTCGAGGACAATGCCGGGGTAATAGTGAACAACAAGGGCGAAATGAAGGGCTCGGCCATCACCGGACCTGTGGCCAAGGAATGCGCTGATCTGTGGCCCCGTATCGCATCCAATGCAAGCTCTATAGCCTAAGGAGTTTCCTTTTGAAATAAACCCACAACGGAAAACAGATTGTTTTGAATTAGAATTGTCGGATCTTTTATTGAATGGCTGCTCAGAATCGCGGTACCGGAGGATCGTCTCTAGGCCTTTGGTGCCTCGGTGCGCAGAGTGGGCTTGGGTCGAGTCACCTCCATCGAAATCTTGCCGTTGGCTCCCTTGAACAGAGCATAGCACACCTGGAACGGAAGACCCTCCAAAGCATCGCCGTTGAATTTGGTTATGATATCGCCGCGCTGCAGTTTGTTGTCGATCTCCGGATACTGGCCTTGTATCTGCAAGGGGAAATGTAACTCAGAGATGTATCTTCTAGTTTCTCTTTCATACGTACTACGTCCGCAATGGTGCATCCAAGTTCGTTGGGTGACAGTGAGAGACCCAGCTCCTTTCCGGCCTTCTTCATAAAGTCGACATTAAACTTTTCTAGTTCCGGCGGATCGGCGCGGTACACCGTCAAGTTAACCGACTTTTCGTATGTGGTGTGGAATAGCTGATGCACCTTCAATGTGGTCATGGATCCCACGTGGATTGCGTTACCGTTCACATCGCAAATGTGATCGAAGATCTTCAGGCGCTTGTCGGTGGCTACAGCTCCTTCCGGATAAACGTGGGTAATCACACAGCCAGTCTACCAGAAAAAGCGAGGGTATTAGTTGCACCTATACAATCCAGAGATACCCTACCGTGACATGGTTGTTTTTGCCGCCGCAGACAATGACGCCCAGTGGTTTCTTCTCCACCTTCAGCTCGATGAGAATCTTTTTGTTGGGTTTGATTTCGGCTGTGGCGGGTTCCTGTGGTTTCTCCTCCTCTTTCTTGGCCTCTGCGAATTGTAAAGTTACAAAAAGAAAATGGTTGACCTGGACTTAAACCTCTACGTACCCTCCTTCTTCTTCTCCTCCGCTTCCCTGTCTGCTTTAATGGCTTCCTCGCTCTTGAGGGTCAAAAGAATCAAAGTGACTACACCTTCGGCACGTTTTAGGAGTCCAGTTGCCTAGGAGCCAAATTATCAATTTAAAAACTCAGGGGGTACGCTTCTTATTAAACAACTCACATCATCGTAGTTGGATTCCAGAGTAACATCCTGATTAACGGCCAGCAGCATGTCACCTACTTTTACTCCAGCCAACTCTGCATTCGATCCCTCTCTCAAATCCGAGATAAAGATGCCGTTGCCAACTTCAGCGTGCTTGCCATAGATCACCATAATACCCAGGAATCCTTCCTTGCGTACTTGCACCGTACGCGCTTTTGGGAATTGGTCGAAAATAAACTTAGTCTGTCAATAAAAAGTTTTTAAATTAGGAAAATATTTAAAAAAAATTTAAAATGGAAAGAGAACGAAATCTTTCTTAAGAAATAATGTTTTTCTTATATAATACTAACCTCATCAGATGAGGTGGGGAACTTCTTGATGGGCTTGACGCACATGCCCTCATCGTTGGGCTTGCGCCGCGAGGTGATCATCACCAGCTTGTCCCCCTCCACGTTCTTGAACACGGCGGAGGCGTTCAAATGGCAGCGATTCTTTAGTACATTGCCGTTGACTTCGACGATTTCGTCTCCGGGCTTCATGTCCACACTGGCCAGGGCTCCATTGGGATCCACACCGGCCACGAAGCAGGCCATCTTCTGGCGGTCCTTGTGTCCGGCGAGAGCGAGTCCAAGAGGCTTACTGGCGTCCCTTTGGACCTCGACCCTCCGCAGATCCTTCATCATGTTGTATCGTTTGTTTATTTTAGCTGGGAAAGGGTTTTAGTAGCTAAGTGCTCAGATATAACTATGCTCAGATGGCTAGAGGATTCTTACCCATCGTGTAGCCAAACTCATCCTCCTGCTCCTTGTCGCGATCCTTTTCCTGCTTGTTCAGCTTGCAGTTGCCGGCGGACGCGCGATCAATCTGAATAAAATGATCGCTGGTGATTTGGAAATTTGGCAAATTAAAATATTATCTTAATATTAACCTCATAGCCGGATTCGGTGCGAATGCGGCCAGTCATGTCGCGGGTATCCTCGTCGTCCTCCTCAGCATAGTTTTGTTTTTGACGCATCGATGCTGTGAATGTGGTGCCCCGTTTCTGCGTCGTTTGCCGGTTCATAGCACCCATTCCCTGACCCTGACCCTGACCCTGACCCATCCCCATTCCCTGACCCCCACCAGCTTTGTTACTGGGGGTCTGTTCCTGGTTGAACTTGTTTTTGGCCTGCATGTAGCCATTGCTCTGCGGATCTGACTTTGCCTGTTGGTCATCGCTCTTGTCGAAGGTCTGAATCTCCAGGTCGATCTTGAAATCGGCCTCCTTAATGAGATCGATGACTGCCTGCTCGGTAGAGTTACGCACATCCTTCCCGTTGAGCGACAGGATTCGATCGCCGACCTTTAGACGACCACACAAGTGCGCCGGACTGTCGGGCACAATGCCCTTGATGAAGATGCCGGTGGTCTTGGTGTTCGGCGAGTCCTTTACCTCACCTCTTACTATGCAGATGCCGAAGGACTTTTTGCCCGTCTTGTCCAGGGTCACCATGTGAACACGCTCTGTGGGGAAGAATGTGGGGCTTATAAAAACAAAATAAGAACTGCGGAAAGATTTAGTCTTTAATTTCCACTTTTTTAGACCACGCTTATACCGTTGCAAAAGGCATTAAAATTAAAGCATTAGTCCTTCACTTTTAAAAGTTCGTTGCAGTTGTGTTATTAAAAACAAAAAAGTTCAGGAAACACTGTTAAAACTTCAAATTGATATCAAGCTTAGAAACGTTTGCGTTTTTATAATATTTTTTTATTTTAAAGCAGCTTGCACATTCGTTATCCTTTTTATATTAATGCATCTGAACAACTTTTGAAAAGTTATTAATACAAATTAGTAATTTTAATATTTCACTTTTCTGATAGGTTTAAAGAAAGTTTGACTTTATACTGGTATTTAAAATTGATTGTATCACTTTGACAAATAGTTGCGTGAGAGTTATGATTGCGATTAGGAGGTCATTAACATAAGATCTAACTTTTTTTTTATTTGCAATGTTTTGAAAAACCGAATTTTTAAATATACATTAGGTAATTCTTCTGTAATGTATAACACGAATACACAAAACGTATTAAAAGCAAAAAAGTTGAAAATCATATAAAATTATATAATCAATTTTTAGTTCAAATCACAAGAATGGTTATTAGTAGTCATTCGTTTTCAAGATTTTATTAAGTTTGATATAGTGACCTCAACAAGGTCATGTTTTTGTCGGATTAGTTGCAAATTTAATTAGCAGTTGGTCATGAAACCACTCAATAGACACTGACCACCAGCGGCGCCCGGATTTTGATTTCCCAGGAACTGAACCATCTTCGCTGGTCGAGATCAATAGCCTTGTAATCCAAACCAAAATCGCGAGTCACTGTCCGGACATTAAACGCACCAAATGAATTGCTAAGTTATTGATTTATATTAATATTAAAATATTTCAAATTATTAATTAGTTCTGAATAGTCCGCGTTGGTACCGCCCGATTTGAGTCCATTGAAAAGTGCGCCTAAACTGATTTTACAATTAGCGGGACAACATTCTTGCTAACTGACTTAGTGGCCATTCTATTTTGAGTATGATTTTCGTATCGATTACACTTGTCTGCAAGGTTTTTGTTCTACTTAAAATAGCGTAGGTAAACTAGTTGCATTATGTTCAAAGCCAAATATATTTAAATACTACACTTATATTTGTAAAAATGGTTTAAGCAAAAAAATAATTAATTAAAGTGAATTTATTAATGCTTTTGGTATAAAATGTATGATTACAATGTCAAAACCAATAAATGACCTGCTCTTTGTGTTGTGATGAGGTTTCTTTTTTAAATAAATTAAGACTTGGAATCAAATTTTGTTTTTTAGGCTAAAATCTATTTTATGGCTTGTAGTACAGTGTTATCGATTTGGCGGAGGTGCTTCTATTGCATTGAGTAACTTTCACTGTCTTTTATGACACCACTGGCATAATGCACGGCTCCCCCAAGACGGTCATAATATGGGTTACAGTCGCGACTGCGAAGGCGAATAAGGAAAAGGCAGTCGTCAAGTGGCTTTATCGCCCCTATCAAGTTATTAATTTGTTGGTACGATTTGGCCGTGCTCAACTCAACACTCCGCCGGAGGAAGCCCGTCAAGTGTTGACCAGAAATGCCCATCGATTTTATCTTTTTCTTTCATTGCACTTACAACAAAATAACATATGTCCCACACATTTTTACAAGCACGAGAGCTTGCATGTCAGCCATACAAAGTATTCATTGTTTTTGAAAACTATGTATATAAACGAAAATTTTGCAAAAGTTAACAATAGTTTCAATATAATTAAAGCCATACCTTTTAAAATGAAAATCAATAATGTTGAAGTTTAAAAATCGGATTGCCAACTTTATAATGTTAAAATGTAATGAAATTCACTTTCTAAGTACATAATTTAATATATCAAAATGTTTACATGGAAAAGCAGTTGATAAATGCCCCAAAATGTAGGCAACACTTTGTAATTTGCAGGGATTTATTTGTAATTTTATCAGAAGATAAAGTCAAAGGCAATCAAATAAAACTTTTCGGATTTCTTCAACTTGAGTGGCAAATGAATTTAATTTGTCTTCCAAGCTTAAATTCATAATCGAGATTTGCATTTTAATGCCTTTGCCAGAGGAGGCGGAAGAATAAAACAAAATGGAGAGGGATAATCGGAAAGAGGGGAAAAAGAGAAGATGGCTATGCAAACATTTCCATTAAATGCTCGAACGAAATGAAACGAAAGGAGGAACGCTAAGGCAGCTCCAAAGGGAAACTAGAGTAAACACATGCTCAAAGGCGGGGGAAATTTTCCGGAGAGGGGGGACGAGTGAAACTGGAAAATGGCCACCAGAAAGTGGGAGTGGAACGTCAACGACTGCGAAACGATGTTGGAAATTAATTTCATAATAAAAAAGCGTAAGGAAACCCATTTGATAAAACAATTTCCTTTTTGCCTCCCAACAGTCATGTTTTGTTAGTAAAGTAAATTCAAAAGAGAGCAGAGCGAAAATATGGCAATGAGCTTAACTCGCTCCAACCGTCCCCATTCCCCCCTTGCTTTTCGTTGCTTTGCAGCCTCTGCCGCTGCCGGCGTCTCTGCTCGCAGCACCTCGTCTTTTGATTGGCTCTCTCGAAACAGCCACGCCCCCCGCAATGGCTGCTGTCTGCAATGTCCTTTTCGGCTATTCTTCTCTCTCTCTCGCTCTCTGCTGCGTCGCAGTCGGCGCATGGTTGTTGCGAGGATTTAGTTAACTGAAGTGATTTTCCACTGTTTGCTGTCACACACACACCCACACAAACTGGCGAGTCCTTATGTAAGTGGCCACACGTGCTTGTGTGTGTGTGTGTTGGCGAATCCGTTGTTGACTTGTTCTCGTGTTGTACTTACATGCAGTTATATCAAATTGCTAATAATCGTTTAGCAGGCACTTCAGACTGCGTCCTGGAAATGAATAAAAATTACAGTTTTCTGCGCAAAAACACTTGAGGCCATGATTCGGATTTGGAATAATATGGAAATTGTTTAGAAGCAGGAGACTGTTTAAACCACAAAACCTCGAGAGGGAAACAACTACCTGGTACTAGGGGAACCTCCTCTACCACAAAGCTGGAGTTGGAAACGTTAATTGAAAACTCTCGTTAAGCCAAACATTTCCGGAATTCCCTCATCTATCTTGTTTAAATGTACATTTTATTTAAAATGTATTCACTAAACACCACTTAGTTTGGAATTTGTAAAAAAGTACTTAACTTTTTGGAGACTTTGGCATACTGATTTTTAAATAACTGGTGGTGTAAAGGCGATTTCCATTAATTTGTTTTAAATATCTTAACAATAAATCTTAACAATTATTTATTAACATTTTATCGGTAATGGGTATTATGAGTAAACCTCAGAATAAAAATATAATTTTTCTAGTTTTCTTACCTTTAAAAATAAAGTTTTTTTTTGGTTGCATGCGTAGGTTTGAAAATAATTTTGATAAGCCGAGCTTCAATAAGGGAATAGGCTGCGGACTTATCCTTACACTGTTTATCGGTCCCTAGCGGCGCAACAGGCGTTTCCCGCCCGTTAAGATACAGAAAACAAAAAGGGGCCAACCGAGGGGGCGGAAAACCAACTGAATATTCTCACGACATTTAAGGACATCTACAAACAATTACGCCCGTACATGTGTACCAGGCTCGAGTTCGAACTCCGAACTCCCAGCTCGGACGGAATGACGCACGGAATGCTCGCTGGGAGGCGGGGATTATAGATATTTGTGTTTACTACGGCTGTACATATAATGTCCTCATAACTTTTAATACGTGAACGTGATAGATCAAATAATGGTGCCCACATGGCCGCCAGAACATCGTTCACTTGCATCGGAGATCCGGGAACGGGATTTACTGGATTACGCGCACCGCCCAACATTAAAACTCAATTTGAATGACAACGCGTAAGCAAATAATTGTCCTTTTGCGACCCGCCAGTGTCCTCGGTCTTCACTTCAAAAGTTTGCTCTCCACACGGTAGTAAGTTATTCAAATATTGAGTTTTTCAACTCGCTCGAAGCGGGCGAACCACCCTCCGATCCGATCCGTGAATGTGCGCAGGGTCGCAGAAGGATTCCTCGCACTCCTCGCCGAAGGACTCGAAATTTCATTCGCTTCCCTTTGTTTGAGTTGGGCTCGTTTCACTCCTCTAAATACATTTGATTTGTTTACCATGGCCCGAGGCCGAGCCGGAGATCTTAAGCTGCATGTAAATGCGTTAAATTAAATTTCAAACGCTTGTACTCCAGCTGAAGGACAATGACAATCAAATGGCTGAATGGGTGCCTTAGCCTGGCTTTCGTTTCGCTGGATTGAGTGGGTAGTTGCTGACGATTTTGATTTAGTGCTCATCCGGCTGGCGACCTAATGCGATTATGGGAATACAGATTTGCGGTCTCCATATGGAGAGTAATTTAGGCTGAAGAAAAACTCGCAAAAAATAAAAGATTTCGGAGTAAATTTAAAACATTTAATTCAAAAGATTATTTTAAAGATCTTACTTTATTTTCGTTTTTAAAATATACAAAACTTTTACAGTATGCAGACATATTTTACAAGTCCCAAGAAAATCGGAAGTGTTATATGTATTATTTCAATATAACGCCAATTCTATCCGATCTGAAATGAATTATGGAAACACCAATGGTAAATCTTATGGCCTATAGTTTTAAGCTGGCTTTCGCATATATCATGAACATAAAAATTTAAATAAAAATATGTACTAATATTTAACAAATAATAATTCTTTATGAAGATTTCTAAAATACAATTAAAGTTGAACTTGCAAATGTTCCTTCTTACATGAGGAATATAAATTAAAAGACATCCAATGAAACTCTCTTTGGAAAAATAGATTATATTGGGTATATGGGTCACAATACATACTTCCCTAGCTCATGCTCCCTGCCAAGATGATTGCACATTCAATATTGTTGATTTTGGACACTGATAGGCCATCGACACCATTCCGCACGTGTTCGCACTTCGCGGTCCTTCGGCCACGTGTTAACTTGTTTGTGATATCCTCATCAGCGCAGGCAAATATTTATTGTTCGCATTTTATTTGCAGCGCAAATTGGTAATATCCATGGCCAGCATCCTTCGAAAGTTGGGAGTCCTCAACATCCGGGTGTTGTGTCCTCTATTTTCTTTCCATTTGTCGCCATGTCGCCCACATTGCTTTGATCTAACAAATTGATTTACACTAACGATTATTTAATGAAATTCCACAAGCGGCACTCCTCCTTCCCACCCCTCGGAAATGTCCTGGCCGGAAGTGTAAATTACCCAACACCAAGTCCAATAAAGGACTCATCCACGTGTGCACACGTGCCCACTGGCAACTTATTAGGCGTGGCTTAAAACCATTCCCTAGTTTTCCATTCTCAAATTCACACTGTTAGATTCTTTTTGGTTTGATTTAAATTTGTTTCGTTCAAGAGTCGTTGGATCTGATTTGTTATCCCTTTTGTGGATTGTTGTCATGATTACGGATAAGCAACTAATGAAGATTTCGAAACATTTTGAGGAGAGTTGTGGCAGAAGAGGTAGAGGAACATTAAATTACGCATACGTCCTGTTGGGATACAAATTATACCAACAAATTCAACATAACATTTTTCATAATAGGAATGCATATATCCCAGGAATATAATATATACTATTATATAATTTCATTATTGTTTTTTTTTTTTAAACGTTCCCACTGATACCAGATGTTAAAACTTCCTCGCAAATTATTTTAAGCTCCAAAAACGTTGAGCTCAATCATCCCGCACAATTTAGAGAAAATCCCTTCTATTTTGACTTCATAAGCCTCGACACCAAAACAAATAAACGATTATCTTTCACGGCTTGTGCGTGACCACGTTGAAAGGGAAAAAATCGGCGGGATTGAAGGGGATCAGTAGTCAAGATAGATATTACCAACTGTCCAAATTGCCGCCACGCCCCAACAGTTAAGAGAGCAAAAGCCAAAGTGGGCAACCAATCCCATATTCAGAGAGTTTTGCTTTCGTGGCATACGGACAAGTGACAATCATCCCACTTAATTGAATTCTGTGCTGCATAATAAATCAACTTAATGCGATCCAAGTACCCAGTTGAGTTCCTCGAGGATGCAGAGCAATTCAAAATGGAGGCAAAAAAAAAACGGGGGCTGGCTGGCTGGTGGAAATCCTTTGGCTGCGGTTATAGGTGGCTCAGGCAGTTCCAGCGGCAAATAAACAACAATAACACACTCAGCCAGCGATGCCCACTTTTGCCCATTTCCACCCGCCCAGTAATTTCCACACTTGTGCTGACACATTGAAAGGGCTTTGGGTTTTATTTATGAATTGAGAAATTGACATCCTGTGTGCGCGGGGTGGTGGGGAAAAACTGGGTTCCTGAGGAGGCTTAGGCACACGGCTCTCGATTTTTATTGCCGCCAAACAAGAGGCTTAGGCAGAGGCATCATCGCCACAACCACCACGACCATTACCATTACCACTACCACTACCACCATCATCATCATCCGCATCCACGTCAAATGAACAAAACTGAATGAAATGAGCCACGAAACATTGGTGTGTGGCACTTGCTGTTTGTGCCAATCCCCTGCCACAAAAAAAAAATAAAAACCGGGATAAATCGAGCGTGAAATATTCCAGCTCGTCCACAGGATTCGAATTCGAAGGGCAAGGGAGAGAAGGGGAGGTGGTTAAATCGAATCCATTGTTGTGCTTGCCACTTGTTGGCAGGTTGGAGATCCTGAAACAAAATTTGCGGCTGCAGTTGTGCAATTTGCTCGCTGCCTGCTGTGATTTTTCCCATTGTCCTGGCGGTCCTGGGGTGGCTTGCTCGCTGATTCTCGACGTCCTTGTCCATCAAATTGAGCGTCACTCAAGTATTCAAGTGCCTGTATGTGTATCTCTCACCGCCGGAGTCCTGCCTTGTTTTCAGCGCTTTCCAGATACTTCAAAGATTTAATAATGACATAAGAAGTGAAGCTATTAAACCTGCCATCCCTCGGAGCCGAACTTCTTATGCGGCCTCAAGTGTTTGCCTTTGCGATCCAGCAGGTGCCACTGACTGCCAGGATACCCGACCATCGATCCGAGATGCGACAGGATGCGGCATCTCAAGCACAAATTAGTGGGAGCACCCTATCCTTTGATGTACACTTGGGGAATTTTGAAATGCAGATTAAAACAAGAGTTCATAAGAGCGGCTTAGGTGCAATTATCAAAAAAAAAAGGTTAAAGAACGAAGGTTTTATTTGTTTTAAATAGAAAAACAAAAACAAAATTATTGCTTGGCTATTTAAATATCTTAATTTCATGTTAATTTTTAATGATTGCTAATGATTATCTTTAAGATAGGTATAGGTATAGGTATAGTTAAATATGCAAAAATATGGTTGTTTGTTAAAAATATTACCTTAAAAGTATAATTGAAAAATTAAATAATAAATTGACGATGTTTAATGGATTTCTGTACTTTATTACTGAATTAAAATCGATGTATAATAATATTGGTCAGTGTAGGGCGCTAAAGACGGGCCATCGTTTGGGGCTAGCAACTGTCGCCTTTGTTTGTGCCGAAAGAAGTGATTGTCCTTGTTAGATCCTTGCAGTCAAAGCAATTCAAGTGTCAAATCTTTTATTTGCCTTTTGCAGATTTCGCAATAAAAATTTGTATTGTCAAAAGTCTGGGCTCATCCAAGCCAAAGACCAATCCCAAATGCGAATCCGTAGTCAGTGCATCCCCATTCCCCGCTCCGTTTAGCGAGCTCCTTTTCATCCGCTTGGCGTATCCTTTGGTCGTTTGTTTGTGTGCAATAAATTTGCTGACAAAAGAGGGATTATTGCTGGATCATGCCGCTGTTGCTGCAGCGCAGGATGAGGAAGGAGGATTCAACTACGCAAACCTGAAGCCGGGAGCTGAGCAGGATGTGCTCCTGGTGGCTGGTTCCTGTCAGCGTGCATTCCTGGGCGTTATTGTTTGGCCATAAGTTAATTGTTCCCCTGCGAAAGCTTCAATGCACCGCGTCCTTACGCTCAACTGGCCGCCAGAGCCCTTCGTCCGGACTCATGCTGTGCTTAAGCGGTGATTAACCGTAGTCTGACAGGGGACAAGGATACGGATATGGCCACGGATTGGCGCAGGATGGCGATTGGAGGCGGGGTGGTTCGGGTGCACATAGTTGGTAACGTTTAATTGCCATGGAAACTATCGAGCATGCGGATAAGTAATGAAAAGTGGATTGAAAGAGCAAATATTTTTCATATAATATACAAGAAGGAACTGCTGGAAGGATTAAGTGGGCCGATAGGAAGAGGTAGAAGGATAACCCTTGATAGATATAAATATAAATTCTATCAATTTAAGGTTGTTCCTACAAAATCCTGAAAATAAACATGCCTACATGGCTACAATCGAGAAAATCACTTATATTTTAGGTAGGTATTGGGGGACGGTGGCCTAGCAGGTAGAGCGCTGGCCTCCGGTCCGGAAGGCCCGGGTTCAAGTCGAGCCCCAGGCTCCCCGAGAAAAAGAAAGATCTCTTTTTCCAAATCTCCACCACTTCTATGCTCTATCGCTCACTTAACTTTAGTAACAAATTTCGGCTCCCCGGACCCGCACACCCCTCGTCCACGTTACTATGGACCAAACAATAGAACTTTCGTTACTCCTAGATGGCGCCAGGTGGCAACCCCACCGCTAGGATAAGTCGCTACTGGCTTATCACCGGTACGATCGAAAATCTATGATAATGAATCCTCTACAAGAAATTGTAGAGGCTCTAAGCTCCCGGGTGGAGTAAAAGAATGTAAATTTTTTAAAAATTTAGGTACTAGTATTTCAAAATAAGGATCCCTTGTGTTTAATTAAGAATCCAAGCTTAACAAGCATTAAATATTAATATTAACATCAAAATAAACTTATGTAGTAACTCGTAAGCGTATTGAACTTGTGTGCAATTTATCGGTTTTACAGATCTAACGGATTTACCTGTTAATAATGTTCCGGAATATTTGTGTAGTTCATGTGTGCTCTCGGGAAAGTTGATTACGTTTTTGGCTGAACAATTTCGGTTAACAGCCATAAAATCTTCTGTTTGCTCATAAAAAAGACAAAGGAAAGCCGCAATAAATTTTCCGCATCTAAATTGCTCAACGGACAGATCTAGGAGGTCCCCATGTATGTATCCCCTACCATTCAATTTTCCCCCAGATAATACCAACACTACTGAGCGGAGATAAAGATACATACCGATTCCGGATGCCACGCCCCTAAAAATCCGGCCAAAAAATCATTGATTCGTAAGTGTAACAGTGTGGAAAAGGGGACGAGGGAAATGGGGTTTGGGGGGGATGGGGGGGATGGCAAAGCTAAAATAGAATAATGAAAACGATGCCAAGAGTGAAAGAAGCGATATCAATATTGTCCTGAATGCGAAGATGGCGGCCATTATTGTGTTTGCGTCTGTTTCCATGTCCCTGTGTGCGTGTGTATGTGCATTTGTGGCTGTGTGTGGGTAACTTCCGCAAAACTGGAAAACTAATTTGAACAAAGTACAACAAATAAAAGTGACTACTGAATGTTTAATTTGAAAAGGGAAGGCTCCAAACACTGAACGCTGAATAACAGCAGCAGCAACAACAACAACAACAAGAGCAATGTCTAACAACCGGGGAACAAAAACAGCGAAAATGAAAAAGAGAAATAATACAAAACTCACTTGGATACAAGTACAAATACAGCAAACACATTTACAGTCTGCCCCTCCCTCCCTCTCTTTTCCACCCACTCTAGTATCCCCCATTGTGTTTAGAGGATGTTGGCAAAAATGGCGCATTCAATTCCCTCTGACTCCCGTACCCCAAAAATATACACAGGAGAAAAATATTTGCAACCACTAAGTCTATAACTATTTAATATTCTTAAATTTGGTAGCCTACATGTCTGATTTTCATTTTTCTTATTCCATTTGTTTACTTACATTAAACAAAAAAAAAATATGGTAGTTTTTTATTAACAAAGGAATTAAAAAAAAATTGTTTAGCTTACGTTTTTATTTTTAAAGTACCTATAAAAAACTTTATTTGTTAGAAAGCACGCGGAAATTTGAATTGTATGTAAGTTTTGGACCTTTTCCCATCCTCTACAAAAATATAAATAATTTCAAACATAACTTAGCACATATCATAAGATCCTTTAAAATTTTTTTTCATGTGCATAGGGAAAAAGAACGGGATTGGCAACGCGAGACCGAGAGAAACCAAGAAACGTCGACATACGGTTAGAAAAACATTCGCACATAAAAATGCTAACATTTGAAGCATAACATTTGGCGCAGAGAACCGGGAGAGAGGGAGCAGGATAAGGAGGGAAAAAGAGAGGGACGACTGCCTCCATGTGGCTGACATAATGAAACATTATTAAGAGCCACGACGTCAAAGCGGCAAAAGGTATCTAAATTTGCGCAAAATGTTTATCCCCCCAACCCTCTTACATTTTGGCTTCTGCAGTCGCTGCCAATTTGCCGTTGCTTTTGGGAGAGGAAAACACAAATATCACATTTACAGGGACAGCACTCCACCATTTTGTGTTCCCAAATGCTGTGTGAGAGAGTGGGATGGCAAGAGCGAGAAGGCCATAGATTGGTTCGCAGGATATCATCATCCCATCCCCCGCTAGAAAGAGATGGGCTGCAGCTTAGCGCTCTCTCGCTCTCTCTTTTTCCCTCTGCCCGGATGCTGCCTGCGTCGACGACGACGTCGACAGTAGAATCACAGTTATTCGAGATACGAAAACACAGCAGCGGCGACACAAAAGCTCAGGGAAACGTCGGCGGCAGCGGCATTGGCAGCGGTTTTTCATAAATAAATGTTTGAGTTATGTAGAAAAACATTTTGGGCGAGAAGATTTTCGTTTTCGTTGCGATTCAGTTAACATTTGGCCAGCGGATTCCGCCTTCAACGGACACGACGACGGACGCGCGCTTCCATCTTTCCACAACTTTCCACTCCACTGCTGGCCATATGTACAGTTATTCGGAGAACAGTGAACGGTTAACGGTGAAGGATAACGGTAGCGGAAGCGAAAACGAAAACTACAAATTCCAAATTAAATGCCAAAGCAAATGCCAAGTGAAGCTGGTGAAGCGCCAAAAAGAACACAGTTCCTGAGCAAAATATTCAAACCAAAAATAAAACAGTGTTGCGTCCTCTAAACTAAGTAAATCCAGTAACTTTAACAGACTACAGTGATCATTCGCAATAATGCACACCAGCTCGGACCCAATGCACACTCTACACGACAGTGTCTCCCTTTCGCCGCCGCTTCTGAAGAGCTCAAGAGGCGGCTCCTCCGGCGGAAGCGGAATGGGATGCAGTGCATCCTCGCGAGCCGCCGCCGTAGACGCAATGTCCATGGGTTGTGACGACAGTGACATTGAGCCGTCGGCCGTCGGCGGAAGTGGTTCCGTCGGCGGCGGAGATGGATCCGGCTCGAGCGGAGGACCACTGGTGAAGCCACCGTACTCCTACATAGCCCTCATCACCATGGCCATTCTGCAGTCGCCGCACAAAAAGCTCACACTCAGCGGGATTTGTGACTTCATCATGTCGCGGTATGTGATCCTTAAAATGTTAAAGAACTCTTTGAAACCATTAACTCCTGAGTTATCAAATTAAACAGTAATAAAGTGCGTCTGATCCCGATTTTAAAGTGAGCTTTGATAGATGTGATTTGTTTGAAAAGTATACATTTTCCGATATAAAAATTGGTTTTAGTTTTGTTAAATGATTCACCAAACGAACTGGCCAATGTCACTGATATCAAGTGTTTTGTACTTGTTCCTGAATTAAAATAACTTTACTTTGCCTATAAAATTTACTTTAGAAAGTAATAGCTTCATAAAAAGAAAACATCCTAAAGTAATTTAACTGGTCATTTTTTAAGCTCCTAACAATTTAAAATTTTTGGCGTTGATCATATTAATTAACTCTAGTATTGGTTAGGTTAATAATTTTTGTGTGATTGTGCAGAAAAACATTTATATAGAAGAACAGATATATAGAATCAAACTAAGCTCCAAATATGTTTTCCAATTCACTTGTAGCTTTCCGTACTACAAGGACAAGTTCCCCGCCTGGCAGAACTCGATCAGGCACAATCTCAGTCTGAACGACTGCTTCATAAAGGTGCCCCGTGAGCCGGGAAATCCGGGTAAGGGTAACTTCTGGACGCTGGACCCGCTGGCGGAGGACATGTTCGACAACGGTAGCTTCCTGCGACGCCGGAAGCGATACAAACGAGCTCCCACCATGCAGCGGTTCTCCTTTCCGGCGGTTTTCGGCACACTGTCTCCGTTCTGGATCCGAAAACCCGTGCCCCTCGTCCCTGTGCACTTCAATGTGCCCAACTTCAACGGGAGCAGGGACTTCGATGTGGTCCACAATCCGGCGGATGTGTTTGATTCCGCACTGCGGGCGGACAAGAAGTTTAACTTCTTTGCAAATGCAGAGGCTTCGTTTTACCAGGGAAGTCAGTCGGGTGACAAGTTCGACCGGTTGCCCTTCATCAACAGAGGTCGTGGAGTGGATGCTTTGGATGTAGTGCCACACAGCAGTGGTTCCGGCGGAGGAGGAGGAGGAGCAGGTGGTGGCTCCGAAGGCAGTCGAGCCACCAAGTACAAGAGTCCCTACGCCTTCGATGTGGCGACTGTGGCCAGTGCTGCGGGACTTTCCAGCCACCGGGATTACGTGGATCGCATGGCGGCTGGTGGTTACATGGATCTCAATGTTTATAACGATGATGCGGACACAGAGGCAGATGCGGAAGCCGAGGGAGATGAGGACTCCTGTGAGGATAAGATCGATGTGGAGAGCGGCAATGAGCAGGAGGACTCACACATCTCGGATTCGGTGGACAGCGCCTGTACAAATCGCTTGGATGCGCCTCCTGATGCACTGATCTTCGAGCATGCGGAGGCCTCCCAAAGCTCGCCACCGGCAATTGGCTCCAGCCCAAGGACACGCTTCGATAGTGAGCCCTTGGTCCTGAGGACCAGCAAACAGAGCAGCGCCAAGGACTTCCGCATCGAGACGCTAATTGGTCATCATCTGCATCGAGGAGCAAGTCAAGAGGAGGCGAGCGATTAAATGAGATTTCAACAATCCGTTAAGAGCTTTCTCCCAAATAAAAACCGATTGGCTTGTGTACAGTCCATTGAACGGTGATTTCAGTTTCGATCTAAGCACGTTTTAACACTCCACCCCCACTTCCCCCCAAAGAAGCCACCAATCCGAGCAGCAAGTAGTGATCAGTAGGTGTATCTGTAGGATGTAGGAGCCAGCACACGAGTTTTTAAATGCGACCAAATCAAAGCCAACGCTATAGTTGCCAGTCCACTTACGTACGTACTATATATCAGCGCGTATTTCAATGTAAATCAGATGCATTGCACATTTATAGCATACTTTTAACGCGAACTCTAGAGATCTAGATCCTAGACCTATATCTACCATACAAGTACTATGCATGTGTAAGTGTGCGTGTGTGAGCGTGTAACTGTAACACATCCAAGCAAGTGGAACACTATTAACTATAAATTAGTCTAAGAATTTTGCTGATGTTATTGAAAATTGAATAAACAACAACATAACAATATTGTACATTGAATGAGATAGTTGTTTAATGGTAAGTATCTAAACGTAATCCCATTTTCAGTTTGTGGAGCTTGTGATTTAAATTTATTAAACGTATTATTTTTTCTAAACAGGAAATGGTACTTAAAAATGTATAAATGAAGTCTATAGTTTTAAAAATTAATTTCGCATTACAATTATAAACTTAACCTATTTCTTAAGAAATACAACATATATGATAAAGGTTCTCCAAAATTCATAATGCATAGAAGTTATGAAATCTCAGCAAAAACTTATGCAGTTAATTGATATTTTATTATTATGTTTTACCCTTAAATTTATTTATTTAGTACCTAAAGAAAGTAAAGAAATTCAAAACATATGTTTGTGTTATCCTTTGTTAAAGTAATATAATTTGTTTTGTTAAAATCTGAATGAAGTATATGTAAGTCACCGAATTCAATCAGTGTTTTGAATTCGAACTTCCCGCCCAAAATCCAATCGCAGATATGGCAACAGTGGTTGGAAATCAGTTCAGCTTTAGCGCCTGCGCACTGCGCGCCGCTCAGCTGATTTGGCGCAGGACGAAGCTGGTCGTCAATGGAGCCCCATCGAAGCGCAGCTCTACCAAAAAAGCTCAGCTCTCCGGACGCTTCGTAGTGTTCCAGTGTTAAAACATTAAAAGCTGCGCCTGGAAGCGGGACAACAGTGTGCCGTAGAAGATACCAACACCAACTATTGGTATCCGCCAGCAAAGCAGAACTCACGCGCTACGCCGAGAGTACGAACTCCTTTTTTGGCACAGTTCGCCCCCGCGAACTCCATTTGCACACACACTATCGCTCGTTTATGGATACGTTTGCATATATACGAAAGTGTGGCTGCAAAAAGTCGATTTTTCGCTAACAAAAAGTGCTCGACGCTAAGCAAACTTTAAATGGCCCGGGTCGTAAAAGGAGATTGCAATAGTTGCAAGATGTCCTGCGATTCCGGAAAGGACCTCCTACGGTGGCCAAGGTGCTGCTGAGCTCATCGAAGCGAGCAAAAGTTTTTGTGCCGTATCCCCAGAAAAATAACCATCCCCCAAATGCTGCTGTGATTGAGATAGGTGATAATGAGTGCGACCAAGGGCCCCCATGTCTCCGCTTAAAAGCGCAATAGTAACGATAAGGACTAACAAACAACCGCAAGAGTATTAGGTGACAACGTTGCACAACGGAGTCGCAGGAGTGTTCACGGGTTAATCAGCAAACAGGAGGAGCAGTTGCAGGATCTACAAGTTCCGGCGGAAACGGACGTGGACCAGGACCCCAAATAGGCAGCCCTAATGGCGGGCTGGCGAGGGCGGGGGGCTGTGTGCTACGCTGCTGGCCGGGCTGACGTTACTCTCGGGTGAGCACAATCCCTCCCCAAGGGGAATTCCCCCTAAAACTATTTTGTGGACCCCCCTAATATGAAAACCCCCCTCCGCAAAAAAAACAGTTACCCATTCGGTGCGCATCACCAACCTGCGAGTGCCGCGCACTTACACGCTGTTGCGTGACCACGAACCCGATCCTCTGGTGCTCGACTGCGAGGTGGAGATCGGTCCGCGGGAGCAGGGATTCGTCCTTAAGTGGCTGTTTAACAACCATTCCATCTACCAATGGATACCCTCGGTCAAGGGGTTCGCCATGGTGAGTCACCTGCACTGGGTCGCACAAACAATTAATTAACATTAATGCCGAACGAAACCCGTTTCGCCTTTGTCGTGTTCTTACAATTTTCTTGTAGGGCTTCATGAAGTCGAAGATAGACACCAAAATATTCACTATGGAGGGCAGTCCCGGTGTTATATCGATAAAGAATCCCGACTGGAACATGACGGGGGAGTATACGTGTGCGGTGCAGACCTTCGAGTCCACGGATAAGCGGAGTGCCCGCTTGCAAATAATCGGTGGGTGTCACGACCGCAGGCGAAAAAAGGATCGGCGGTGAAAGATGTGTTGCCTTGGGGAGGTGGGCGGTCTTGAGGGGGTGGGAGAAAGGTCTAAAGACTGAGGTCTAAGGTGGTGGCTTCGGTGGTTGGGTCACCTGCCCACCCACTGGCCCACTTGCCCTCCTACTTCCTCCCTTTCTTCTCCCTCCCCTGTCTCCACCTCCTCCTCCTCTATCATGACTTGGGCCCTTCTGGCTTGTGTGTGTTTGGATAGGTGTTTGGGTCGGTGTTTACACAGGGAGACAAAATTATGATTTATGTACCTTAAAGCAATTTACAAAAGTCAAGAAAGCATTTGCTTAATACGCCTTTGCTTTTCATATTCTTTGCCATTAGTCTTTGTGTAGTTTGGCCATTTATCTTGTTAGGTTTGTTAGGACTTAAAAAGTCGGGTTTGTCATTAGCGTTTAATTAATATTAAGGAATGCTTTAAATAATTTTGATTATTTATTTATATTTTCAATCTTTATTTGAGGTAATTTGTGAATTAACTTTTACCAAAATCACTCATTAATATTTAAGTTTAAAGTGAAATGAAAGTTTTGGGATTTGATTAAGTGTATTTTCTATAGGCAATTAAACGTTTGTGTTGTATAGTTTGTTATCAAAATTTGATAATATCTCAAATCAAAATTCTATTTCTAGGGTGTATGGTTTTGTTTTAGGTGTCCCAAGTCAATTTTCAAGCTTAATTCATTCAATTTGAGCATGCCCAATTGAGTTCCATCCGAGTTCCGGGCCGGGGGTCAAACCTTTTCTTCCGGTGCAGGCGATTGGGCCCCGTCTGTTTGGCACGTGTGATTCGCTTTCATATTTGCATGCGTGTCATGTGGCAGTCTCTGCGGTGTCCGGAACCGCCGCTTGTTTGTCCTGTTTTGTGCTTTTCTTTGGGACACCGTTTCGTTTCACCGTTACGGTTCGTCCCGTTACGTTTCGTCTTGTTTTGTTTTGTTTTGGAACGTTGTTTAGTTTGACACTTGATTAATTCTCACGACTCTTTGTTTTTTTGGGCTCCTGTCTGCCGGCTCGTCCTCAAATCTCCCCCAACCCCAAAACTCCGAACTCCACGCAGTTCCTGAGTCGGATTTCATGCTGGAAGCGCGGATGAGCGGCTCTCGTATGGAGGTGGACATAATGTGCGCCGTCCAGCACGTCTTTCCGCAACCCATGCTATCGGTCATGTAAGTTAAGCCCGGTCATTGTGGTCGCGTCGCTGTGATTGAAAAGCCCGTAAATCTCATCATCCCATTCTATCATACGCAGGTTTGACACCCACATCCTGGATTCGGTGCTGACGCAGTTGGACCAGGACCCCAGTGGCCTCTACAGCATGACCGTGCGCACCCGCATTCCTAGAGATCAACTCGAGTCCCCCACCCCGATCACCTGTGCGTTCATCCTGGTTGGCACCAACTATACAAAGCGCCGGGAGACTATATTCTATGGTAGGTACAGGTGAGAAGGGCTTGTACAAACATTGTTCCCTATAAGTCATCTCGTTGCATATACATATGTACATACATCAATTAAATTTTAATTGCGTTCTAAAGCGTACTATTATCGCTATCATAATTTGAATATAGATAACTTCGCTTTCATAATTTGAATTGATTGTTGTTGAATATATTTACTAATCATATGATTATGTATAATATTTGATTAACTTAAATTCAAAAATTATAAAATATTTGTTAAAAACTATAAGATCCTTTTATATTATTGGCTGCTGGAATAAGGTCAGAATAAAATCATAGACTCGACCTAAGAGATTTAAATTGTTCGAGTCTTCTCACACCTTATTACAAAAGCACTTTAAAAGTTAAATTTTTTGTATTACTACCAAACATTTTATAAATCAAAAAATTTGTATCCTTACAGATAAGGCCTCAACTATACAACGCAAATGGACAACGGTAGCCGTAGTCATGTCCATCGCATCCTTAGCTCTAAGCAGTTAGTTTGGTAGTGTCCTTTAACGTAGGCTATATTTGTTTTTACGTTTGGTCTAGACTCTTTGATACTCTTTAATTTTTAATAGAATTTTAACGGATAAACGTAATTTTTTGCGGTATTTTTAAAAGAAGCGCTTATTTTGTACATGCATGTATTTGTAAGGATAACGAAACACAAAACAAACCAAAAAAACAAACACCACAATGCGCAAGCAAACGAACCCATAAAGACATGAACTATAAAAAACAAAAGTAACACGCATAACAAGAAATTCTTGTATTCATATATTTACCATATAAATAAAATATATATGATAGTTATATATGATGTATAGGTCTATTTGAGTACAGAAACGCTAATAAAAAACGAAAAGAAACATTAAAAGTGCATTAAACCAACCGCCTTCGTCGTTGTTTTTCTTTGCAAATATATCTAAATTTTAAAATTGTATTTTAATTGTAAAATTACGAATTCGAGCGTCCATTCAATTCACATTATAAATAAATCACCAAAGGATTAACTAATATACGAAATTTGTATTTTTGGCTTTCGGGGGTTTACCAAATCAAGTTTTATCCTTATTTTATCGAAACAAAATAAAGCTTTTATTATTTTTAATTTGTCTACCCCACTGGATCGTCAGAATAAAATAAATAATTGGTCGTTATAGCTTCATACCTAAATGACTTACACCAATTATTGATTTAAAATATCTGGTTCTATACTAATCAGCCATTTAATTTTAAACTTGTTAATAAATTAATTTTAATTGATATTGATAAAAAGCGTTATGATTCACTTACTTTTGAAAATAAATTCCTTGCGGATCTCGAAACCCTGCGGATGTTCCGCACTCGAGGTTGTCAGTTACTGCAACCCTGCGCGCGTTCCTGCGCACACCGTTCCAACACAGCCGACGACCTTCCAGCCTTCCAGTGTGCCTATGAGTATGCAGTGAAAATGACAGCAGTGGCAGAGGAGCGAACAACATCACCGTAGACAGCTAAAAAAAAGAGCGTTGACGCCAGACGAAAGCCAAGGTTCCTGCCTCTTAGTTAACCCAGTTGATTGGATAATCCCCGAGGATCGGAAATCTCGAATATAGCAACGATCTAGCTTACCAATCCATGCCAACCAGCATGTCCTAGTGAAGCCCACGAAGGGGGAGAAGGGGGAGCAGCAGCAGAGCGAAGGACAACTGGAGGAGCACGATGGCCTCCGGCGATGGCGACACCATCAACACCATCGACATGGACAGCTCCTCGGCGTCGCAGGCGAAACTGGCGGAGCCCAGCAACGGTAACTATTTCCGCAGTCAACTCGCTTTTTTCCCACAGCGCTGAAGCAAAAAAAAAAATCAATGACTGGCGCTGGCGTTGGCGAATGGAAGTGCCCCTGGCGCATGTGTCTCGCGCGAAGGGGAGAAGGTTTGAGCGTGAAAACACACCCCCGCACTCGACGACGGACGGACTTCCATCGGCTCGTATTTATATTTTTGGACTGATAACAAAAGAAACTCGGTCGGTCGTCCAAGTTCAAGTTGCGGTGATTGACCAAGCGACTGACTGCGTCATGGCCTGAATAAAACATGACTCCTAATAATAAACTCTTTCCGACTTTCCGACTTTCTTTAGCCTCCACCGACCATGTGGGAAACTCATCGCCCGACGTAAGTACATCCTCGATTGCTCTCGAGGTCACTCCAGTCCAAACTAATCGGCTCAATTATTTCCAATCCCAATCAACCAAACCAAATAACAAACCAGCTGGGCAACCGACCGAACCGAGCGGCCAGCAAGGCGGACAAGGAGCGCAAGATTGGCCACAGACGCGTCGGCGAAGGCGGCGAGATTACGTACAAAAAGATCCAGACGTCGCAGATAATGGGCTCCATTCAACTGGGAATCCAGCACACTGTAAGTTTTCACTAAGAGAAAATACTACTAGCGATTTAAAGGCATATGTTGGAGGTCTCGAGCGAAGTAATAAAGTTTTTTCAGTTTTAAGCTTAAAGAAATGTTAAAGGTTTAACAAGCTTCTCAGTTCACTAAATGTATTTGCCTTTGATATTCAGCAATGAATGGTTATACATATGTAGTTATAATTCGTACAATGCCAAGTAAAGTATCTCTAAGTCAACATATAAGTCCTTGTAGTGTTAAAAGGAGTAGCCGTTACAATAAAATATGTAATACTTTATAAGAAATGTTTGATTCATGAATGTTGATAGTGGTTTTTGTAAACACAATTAAAACTGATAAATCATTATATTTTCTTCGCAGGTCGGCAGTCTAGCCTCGAAGCCCAAGCGTGATCTACTTATGATGGACTTCTGGGAGATCGAGAGCATCACCTTTCCGCCAGAGGGTTCTAGCCTTACACCTGCCCACCACTACAGCGAGTTCAGATACAAGATCTACGCGCCCATTGCTTTTCGCTACTTTCGAGACTTGTTTGGCATCCAGCCAGATGATTTTATGGTGAGTCCTTGACACACTTACAACTCAGCAAATATTGATTGATAATAATCCCCGCAGATGTCCATGTGTACGTCCCCGCTGCGGGAACTGTCCAATCCTGGTGCTTCCGGCTCTATATTTTACCTGACGACCGACGACGAGTTCATCATCAAAACGGTGCAACACAAAGAGGGCGAATTCTTACAAAAACTACTGCCTGGGTAAGAAATCCATTTTACTCTTTAAAAGATAACTAATACATGTGAGTTTCTATTCTAGTTACTATATGAATCTAAATCAAAATCCGCGCACGCTATTGCCAAAGTTCTTCGGATTGTACTGCCTGCAGACGAGCAACGCCAAAAACATTCGCCTGGTGGTCATGAACAACCTGCTGCCCTCGTCCGTAAGGATGCATTTGAAGTACGATTTGAAGGGATCCACGTTCAAGCGGAAGGCCAACAAGGCGGAGCGTGCCAAGAAGTCACCCACGTACAAGGACCTCGACTTCATGGAGCAGCATCCGAATGGAATTTTCCTGGAGGCCGAAACCTACTCCGCGCTAATTAAAACCATTCAGCGGGACTGTACGGTACTGGAGTCCTTCAAAATCATGGACTACTCCCTGCTCCTAGGTGTTCATAATCTGGATGTGGCGCTCAAGGAGAAGCAGAGTGAGTTGAGAAAACCGCTTCGAGCTCCGCTCGCCGAGGATTCCGATGTGGATGTGGACGATCCCCTGGACGGACTGGATGGCGATGGCAAGGATCGTGATGCAGCCACGGGTATTAGCAGAAATAAGTGAGTATCTGGAAAATGGATTTATATTTAAGCAATCTAAAGAGCTAACCCAGTGCGGCATACAGGTCCGTGAATCGTCAACGACTGGTGGCTCATTCCACCGCCATGGAGAGCATTCAGGCGGAAAGCGAACCCATTGACGACGAGGAGGATGTCCCGTGAGTATTATTGTTTTCGCCATTAAACATTTTAATGAGATTTAATGGGATTAACAAACCAATTTCAGACCTGGTGGAATTCCAGCAAGAAGTGAAAAAGGAGAACGACTGCTGCTCTACATCGGCATCATCGATATTCTGCAGTCGTACAGGCTGAAAAAGAAGCTGGAGCACACGTTTAAAAGCATCATACACGATGGGGTAAGCTAATATACTAATAAAGCCACCAATAAATTGTCATAATTTATTGTTAATATTACAATCATCGAAGACATGTATCAAAACTGTCGTAAATCAGCCTTCACCATTAAGAAAATTTGGACGAATTCAGGCCAAATATCTGAATATTCATAATAGCCTTTGCCAATGAATAAACTTATCAAACCTTTTATTTTTAGAAAATATTTTGTGTGTATAGTATTAGATTAGGTTGGAATTTTAATTAATTTTTTTATATTATAAATTAAAACCAAGTGTTGGCATGCTTGAATACCTTAACTAATTCCCATATTTCGTGGCTTTTTTTGTTTCTTCTAGGAAACCGTATCGGTCTGCAGACCCTCGTTCTATGCTCAAAGATTCCAAAACTTCATGGCCAAGACCGTGTTCCGCAAGATACCCTCCCGTAAGTGGACCGGTCGTGGGAGTCGGGCTAAGTACTCGTACTGTAAGGCATTTTTGTGTGCAGTTGGCCGATTTACGCAAGCACTCAGTTCCGGTTCCAATACATTTTTGAGTAGTTACTAGATCCAAAAACACATACTAACACACACACTCACACCCACACACACACACACACACAAACCATCTTGACAATCACACAACGAACACCATTAGACACTAGTAGCTTGCTAATTTGAATTGATCGATTGATGTGCAGCAAAAATGCAATATGGTACACTTGGCCTGAGTAGACGGCGATTTGAGGCGATCGATCTCTCGACATCGAATCAATATCCACCAAACGCTCTGTTCTCTGCTTTCTTTTTTTGACCATGTCTCGAATGCATTCACCCCACACAATAACGTACGCAAACGCATATAGTGGATCTCCCAGAGATCAAAGGGAATCACAGAAAATTTCGTACCTTGGTAACCAGCTACATAGGTAAACAAACTAATGATCGATGTGTATTTCTTTTTGATTATCTCTCTCACTTGAGTTTTACTTACACCTTTTTTACCGAGTATTTTATAGAGTTTAATAACGAACGTTTTGTATATTCACCACTTGGTTTTATATGATTTTCGAAACGGACGCCAAAGCATGCCTCTCAATCTCACGTTAGTTGAACTCACTTTCCCCCGGCATCCTTGGCATTCCGGCAACCTAATTGCTCGTGGCTTCGCATAGTTGCTTTGGAAGTGCTATGCTTTTTGATCCCTTATTTCTATGCTCCTTATTTTGATTTGATACTAATTCCCCATATTGCATGACTTTTGCAGCGCTTAAGCATTCGCCTTCGAAGAGAAAAAGCCTTTCCAAGGCCATTCAACGCTCCATCGACAGCGACAACGAGGTGGCTACGAGGCGTAAGTTGAGCCTTCCAGGAACTTAAGACTATTAAAACCAGCAAAAGTATTATATTTTCAACATTTAGACAGGTTTTAATAGTTAGAATAGTAATTTCGATTCCCCGGTTTTCGATAAATGAGAAGTTTTTCATGTAAAAATAAAGTCACACGAAAAAAAAGTTTTAAAACTTTTGTTCTACGTTTTACAATTTTTTTTCATTGGATGTCTTAATGACTAAATGAGTTAAGACTGAGAATCATTTAGGAATAATATTTAACGATTGAGATTAAAATCAAATCTCGACAGTTTACTTAACATTTGAGTTATTCATCTTCATAATAAATTCCTAGAGTTTATAAAATATGTTTTAAAATATCATGGTTTTTTCAGGCTTGTTAAGCTATGCGCTTTTAATTCTTAAAATCTTACGACCTTATTTCTGCATCCTTATGCAACTTATGCCTGGATTTCTCTGTTTATAATTGAAAGTATATTATAAGCTCTTACACCTTTTGTTTGACGAATTATTCATTCTCAAACTCTTATTTTTTAAAGATATAGAAAATATATGATACATTTTTAGTGTGCTAATCCTATTTTATTTCCCCAGCGGTTCACACCTCGCACTCGCACAGCAGTGGCAAGATTCACCAGCCAGCCAAGCCGCCCACCACGGAGCCCACGCCAGCGGGAGCGGCGGGAGGAGCCGGAGCAGGAGGAGGAGGAGCAGCTGGCCCTGGTCCCGCCACCGGAAGCAGTGGCACCAGCGAGCGGGCTCCTCCGCCCGTCAAGCAGCGAACTCCGGCGAGCAGCAACCTGAAGACGCGAGTGCCACCGCCAGTGCCGCCACGCGGTTCGCCACGACGCAAGGACACGCAGGATCGGACGACACCAGGTACAGAACCGCACAGCACTAATCCCAAGCAGGCACCAGCACACACCCACACCCTCCAGGTGCCGGCGACCGAGGCGAAACCTCGTTTCGGCGACCGCCGATCGCCCAGCAATGTTCAGGATTGGCTGGAGCTGCACGATCTCTTCGATGGTCCGGAAGGCGGTCCCTATGCTCCAACTGCTCCCTTGCCCGATCCTACGGTTGCTCTACTCAGGAGTTCCTCGCTGCGACGAAGGGATTCCCTGCACTCTGGCTATTCCACGGCTCGATCGGAGAGCAGCTTCCGGCGACAGCAGCCTAGACTCCTCAACCACGTGGACATCTTCCAGCGGCAGAACAGCTTTGTGGCGCGCAGCGAGCGATCCTCTGTGGGGTCCATTGTTCGGAACTTTCCGCCCATCAGAGCGGACAGCTATCGCTCCAGACGCTCCCGATCCTCGGGCAGTATTCCCAGCCAGCGTTCACCCAGACGTGGCATTCAGGAGAAGCTGGAGCGGCAGCAGCGGAGAAAGCGTTACTTTCACTATGTAGATTTGGCACTTGGAGGAGATGACTGTGAGAACCAGCAGGAGGAGGATAATCTTCTGCAATCGGTCAGTGCCTTTTTGGAGGTGAAGCGGGAATTGGAGGCGACTCATCGCCCCAAAAGACCGCTCCCCAAACTCATGGATCCTGTGCCGGATGAAAAACTGACCACTAAGAATCCTCCTCCCAATCAACAACCTAGAAGAGCCAAGAGAAGGGCTCCGAAGGCAGCTCCTTCCACGATTCCCGAGAGCGAGGGCACTCAAGGATCGACGGGACGCGGACTGGGACGGGAGTAGTTCTTCGCTTGCACCTCGCTTACCCAACCACATAACTACCCACTATTAGATCTTAACTAGACTTCTACTATTGTGTACTTCTTTCACTCATGCATTGTGTATATTCTGCTCTGATCATTGTATTGCTAGGCACAACGCCCTCATGCAGCTCGACTCCTCCCCCGCCTTCGACGACATCTCCGAGGACAGCTCGAACAAGAACAGCACCTCGTCGATAGGGCGACGGTCCCACCATCACCATCACCACCACCAGCAGTCGCAGCAGCACCAGCAGCAGTCCTACTACCTGGATCGCAAGATGAACATTGGACCCGCCTATCGAGGCTCCTACAAGGAGGACATCGTGAGGTGAGACTCCTGGGGAGCTTGAGCTCAGGAAAAATAGTAAATATCTAAGGGGAACTAAAGAAAGTTACTGCAGAGCAAGAAACAGTTTGAGTTTTAAGATCTTTTAATCAAATAGTTTTTAATGTAATTAGTTAGTTAGTTTGATTGTATTTTATTTTGTTTACCTTTCTCATACCGTAAGAATATTGAAATTATTAAACCAACCTTTGATTCATTGATCCTCTGTAAGCAAAAAAATTTTTGTTAAATTTTTTTAGCGTCTCCGAAGTGCATTTGGACACGCTGCTGGCGGTGGACACGTCGTCGAGCAGCCAGTACGGCTCCCGCGGCGGATTGGCCTGGACACCGCCCGCTTCAGGTGAGGGCTCCACTCCCACATGGACAGAGGGCACACCCAGTTTTACGGACTCCAGTTCGAGTGGTGATCTCGGTAATTGGCACTTGAGATTTGCTTTGAAATCGCTTTTTGTGTTTCTATATCTATCTGTATATGTGTATTCGTTCACGCTTGCAATCGTAGACAACTTCTCGCCCATAAACTCATCTAAAATCGATCGACACAAGCCGACGGTGGAAGATGCCATCAACTCTCTGTCCGCGGGAATGGTAAATATCAGAGGTGGCCAGCTCTAGATACGATCCCAAAAGCACACACCGATTGTATACCCCGATCCGCAGCACACCCACACACACACACACACCGCACACATCAGCACAAAACACCTCAAAGTAGCTAAAACACACTCATTTCCTCAGAGAGATAGTTGCACCATGCACGAGTAAAGTCGTACATTGTTAGTTTTTTCCAAATTGCAAACCATCATCTTCCGTTTTTGGGTGTTCTTCACTACCCATTTACGCGCAACCGCCCACTGATCCATAACTTCTCTATTGCATTCTTATAGATCAACTAACATAGCATGTGATGACGGAACACAAGACACACCAACCCAGAAATATCACGATGTGGACAGAGTCCGAGCAAAATATGCCTCATACTCTTACATACTGATTATGCTTGCGTGTTCAGGCGCACTTGTATAGCTAGGATATAATCAAAAGGCGCCCCCACGTAGAACAGAATTCCCATGCCAAGTCCACACCCACACCTGCCTATCCCTTCCAGCGGACATCGGGTGAAAACTATCCAACAGAGACATAATTCAAATCACACTGCAAACGATATTATACACAGAAAAGCATACTCCCCATATACAGAGCTAGAGAAGCATAAAGCAAATAAATGGCAAATCCAAATACGAGTAAAGTGCGCAGGATGGCATCCAGTTGGAGATCCGAGATCCGTTATCCCGTTCCCCAATACGTTTAGTGTACGGTGTAAAGAGTTCGTTATGCGTTCGATCAGATAATATGAAAATATACAATACACTGAAATTATATATAAATAAACGTTTTTGCGATACTTTCGATCTCCGATATATCCACATAAGTACGTATTATGTATACCTATGTATAATCAGCAATCGCGATATTACAATATTATTGTAAAATATTTCAATTTACAAGCCAGACAAACCAAGAGCAAAATTATATACATATTATTCATCTGTATTTATTAACGATAATTGTAACGCGCTTAGGTTTACTCAACACAAAAATCAGATCGGAACAGAACTTATATATGTACGACATTACACGATCCAACGGACGGACCCGGACTGTGGACACCTTTTCGACTCACACATGATGAAAGAATTGATTATTTATTAATTAGTTGAATGTTATTTAACTTATATGCATTATTCTAAAGATTACTGAAATCCAAATGTAATTACAATAAATTAAATTGCAAGGTTGAAATTCCGGCGTGATCCCTCGAATGCAAATTTGCTAGACTAAAACAAACACAAGTTGGTAAAACAGGCGACTAGTAAAGTTTCTGCAGATCGTTGAGCGACTGGTTCAGGAAGTCATTGGTCCAGTCGTTCTCTGGGTTGTCCAGATGGTTATCGAAGTCCACCAAATCGCGCATAGCTCCGCGTTTAAGGAGTAGTGATACACCCTCCAGTGTTTGAGTGGCCTGTGAAAGCGTGAACTTGGCCTTTGACCACCGGGATCCGGAGTCACCGGCGCAGCTGTAAACCTGGATGGCGGCACGATCGTGCTGCAGTGTTACCAACTTGTTGTCCACCACTGCAAAGCAGGCATTCTTGTAGTTCTCTTGGATCTTTTCGGCAATCTTGGCAGCTGGGGTTTTGTCGATCTGGTTGTCGTAGAAATTCTCTGGCGCCGCGTAATAGCCGCCAATCACCAGTCCTTCGCGCTCTGCGTAGGCATCAATCTAAAAATAAGGGAATAAATATTGAGCCATCGATTGATCATCCTTCAAAACCCGTATTTATTGTTGCTACTGTATATTCATTTCATTCTCATAAGTTTCCATTTACATATGGTTGTTTTGTTATTATGGTTTAATCATCGTGGGGTTCAATGTACAAACAAAATCAAAATACCCAAATACTATTTGAAGGGTTTTACTTATTGGCCTAAGAGAAAATTTTAAGTTATATCAGAAATTTTTTAATGATTTTAACTTATTTTTAAATTATTCAAGATTTTATACATCAATGTCTGACGTGCACCTAAGCTAAAGGCCAGCATATTGGATGTTCATTAGTAATCAGCTATGTAAATATTTAGGTAATTCTACAACACATCTTTACCCGGATTAGAGTTCATTGGTACTCTGGGAACCGGCAATTGGCAATTACCTGCATGAGGGCCACTTCTGCCATGGGGGTGACATGCAGACACTGATGGAAGAGCGGGATCGCATCGACAATTTCCACTTGGGAACCCTTCGAGGTCTTCTCGGCCAGCAACAGTCCGTTCACCGCCTGGTGCGGATATTTGGCAGCGTGGAAAATCAACTTAGTGTAGGCCCGCTCCGAAATCTTGTAGTCGCACATTTTCTCTGATTATTATCTCAATTTATTTGGCAAATAAAAAACATGAATTGGAATTCGACAATTACGCAGTGTGACCGCTCCGCCCCTGTCCAATAAACCACCCACAAAAAATACTATTTAAAAAATACTAAATGGGTTCCATTCATAGTTTTTACTGAACGAAACCCACAAGTCAAAACCTACTATCGAGACGTTTAGAGATTATTGAAACACTGCATGATTCTTTTAAAAACCAAATTAATGAAATAGTTGGACAAAGTTTGAAATATAAAAGAAAATTTTGTGTTTATTTTTATTTAGAGTTCTACGAATTTTTTTTAAATTTGAGCGTAACAGATTTTATGTATTTTTCACCCCAGTATGCTTAGTTGGTAACATTTTTATATCAAAACATTTAAAAAAAAAATTTTTTAATTGCTCGGTAAACTCTACAGTGATACTCCTATTGCTCTTTTGCATTAACCACTCACTCTCATTGACTTATGACTTTCAATGCTCAATTCTGCTATCCGATCCCAATCCAATTGGTAGAATCCCATTGACCATCGCGCCAGTTCTATCAACGCCAAGTCTTTTTATTTAAATTTTTTTTTTATTTGCCAAATAAATTATTTGGCCACAACGATTGGCCAATCATTCCATTGGACAATCCCATAGGTTCTATTTGTTCCCACCCAAAGTCAAACCGAGTGATCAAATTACATTGGGTCACGCCCAATGGCCATCCCATTTGCCAATCTTAGTGAGGAAGTCCTTTGGGCCACGCCCATCGGCCTTCCATTGGGCAATTTCATTGGCCAATCCCATCGGTTCAATCTATTTGGCTAGGCTCATTGGTCTTTTCCATTTGCCAGTCCCAGTAGGTTGATTCCATCGAGGCATACCCATTAAAGAATTCCGAGATTCAATCTTTTTGAATCAATTTGGCCATTGATCATATTTGTGGCCAATTACCAATCTCAAATGGTCAATTTTATTTTGCCACGCCCACTTGTCCTCCCATTTGTGAATTCCGGCGGGCCAATCCCATTGGCAAATCACGCCCATTCGTCTATCTAATTATTTAGCTACGCCCAGTTTTCTTAAAAAATTGTGTATTGAATTCAAAATTTTTTGTTTCCAATCAACGGTCTGGTCACATTGTTTTGTTGGCGCGAAATTTAACGGGGACTCGACTTCAATTTGATTTATTACTCAAACTAATAATTAATACTAACGTAGATGATGGAAAACATAATTAAATATGTGTAACATTTTATTTCTTAACTGTCCGTCTGCGTCCCGCTCTTGCTTGGCTCTTTTTCCGATTTAGTTTTATATATATATTGTAACTAAAAAATATTTAGCAGTTCAGCTGAATGTCCGATGGTAGGCCACCCCTGGCCACCCTCTGGATCCTTAAACTCCACAAACCAATCTATACAGAATGGGGAACTACGTCTGGCTTTCTTTTAGTATTGCCTTGATGTCGTCGGCATCCAGCGTCTCGTACTTAAGCAGGGCCTCCGCCAATGCTTTATGCTCCTTGGTGTGTTTCCGCAGGATGGCCTTCGCCCGTTCGTAGCTGTCGCTAAGGATTCGCTTGATCTCCGCATCCACGGCCTCTATGGTGTTTGGTCCAAGGGTGTCGCCGGTGCCCAGACCCTTCGCCGCCTCAATGGTGCGCAGTCCCACCTTGTCCGACATGCCCCAATCCCTTACCATATGCGTGGCAATCGAGGTGGCCTGCTTGAGATCGCTGCTCGCTCCCGACGTGATCTTGTCTATTCCGAACACGAGTTCCTCAGCAGCACGGCCGCCCATCATTGTGTCCATCATGGCCAGCAGCTGCGCCTTTGTGACATGGTAGCGTTCCTTCTCTGGTATGTAGGCTGTGTGGCCAAGTGACGGACCGCGGGGCATAATGGTCACCTTGTGCAGAGGATGCGACTCCTTGGTGTAGAAGGCCACGATCGCGTGGCCACCCTCGTGGTAAGCAGTTATGGTGTTGGCCTCCTCGTCCGGCAGTCGAGCCTTTCGTTCGGGGCCCATAAGTACTTTGTCGCGTGCCGTCTCCAAATGCTTCATGTTTACTGTTTCGGCTCCGTCGATGGCGGCCCTGCAATTATAACAAAATTGTATTTGAAAGGGTTATAGCAAAGAACAATTAGAAGGCATATCTTGTATATTGTGTAAATTATCAAATCTCCTTCTATGATGGCTACCCACCTTAACGCCGCTTGGTTTATCATATTTTCCAGATCAGCACCGGTAAATCCAGAGGTGCCTCTGGCCAGCATATCCAGATCGATTTCGTCATGCAAAATTTTTGTCAGATAGAGAGACAGAATCTCCTTGCGGCCGGTGAAATCGGGCGTAGATACCATGACCTCCACATCAAAGCGACCAGGTCGAAGCAGAGCCTGATCTAAATCATCGCGACGGTTGGTGGCACCCAAAACGATGACTCCGGCGTTCTGATGGAAGCCATCCATTTCAGAGAGCAGCTGGTTGATGGTTTGATTGGCATACGGATGCAGCACCGAATTGGTTCGCTTAGCGCCCACCGAGTCGATTTCATCGATGAAGATCACGCAAGGAGCGCGGGCTTTTGCCGCCTCTGTAAAATAGTATTTGTGAACTGAGTTCTCAAGGAGATGAAAGCCCACTTACTGAATAAGTCACGTACTCGCCTGGCGCCCTGGCCGACGAGCACTTCGTCAAACTCCGGACCAGCGGCATGGAAGAAAGGAACTTTGGCCTCACCGGCGACAGCGCGGGCCAGCAGTGTTTTGCCAGTACCCGGGGGTCCAACCAGGAGCACTCCCTTTGGAAGCTTGCCACCCAAGTTGGAGAACTTCTCGGGGCTCTTCAGGAACTCAACAACCTCCTTCAGTTCCTGCTTAGCCTCGTCGCAGCCCTTGACATCCTCAAAGGTGACGTTGATCTCCTCCGGATCTACCTCGACCTGATTGCCCAGCTGGATGCTGCTAAAAGAAAACTAAATCAGAACAGGAATAATGACGTTTACGTGGAGGCTCACCGAAAGACGGATCCGTTGGAGGTTGTAAAGAAGCTCAAGAAAATGCCCAGGAAAACGACGATTACGACGAGAGTCTGCAAAGTCTACGTGACAATTACTAGGAATTTCTTAAAACGCTGCGAAAGACTAGGGCTTTCTATGTTTTCTCAAAGCTTTAAGGACAAGCTCGAAATACATGTGATATCGTACCTTAAGATACTTCATTGTTTTCCCAGATTTTGGGGAATCTTCAGCATTGGCAGCTGCCAAATATCCCTCGGCAAAGGCAATCTTCAGGTTCTCCTAACAGAGAAAAAAATATAACTAATATTACAGTTGAAAATTGTCTTGCGCTTAAATAGTACCGCATTATTGAATCCGTGGTCTTCGGATTTGGCCAGCAGTCGTCTCAGCTTTTCGGCTTGGATAGATGTGTCCCCGTCTAAACGCTGAGGTGAGTTGGCCAAGGCATTCTTCAGACGGGAAGTCATGGTAGGGTTGCGCTTTTGTTCCGCCTCAATCGATCGATCCGTCTTAAAGCCACGTATGTGTTTCCTAAAAAGGGAAACTTTAGCCTCAATTATTAGATTAGTTCCGTGTACTCACAGTTGTGATTGGGAAAAAAGTGGACGAAGAAGACCTGGTGTTATGGTTGGAATCACCCTGCTGCAATTATAACCCAGGATTAGCAACAGTCTGCAGGATTAATGAAGATTATTAAGACTTACACTTTGGCGCCGGTGGGTTGAGCACCAGGAGCTCCGGTTAGCGAAACATCAAACTGATAATTTTGCAGCTGGACACGACCGATCTCTGTGGCCGGCTCCTCCAGCGTGACTTGAATGTCGCGCATGGCGGGCAGTATGCTGGTCACCTTGGCGAGCACATCATTTACCAGCTGCCGGTCGAGGATGCCATTCAGTCGTGCCGCCCTCTCCACCATGCCCTGTAAGCTGGTGGTCGATCGACTGAGCAGGTTTCGCAGGTCCAGCACGAGGTCATGACTCCGAGTGGACTTGGACAAGCGCGTCGCACTTGCGCTCCCATGCAGTTTGGTCCGATTCACGGAATAATAGTGCGGCTTTCTGCTAAAGTTGCCTAGGTACAGGTAGGGCTGTCATCGCATCCAAAAATCGAATGATTCCCAGCAGGTGAGTGAGAGAAACAAGGCATTCAGATGGGCGGATCATTGGGCTATTGTTAGAATGACTTACCACGGAGTGTGTGGTGGTGGAGAACATGGCCAAAACTACAAATTTCAATTAATTACAATAACAGGCTCAGGATCGCGGCCAGCAGACGACACAGCTGTAACTTTACTTGACAGCGAAAATGTCATAATCTCGTCGCGTCGTGCGCGTTGCATCCCTGGTTCTGGAGGTGCGCGACTTACCACCCTTCAACACGCGTTCTCCGTGGTTTTTACGGACAATTTTGAATATTTAATCCTAGCTTTTAATGGGTGACTTTGATTTTCAATTTGTTTAAATTTATGTTTTGGTGTACAGCTTCAGTCAATGTTTCCGATAGTATTATATTTGTCGACTGGAATTTAGTTATCCATTGACTAAACCATATGAAAGCATTTTAAGCCGGTAGGTAAAATTGGAGGACAAACGCTAAACGAATAATTCAGTTTTATATTGTAATGAATCCAGGTTGTAAAATATTTGTTAATATGTTAACAAAAATTGGTTGATTAACTCACAACCTTATTTATTTTTTCCATTTTATTAAAACTTTTTAATAAAAAAATAAAGAATTTATATAAATGTAATGTAAAACTATCGAAACGATCTTATACATATATTGGCCACTACTAGCAGTGAAGAGAACACAGGGCTGTTTCGCCGGCGACCAGGGCTGGCAAATTGCTTGCGCCGGTCGGTATATGTTCTGGTCTATATAAATTTCACAAATTCTGCATAAAATTGTGTCAGCATGGACTCCCCGCTTAACGATGGCACTCACAGGCCTCCTCAGCACACCCCCCACCCATTGGTGAGTGGTGATTGGTCCTTTAACCTCTTTTAATCCTTGTTTACACACTTTTTAGGCTGACTATCAGTTCTCTGCGGAGGAGGTAAAGGCGTTACGTGAGTGCAATACGGAATCGTTCTTCCAGCGGAGTCTACCCTTTGGCACAGGTCTTGGTTTGTTGGCCTACTTTGGGGTCAAGAACGGTTATTTGCAAGGACATGGCAAATATGGAGCCGTGCCCAAAGTTGTCATGGGAGTCATCTTGGGCTACTTTGTGGGTAAGTTTAGCTACCAACAAAAGTGTGCCGAAAAGATCATGCGTTTGCCCAACTCCCACCTGGGCGAGTTACTGCGACAGCGGAGACAGGGCGGCGGTGTCATCAGCTCCATGACACCGGATGAGAACCTGGGCAGAGCCTTCACTTTGGCCCCCTTCTCGCCCAGCTCGGCGGACGTGTACAGCGATGAGGCCTATCAGCCGGCAAGGAGCACAGCCCTCAACTTGGATACGGAGTCACGGCCCACAATGTCCGGACTAGACGATATTTACCGACCCACTCTGGACTGTAAGCCTAGACGACAAGATTTTTAAGTAGATTCTTAATGAACCTCTTTGTTTTAGCAGCTGGTTCGATGATGGACACAGAATTACCGCTGGAACCGGCCAAGCCAGGTCAGTCGTATGAGGATCTGCGGCGAAGGAATCGTGAGGAATACTCCAAGCACCAGCAGAGTCCCTACTCAAAGCCCTACGAGCCACCAGCTCCTGTCCATCAGCGACCCGTGGAGCCAGCGCGCCCTGAACCCGCTGGCAGGAAGAACCAATACGGTGACTCCTGGACAGACTGAGCTCGAGTATTGTTGTTTTGTTAAATATAAAAATCGCATAAAGGTCTGTTTCCAAACGGTATCTATTTACATTCGTTGGGGCTGCAAAATGAAATTACTTTCTGGCATGATCGTAGTTGTCTTTGTACCATCGCACCGACGTTTCGATGGCCGTTTCAAATTCCGTAAATGCGAAGTCTGGTAGGAGAGAGCGAAGCTTGGCATTTGACGCCGTCTTTTTGTACTGTCCATCCGCCTTGCTCGTATCACAGACCAGTTTTCCCTGGAATATGAATACTTATAAAGAGGCATATCCCATAAAACTCCATGACGAGCCTACCTTAAAGTCAAATGCCTTGGCTATGGCCTGGGCCACTTCGTAAATGGTAACCTCCTGGGCCTCGTCCACGCTCAGGATGATGGGCTCCACGCTGTCATAACTCCGAAGAACCCAGATCATTAGCTCGGCCAAGTCTAGGGAGTATACAAACTGCCGCAGTGGCTTACCGCTTCCAAAGACGGTGAACACCTTTTCGCTTTCGGGCACATCTGACTGCTCATTGATTAACTGGTGCATCCGATTGATCATGCCCGGGATAACATGACTTACCTCGGGCTTGTAATTATCGTGGGGACCGAAAATGTTGCAAGGAATAACAGAAGTATACTGCCGGCCGTATTTGTCGTGATAGGCGTGGTTCTGCACATCTATCAGTCGTTTTGCGTAAGAATAACCGTAATTGGAGGGGTGTGGCGGCCCATTGTGCACCATGGTCTCATCTATTGGATAGATAGTTTTGTCCGGAAAAATACAGGTGGACAGACAGGATACAACCTTGATGCAACCCTGTTCGTGAGCCGTTTGCAGGACATTATCGTTTATAAGCAGGTTGTTGCGCTGAGAACGATTCGAATCAAATTGAGTTTACAGTAGGCTATGTCTGTTTGGGGTTCACCAACTCACCAGAAAGTCGAGGTTGTTATTCATGTTGTGGAACAGTCCTCCAACCATGGCGGCCAGGTGGATAACGTGCGTGGGCTTCTCCCGAGCAAAGAGTGCCTGCGTGGCTGCCAAATTTCTATGGACACCTTTGTTTACGGTTCTGATTGGTCGGTTGCTTACATTAACTTACGTCAAATCGGCGTCCTTGGAGCCGGCAAAGTACCATTCCTCGTCGGTAGGAGCATGATTCTTGATAACCGCCTCTAGGGCTTTGCCCACAAGGCCTGTTCCACCTGTGACCAGCACTTTCTTCATAGCTTTTGTGCGATTCCACGGATAAATCAACTAGTTTTTTTAGTTTATTCTTAAGACCAGTGTTACCATTTTTTTTATGTGCCGGTAAGCTATCAGTGCTGCTGTATTTATTATAGCCAAGTTTTAGCGGAGTAATAAAATATTTGATTTTCGCTATCAGTCTTTCATAATTTTGTCGTACACATTATGTTATCATTAATTTATAAGTTAAATATAATTAGTTTTTATTAGCAATTAACAGTTGTAGCTATAGCTTCTTGTTGTTATATACAAATTTATTTTTAAAGTGTAGTTTTGCTCAAAATCTGGTAACACTGCTGAGAAGAAGAAGAGCGGACGCAGATTTGTTTATGCGGTGTCGGAAATGCGAAAAAATATTTAAATGGATATGGAAACGCAAGTTATAGACACCGTCAACGAGTTTTTGGTAATATTGAGCACTTTAACACTGGGAAATCCCCTTTTACACAATCAGTATTGTTAAATTTTACAGAAGGTGGACTCGATTGACGAGGCGTTCGTGAGCGTCATTGTTTTTAAACCAAATGGCGAGCAGGAGCGTGCCACCAGCTTTGCCAATGATTTGGGTAAGTATAATCACAAGAATTTCTATTGTTGCTAACAAGTATATATTTTAGTTACCGCATTCGGAAACGTGGCGCAGGAGAACCGAGACCAGGTGCTGCGGCTTTATCTGGTGCGAGCGGCCGGCGCCTCCGGCTATCACATAAAAGTGCTGATGTCGGCACTGGTCAAACTGGTGGACGCGCATGTGATCACCGCCAGGATGCTGTGCGACAAGGTGCTGATGTGTGAGAAACTGGACTTCGAGCACAGGACCTTCTGGATCGAGAGCTTCCGACTTATTAAGCGTGTGATTGCCCAGGTTGATTATAAGGGCGTTCGCGAAATTATGAAGGTTTGCCGCGACAAGGCCCAATGGTTTCCGTTGAACGTAAACGTGACCTACATGCCACAACTTCTGGCCGTCGAGGATATCCTGCGCTTCATTTTTGATCGCAACAATTGTCTACTGCCCGCCTATTTCATTGCCAACGAGATTATGCGTCCGTTTCCATACCACTGGAAGCTAAACCGGCTAATGACCGATTTTGTAGAGGAGTTTCGCACAACGGCACAAATGGTCTCGATAATTGGACATGCCAGTATGCTGCCTATTGTGGAACACTTCGGCTATGCCGACCACATGATGAACTCTTGGCGGCTGGACCACAACACCCTGAAGTTTAACTTTAAGGGTAGCCTACCATATGAGCCAGAACTTTTGGAGGAGCAAAAACCCCTGCTTCGCTATGTTTTGGAGCAGCCGTACTCGCGAGAGATGGTTTCGCAAATGTTGAACCTGCAGAAACACCAGAAGCAGCGCTACAATGCCTTGGAGGAGCAGCTTGTTAACTTGATCGTCCATGCCATGGAAATGACTGAAACGAATGACGCCACTGCGGGCAGTGGCTTCAATTCCTCAGACGAGCAGATCACTCCTTACGAGTGGGTTTGGCTGCATCTCTCTTCACAACTCATCTATTTTGTACTCTTCCAGTTTGTGAGCTTCATGCACATTGTTTTAGCGCTTCACGAAAAGGTATATCCTTTATTAATTAACCTTTTTTATTAAATTATTATTTTAACTTATATATAATTCTAGCTTTCGAAATTGGAACTCCGGAAGGGTCGTGACCAGCTAATGTGGATTCTCTTGCAGTTCATCTCTGGCAGCATTCAAAAGAATCCTGTAAATACTTATTTAAGTGCCCTTTGCAGACAATATTTATTTATAACGTTCTTTCCTTGTAGATTACCAATTTCCTGCCTGTGTTTAGATTGTTTGATCTCCTCTATCCCGAACTGGAGCCGCTTAAGCTGCCGGACATCAACAAATCCTCGACTGTTCGCCATATGGCGCCCATTTGTGTGTGGATCCACCTAATGAAGAAGGCGCGAGTAGAGAATATGAACATTACTCGACCGCTGCCCATTGCGCTAAAAAATCACTACGAGTAATTAATTATTGGCTTCGAGTTTTATTTTATTTATAAAAATATTAAATGATTTATTTACAGCTTTCTGCAGCACCTCGTTACGCCCAACACCTTGATGAACATGACTCTGGGCAACGACTTCCGCATCATTCTCATCTGCAATGCATACTCCACGAATCAGGAGTATTTCGGCCGACCAATGGGCCTGTTGGTGGATGCACTCAATGGCAATTCAAAATCACCGAATGGTGCTCAAATACCAGCCGTGACTTTCTCCGTCACAGTGTTAGACAGCCTGACGGTGCACAGCAAAATGTCCCTAATTCACGGCTTCGTCACTCAGATGTTGAAGCAGGCTCAAACGAAAGGACAAGTTCCAGCGGCAGCGCTACTGGAAACCTATGCCAGACTTTTGGTTTACACAGAAATCGAGTCACTGGGCATCAAGGGATTCCTAAGTACGTATTTAACACAATATAATTCAAATTATAGTGTAATAACCTAATGTTTTTCGGTAGGTCAACTGATGCCAACTGTTTTTAAAAACCATGCCTGGGCCATGCTACACACCCTAATGGAGATGTTTTCATACAGGTTGCACCATGTGCCTACCCACTACCGCGTTCAACTATTGTCGTTGCTCCATTCTCTGTCTTCCGTTCCGCAAACAAACAAGATGCAGTTAAATCTTTGGTGAGTTATTGTTTTAAGTGAATTAGTCCATCATGCTAATCTTCTTGTTTTGCAGCTTTGAATCGACTGCTCTCCGCTTGATTACCAGTATCGGATCTGCTGAGTTTCAACCTCAGTTTTCCCGCTATTTTAACGAAAAATCTCCCGGAGCTGTGGCTTCAAATGAAAGCGAGGAGCTAAACCGCGTTCTCATTCTTACATTAGCACGCTCCATGCACGTGCACGGCGGAGGCGATGAAATGCAGGGCTGGTGCAAGGACTTCCTTTCAAACATTATGCAGCACACGCCACATTCGTGGCCCATGCACTCTTTGGCATGCTTTCCTCCCGCCCTAAATGAGTACTTTACGCAAAACAACCAACCGCCAGAGAACAAGCAGCAATTGAAAAAGGCCGTGGAAGAAGAGTACCGAACCTGGACTTCGATGACGAATGAAAACGATATCATTGCACACTTCCTGCGGCCAACTACGAATCCTCTGTTCTTGTGCCTGTTGTTCAAGATTATTTGGGAGACCGAGAACATAAGCCCAGTGGCTTACAAGTGCGTAATCGAAAAATATCTAGCATCTTGTATTTTTCACGTATATGGTTTCTTTTTAGAATCTTGGAGGGCATTAGTGCGAGAGCCCTATCTACTCATCTTCGCAAATTTTGCGACTTTTTGGTGGCCGAAGTGGCCAGCTCCTCGGATGGCCGTGAGTTTATACACAAATGCGTGGACACGATCAACAACATGATCTGGAAGTTCAACGTGGTGACTATCGATAGGGTTGTGCTTTGTCTGGCTTTGCGAACACACGAGGGCAACGAGGCTCAAGTCTGTTTTCTCATTATCCAACTGCTTATGCTCAAAGCCAGCGAGCTCAGAAATCGTGTTCAGGAGTTCTGCAAGGACAACAATCCTGATCATTGGAAGCAAAGCAATTGGTATGTGTAATGATTTGTTTAAAGATCACATCAAAAGTAAATTATCTTTTACAGGCAGGACAAACATCTCTCGTTCCATCAAAAATATCCGGAAAAGTTCGCCCTGGACGAGTCTGCTTCTCAAATTCCGCTTCCTGTTTACTTCAGCAATGTTTGTTTGCGATTCCTGCCCGTTTTGGATGTGGTGGTTCACAGATTTATTGAGCTAACCATTACGAATGTTCACCAAATCCTGGGCTTCATTTTGGATCATTTGAGCGTACTCTACAAGTTTCATGGTGCGTAGGAATCCCCTCTTAAGCTTTTTGAAACTCATTTTTACATTTTACAGATCGACCTATTACTTATCTCTACAACACACTGCATTATTATGAGCGAATTCTACGAGATCGGCCAGCGCTGAAGAAAAAACTGGTAAGACTTCTTGAAAATATTATTTATATTTGTGTAATTTTATATTTTGTTTTAGGTGGGCGCTATAACTAGCGCCTTTAGTGAGATTCGGCCGCCAAACTGGAGTCTAAGTGAGCCCTACAAGGTGTTCCTGCAAAACCAGGATTCACTGTGGACCCCTGAATTGAGTTACTATATGAGCTTGATTAGGCGCCTAGCAGACAGTAAGTTTATTTTGACTACAAGAAATCTGTTTTACCTTTTCTATACGTTTCAGCGATTAGCGGAAAGAATGTATTTTATTCCACGGACTGGCGTTTTAATGAGTTCCCCAATGCGCCAACCCATGCTCTCTATGTGACCTGCGTGGAGCTGTTGGGATTGCCGGTGGCACCGACTGTGGTGGCCAATAATCTCATTGATGTGATAGTAACCGGTTATGCAGTCATTCCGCAGAAGGATATCCACAGCTATATCAATGCCGTGGGCATTGTTTTGGCCGCTTTGCCAGAACCCTACTGGAGTGGCATCTACGATCGCTTACAGGATATGCTCAACACACCGAATATGCTTAATTGGACGTACCGATTCAATGCCTTCGAGTTGTTCAATTTTAAGACTGTTCGCGAGGCGATGTTGGAGAAAACTTACGCCGTGGTTTTAGCAGTTGCTCACTCGGTGTTTCATCACATGGGTGCCTTCAAGTTGGCGGCGATGACCAGATATATCAAGGACAAGTTAAAGCCCTGCGTGCGAACCGAGCAGCAATTGCTGTACCTGTGTCACGTTTTCGGACCTTTCCTGCAACGAATCGAACTGGAAAAACCCAACGCCGTTGCTGGTATTGCCGTTTTGCTTTATGAGATTCTGGAAATAGTAGACAAGCAGCACGGTCCGAAGCCAATGCAGTACATGGACCAGATTTGCGATTTCCTGTAAGTCAATTAATTCATTTATTTATTGAGCAATTTTCATCTATCTTGCCACCATGTTTAGCTACCACATAAAATATATACATGTGGGTAACATAATCAAAAACGAATCTGAGGCTATTATAAAGCGACTTCGACCCTTGCTGCAAATGCGCCTGAGATTCATAACCCATCTTAACTTGGAGGATATACACTCAGAAAAGATGTAAGAATAGATAGAATTGTAACTTAACTTATTCTAAATGAGACTACATTAAATTTTAGTGCCGATAATGCCAACAACAACGCAATAACAGGTCAAACTCAATCCCCCATGCAAGTGCAACATCAACAGCAGCCGCAGCAGCAACAGCAACAACAGCAGCAACAGCAGCAGCAGCAGCAACAACAGCAACAACAACAGCATCAACAACAGCAGCAAATGCAATTGCAGCAACAACAACAACAACAACAGCAGCAGGTGAACGCTGGACAAACAACTAGCGTTCCACTGGGAAGCGGTGGAAACATGCAACAACAGCAGCAACTCAATCATCAGCAACAAATGTATATGCAACACATGCAGCAACAACATCAGCAGCAGATGCAGAACATGCGGCACAATTAGACCTAGACTGACTTTTGATTAAGTCCAAACAGACATAGAAACTTAAGCCAGCTAAAGTTAGTATTATTTTATATTGTATCCCTTTTTGTAAGTCCAGTTTCTATATGTTGTACTGCGTTCTCAGATATGCTAAGCAAATAACTAAGAAAATTTTAAAAACAACATTGCCTTTGAATGTGATAAGCTTTTGCAATTATCAGTGGGTCTCCAGCTGACTGCATATCTCTTCCTGCCAAGAGTCTTTATTCGAAAGCTTAGGCTAATGAGTCATTTCTGGAGTCTGTGAATTTGGCTGAGAACTCGTATAAACTTAAAGCTCATCGCTGTTCAGCTGTTAAAGTAGATCTTGTCAACCTCGAGTGTCGTTCTCAGTTGTGCCCGCAAAGCATTCGGCAATGCATGCGATCCCCGGAAGTCAGTGGCTGCTTTTGATTGTTTCAGTTTCTGTGGTAGCCGAGTACTGCGACAATGGAACTGGCGAGTGCAAGGAGTTGTCTCCTTCGGACTGTCCGGTAATATTCTACAATCAGCACCTGATTGGATCTGAAGTCAAATACTGCGACGAATTCAACGATATTGTCTGCTGTCCCATACCGCTGGATCATCAGAATCTTAAACCTGTTGAACAGACTAGGCCTTTCGAGAAGCGTAAGGTGTGATTTAAATGATTCCCTTCCGACTTTAACAATTTGTTCTTCATTTTGCTCAGAGTGCAAGCAGTATAACGAGGCCAGATCAGCATGTCGATCAACGCCCTTTATTGTGGGCGGCACAAAGGCGTCTGGTCGGGAGTTCCCCTTCATGGCGCTGATCGGGACTCGTCGAGTTAACAAGACCGACACCAGTTGGGACTGCGGTGGTTCTCTGGTGCATCCCAGATTCGTACTGACCGCGGCCCATTGCCTGGAAACGGATGAGTAAATAAAATAACATGGGTTTAGCTTCAATAGTATTGATTTGGTTAATTCAAATGCGAGGTTGGCACTGCTCAAAAATGTTTTATGAATTGTACAAAAACGTTTTTTCAAAAGCTATTTTTTAAAATTTATTTTTACTGAATTTATAATTTAAAAATTAATCCATCTCTCAATTACAGAACGAAAGCCGAACGATTGGATCCCAATTTCGATTCACCCAAGTTTGTGGTTCGTCTAGGGGACTTGGACTACAACAGCACCACCGACGATGCGTTAGTGCAGGACTTTCGGGTGGTGAACTACGTGGTTCATCCTGGTTACGACACGGAGGACGAGGAGCTGGGCTTCAAAAACGATATTGCTCTGCTCGAACTAGATAGGGATGCTGCGTTCAATGATCATGTGGCAGCGGTTTGTTTGCCGCCCAGCAGCGGCAACGATAACGAACAGGTGACTGCCGCCGGCTGGGGATTCACCGAGGATGGCGTGAAGTCCAGTCACCTGCTGAAGGTCACCTTGCAGCGATTCTCCGACAAGGTGTGCCAGGAACGCCTGCGTTTTAGCATCGAGACGCGCACCCAATTCTGCGCAGGATCGATGACCAGTCAAGCGGACACTTGCAATGGCGACTCCGGTGGACCCATATTCGTGCAGCATCCGCAGTATCCATGTCTTAAGCAGGTCATTGGTGTCGTCTCTTATGGATTGGTCTGCGGATCCCAAGGTCTTCCCAGTGTCTACACCAAGGTTCACCTCTTCACGGACTGGATCGAGAGCATTGTTTGGGGTAGTTAATAATACAACAGGAAAAAAACACCATCCCGCCATATCAATAAAATCAATTCTAAGTCATGCTCAAATCTAGTTTATGTTGAGCAATTTTCTATTACCTAGCAAACAGGATAATATAATATTACAATAAAATAATTGGCCTTTTATGTTAAACTCATGCAATTAAAATTAAATTAAGGTTGTTCATTCCCTTAATTAACCTCTGTTAAAAAGGGTTTGCATTTGGCTGAAGGTCATGGTCAGAAATAAACATTCTTTTTAGAGTCGAACAACTTTTGGCCATCTGTTATCTACTAGTGAACGAATACAGAACTAAAAATAAATTATACAATCACATACATAGATTTCTTAAAGAAAATCAACATTAAGAAATTCCTGTAAGTTAAGATCGGGGCTGAAGATAAGTAGCCCTGGTCCGTCCTAAGCCGCCTTTCCTCGTTGCCAGATGGGGGAAAAACGATTCCCAGAGCGAGCTTCTTGTGAAGCTTTCAGGTAAGAGCCTCGAGTTCGGCTCACCTGCAAACCCGCTTCGATCTTCAGTTTCGATCGAGACTCACTTGAGTTCGGACGTGTGGTGCGCTTGTTTTTCCGAGTTTTCCGCTGTGTCGTCGCAACCGTCGTGTCTTCCGGACCGTGGATCCCCTGAATTTTTGCGGTCGTTGTGCAAGTGCATGGCAGTCACGTACAGCCGTTGCAACAAATACGAAAAAAAAATATTTATATTGAAAAACAGACGAACAAACAACCGCCAGAAGTAACCAAATCAATGTGGCAAATAGTGTACTTTCGATGCGCGCTCGTTGATTGATTAACACATCACCTCCCACACACACTCCAAGTATCCCATACAGTACTCAGTACCCAGTACCCAGTACTCAGTACTCGTACTCGTACTCGTTTACCTGTGCATCGCAATCCGCTGCAATTGCAATTGCGCGGTGTGTGCATCATCAGCGGAGAACGTTAAAAGTGCCGCGACTGCATTGTTTTGACTTTGATCGTGTCTCGTGGTCTCCGCTACCCCGCCCCCAAAAAAAAACCATACCATACCGCCCACCGCTCCTCGACGAAGCGCGTGCGTGTTGTAACTTTTGATTAGCTTCGGAGTCGGTCTTGGAATTGGATTTAGATTCGGATTCAGATTGGGATCTTGCAGTGCGCTTGCGTTTTTCGTAACTTATCGCCGCCCACATCTCGGCCAGGAATTCGTTCTTCTTCTTCAGGTGAGCCTGCGTGGAATGTCTCTACCCTTAAAGATGAAATACATTAAAAACAAAAATTATTAATTGTAAAACAAAGGTTTTAATCTATAAGTCATAATAGTAAATAGAAAATCTGGATTTATCATTACCATCCTCATTACTTCTTTGCTTATAATAGGTATTAATTTAACGAAATGGTTTTTATTAAATGAAAATCAAATATTACAGTTGTGATCAGAAAGGTTTATGCAATTAAAAAAGGTTTTTATTTTAATATAATGTTTTATCATGATTTTCTATCAAAATGTGTTTTTCAAATAAGCAATTACACACATTAAAACAAGTTAAGATTTAAACAAAGAGAGGACAATACATATATTTTCTGAATCATTAACTCCAAATAATAATTTTCGATGATCAAACGACTGAACGTGGGAGAACTCATTAGCTGATTGTTAATTGATGTGTGTTATTTATATGACCATCAGAAAAGAGAAAAAATGTATTCTTTTAATGAATATTTGACAAACCAGAAAGCTTTCGGTTTTTCTTGGAGTGTATGTGAGCATGTACTTTGTGTGTGACGTGCAGGAAGACCAAGAAAAAGAAGCGGCAGGAATGCTCGCTGAATTGGCAATGCAAACGGGCTCTTATTTTGGAATTCCCTGCACATGCCGCAGCGGAAGATCGAAAAAAAAGTGAAAATCGCTACGAAACCTTTGTAATTATAGACACACACACACACAGTACACACACACAGTACACACACACATATAGTACGCACACAAGGTGCCAGGCATAATTTATTGCATATTAGCGTTTGGCAGCTGACAGCTGCTTTTGGGATTGTTCTCCGGACTCCGGAGATCGATGTGGGCCGCCAGAACTTAACCGAGGCTGTGGCAGATGAGATGAGATCACTTCTAAAAACCGAGGCCGGGCGAATCAGCCAAGAATGGTCGAAACACCAAACACCAAAATCGCGTATGCGCTCTGTAAGTCCATTAATCACAGCCGAATAAAAAGAAATGTCGAACTCGCTGTGAGTCACCTGTAGTCGAGAAACCAACTCCGCTGGCGACTTCTTAGCTTTCATTAGTCTTCCTTATCCAGCAGCGGAATCTAATTAATTCTCCTTTGTTTTCATCACCTCGATAACTGTTTGTCTCCATTCCATTTAAGCCGCTTAGCTAAGTTACCGGCTAATGCTTTGACCCTCTAAGCCGATCACACAAGAAGCTAGATGTAGGTACATGGAAAAAATTGAAGTCGTTTGCTGACTAGGTCTTCCTTATTGACTGTTACATGTTTAAATATTCTTTTTTGGAACTTAATTCCACCAAACACCTAATGACTTTAGTCATATTTATTAGATTTGCTCAAAGAAGTTAACAAAAGGTATTATAATGTTTTCTGGATCATAAAAAGTCCTTAATAATTTAATTTTATCTGTCTATCTAATTTATAATGAATTATGAATTCCCAGAATTATTGTTTAAAGAATATTGAACATAATTTAAAAATATTTTTATACAAAGTGAACACCACTTTAAGTTCTATTATTTCCCTGTGTACTATCGATTTGAGCAAATGCCGTGTCATGCCAAGATTGGACCGCCGCAGAAACAGAAACCGATTCAGAAGTGACCTTGAGGGTAATAACTCCCGCGACTCGCGCTTTTCTTAGTCATGCCCGGAATGCAGCCGAGCAGCATTGGCAGCTGCAAAGGCCAAAACCGGATGGCATCCACCAACATCTAACGTCTAACACAGGCACACACGAAATCGGCTGAGTTGGTATTATATTGTGGCAGGCTACCCACACCACGCAGATTCTCTTCGAGCCTCGGCCCCCATACAATGTTTTGGGGGCATTATAAAATACTATTTACCGCCACTCATATGAGGCTCTATTATTAACATGCTTACAGACAGCGAATTCCAGCGCCTAATAAACAAAAAAAAAAACGCCAATAAGCCCCAAAAAATAACAGCTTAAAACAAAAAGCCGTCAGCCAAAAACAAAATCTGTAAAAAAAAGTGAGAATGCGCGAGGGCAAACGAAACCAGAATCAGAATCCGATCCGATCCGTCGTCGTCGTCGGGCGGGTTTTTTCTAATGGTCGTTTCGGGGGGCGGGGTGGCATCCAGTTGGCCAAGCAAACTGGTTGGTAACATATACACGGCACAGGTGGGGGGACCTTGGAGCGCATCTTGACTCTTCAGAAGTAATTTGAACTGTCAAAGTCGGACAAAAACCAATTTGTAATCTGTGCACTTGTTCAAACCAAACCTGAACAATTTCGGACACACCATATATATAACTATATATATGTATATGCGAGTTTTATAACGAATATTTCGCATTCATTTGCCAAATGGTTTATAATGGCAGTTAGTTAAATTGTTGATTGTTTTTGTTGTTATTCTGTTTACGCTGTCCATTCCGAGATGCTGCGCGTTCGTTGCCTAAGTCTTTTGTATTGGGCCCATTCGGCTTGGCATTTGAGCCGTGTGCGTTTCAATGCCGCGGATTTGTAAGCAGTCCGTGTAAATGAACATAATCGCACATCGGATTACGCAAAAGACCGTAACAAAATCAAACAAACACAGCGGGCATTCAGCTGGCTTTAATTCAATTCGAATGCGTAAGGCGTTCCATGGCTGACCTTAGATTTTTATGTTAATCGCTGGCCAATTGCTCCCGAAATGAAATAACTTGGCCGGCACGGCACAAGTGACACAAAAAAGCGTCTGCCAAAAAGATTTTATGTTTGCGAAAGTTATTCTCTCGATCCATAAAAAAAAACAAAGTTACAAAGCATTTCCGTTAACGACTTTCGGGCAAATTTTGTAAAGATTTTATACGGGTATTTATGTAAAGCTCGAACAGGTTTCTGCAACTCATTAATAAATTAACAGGTGGATGCGACTGCGATTGTGAATCGGGAATGTCATTGGAGATCGTCTGACGCCAATCGTCGAGATGAATTTGCACAAAAGTCGAGAGGAGAGAAGAAAAGGGAGAACTTGCCGCAAATGATTTAATGTTTATAAATACGATTTGCGCCTTGGTCGAATCAATTTTTATAGCAAAATTAACGTCGTGAACGTGAGATGAGCTACTGCTAAAATCGATTTGAAAAATGAAAAATTGTTTATGGCTTTTTATTATTTATAAGGTGAATTATGCAAACCTTGTATAAGTTAACGGATTGCAATTATTTGAAGAGGTCTTATTGATTTTTAAAATCATGGTGGTTGTTGTTATTTTTTTTACTACTATTACTATTACTACTATTTCCTATTCATTAACATTTGCAATCTACTTTCAAGTGTTCTGTTTTAATGGATATCATTTAGTTTTAATAGCTTAATGGTTAAATCAACCTATGTGAGGGGCGAACAACAACAATGAAAATAAAGCTGTCAGTGATTTTCCTGCTCCTCTTAACCTGTCTGCCTTCTAATACCAAAAGCCCACTCAGCCGAAACGGCCATCATTTAATCTCGACGCTGGCTGTTTGAAATATGATCTTATAGGCAAAGTTTGCTACGGCTGCGGGTACAAGTACTTTGGATGGCTCTCGCCAGTTAGAGATCAAGTTTAACGGCCATAAAGCGACAGCGAATAAACGCTTGTTTGTTTGTTATTTGTTCGGCCATTTGTTGTGGCTTAACCCTTGGATTCACCCTGACCCCAAAGGTGGCCCTGTAAACTCGTATAGCTCGTTCTTGTGAAAGTTGAAGAAATCCAGAGCTGAGCAACGAATTAAATTAATTTCAGATATACTTATGCCGAAAGCGAAAGAGCCCCGAAGCCAAACTGGCTGCACCAGTTCGACAAGATTACACGGTTCCATTCCACTATGCTAATCAACGGAAATTAGCCGCAATGTCAATAAATCGGAAATGTGGGGGTCTAAGATACATTCAAAGAAAAAAAACCAAATATGGCATCATTTGTCATCCCAGTGATGGCTTAATTTTTATAATTGATAGAAAACCATCGAAAGTGACAAACTGCGGGCTTGTTTACTTTGTGTGTGTGTTTACTTTTCCTCAGTTGCATTCCAATACATCCAAGTCGAAATCGAAGGTGAAATAGAAAACAAATAAAAAAAAAAATCAATGAAAAACTTGGATTTGGTCGAGGCAACTTTCACTGCGAACCGAAGATGTCACCGGTGTTTTGATGTGTGGATTCAGTCAATGGAATCCATTAACAAGTATTAGCACCTCCTTCCTCTATCAACAAATTGCTAAGCTTGCTTAAAAATAAAAATGTTATAAAATTTGTTTTATATAAATCTACAAATATCGATTTTCTACCTCTCAATATCTTTCTATTAAACTTTATTTTTTTTTTCTCTGCACTGAAGTAGTTGTTAGGCGGTAATTATAATGAGCCAACTTGGCACACATGTTGTCAATCCCATATTATCGACGACTCCCCTTCCAAGTTCGGTGGCGGATTCGTGGTGCGTGACATTAAAGTTGAGAAATTTCGCGCAAATAGAAATCCAAACACGAAATGTTTAAGTCAAACACAGCACAACAGTACAACACGGCACTAAAAGCACCACTCGCACTCGCAAAAGCCATCATGACGAGCTGATTTTCGCACCAGCACACAGCAGCCTCAGATCTGTTTGGCTCGAAGCGAGTAGCCAGTCACATGGACCGTTAACAGCCGCTGGCCAAAATCCACACATCACCCATACGCCGTGTGGTTCGTCAAAAAGGCCCGATTAGAAAGTCTGTGTGCTGAGCCAGCTTGCTAATCAGTTTCTGCACAGCCTCCTTTTTTATTGGGTAATAATTTCTGGAAATGTGGCATAAGCTCAAAGGAACCCACCAAACATAATCTCTCAAAAACTAAATTTAATTCATGTGTCTAAAAGTGTTCCATTCGAAACTAAAGCACTCTTATTATTTTACCTTTTATTTATAAAACAATATCTATATCGTTTTCTAAAAATATTTACTTAAATGTTTAACATTCCTTTAGAACTCTGATAATTTAAAACGAACGCTTTAATGATTGTTTTAAATTATTCGTTTTAGTCCACGGATCCCTTGAACGTTGTCTTCCTTGTTAGCTTCCCTCTTGGCCACTAAGTGGTTACACAATGGCCTATGGCCAACTGGGTTCCATTTAAAATCAATTTCAGCTCTTTTACTTAACAACTTCGTACTTATCTAGCCGTGTTGCTGCCAGCAATGTTATTCTCTAATTCGGCTGGCTAAAAATGGAGCGCGCGCGCATAATTCCAGTGAAGTATTTTGGTCAAGAGTGTGCCGCCCGCCGATCGGGCTCTAATTTCTGGGGCTTTTGGGGAGCGGCCCCATAGGCGATACACTTGCCGCCGCCCCAGAGTCCGAGTTTGGCCGACTTGCTGCGATAGCATCGATTTATCGTCGCGATCCATTAATAGTTGACTATATTTTGTTTTGGGGCCAGTAACCGGTTTCCGGTGCCCAGCACAACACACACACAAAAGACACTAAGTCACAGATACATTTGCAGATACAGATACAAATACGAATAACTTGGCTGGAGTATTTTGAAAATCGTATCTGTGGCCCAACATGAATGAGCTTTTCGAATATTTCGTAACCAGTTGGACTGCATTTTTTCCACTCGCTGTCGCCGTGAATCGAACATGAGTAGCGTGGCCAAATGTTTATGTCCGCAGCTATGGTTGCCCATAATCGATATGTCGTAGAAACCGAGTCAAGTGTTCTTTTCATCCGACTTGTTTCGCGTCGAATCGCATTGAAGACTTCAATTTAATGGCGTGTGAATTGCATTCGAGTTTGTTTCTCTTTGGTATTTGCAGTGCCAAGGCGGCCAGGCGGTCCATTAATTAAATCTCAGTTCTAATTAGTGGAAATGCAAAGCACTCGAGAGGCAATTCAATTAAAGTAATTGCTCACCTAAGCCTCTTAAGTCGGCTTTAACTCCACCACTCCATACCGCTAAACCGTTTTTCCCTTAGTCAGTTGGGTAATGAAGCTCGCTTTTTGGGCAACTCATGACAGCCAGGCCAGTTGACTTGACTTGGCATCACGCAGACTCATTTCAAAGAATGGCTTACAGCCCGGAGTTTTCCCACTTTTCTTGGCAGTTGCGTCTCCAGCTGGGCGCCATTAGTTTAGTTTTGGTCGCTCTTTTTGCCCCAAATGTGGGCTTATTGGATTGCACAAAAAAATGCAGATCACTTACAACATTATATTAGGAGATCGCTGTGGGATTCAATTTCTCGAGTTCATATTAAGAGTCACTGAAGAAAGTGGGTGTTTATACAATTAACTTAAGATATAGCTGGTCATTGGGAATCTGAAAATGTTTTAAAAATTGTGGACAGTTATTCCCTTAATAACTTTAACAATCATTTGCTTATTTTCAAGGCTATGTAACTTTATATGATTTCCCTGACAAAAATTTTAATTATGGTAAAAAGTGCTTGCTGATTATGTTGAATATCCAAACTAGGATTTTAATATTATTTTAATCATTAGTACCTCGGAATGAGCTTTACTCATATTTTGACTTTATATTTATAAACATATCTTTAGGATGCTAGAATCAATTTATTTTTAAATAAAAAATAGTTAGCTTAAAATGATGAGAACATTACTCAAGTAGACAAATACAATCAACCTTCAAAATAAAAGCCATTCAAGAGATTTGTTTTCGGAAATAAATCATTTGGTTGATCATCAAAGACTAGCAAGAATGATTTATGAGTGGAATCCGATTGCCAATTAAAATCCGAACCTATAGTTCTGGCCCAGTTGCGGAGAGTGGCCCAGATACTCGCACTCGTTTAATGCGACTCCATTTGTTTGCTTGCCCCGTCTTAATTAACATTTTTTACATGCTTTTCGATTTTGTTTTGCTTTGGCGACTTCAATGTCAAGCCATGTGGTCGTCACAGTCGATGTTGCCGATGTTGTTACCATTGTTGCTGCTGTTGCTGCTGCTGCTGCTGCTGCTCTCAATGCCAGACAGACAGTTGTTGGCCAGGTCTAGAGTAATCAAAACCAAACGAGGCGGTCACCCAAAGCGGCAGCTGCCGCCTCGGAAGTCGTTCCCGCTACCGTTATGGCTTATAAAAATGTTCACTGCACACAAAAGCGAGATATACGAATATATGTATAAAAAAATATATTTTTATATAGATATTTCTGGGGGTCTGGCATTGGACAATGACTGGGTAATTACCGCTTTGGGTGCTCGCGCTGCTTACCTGAGATGTCACTGGCTGTTCGGGGAGAAAAAGTGGAGCACGGCTGGTCAAGATTTCTGCCCGTTCCCATTCGCCGCGAATCGTGAAGATTTTTGCCAATCAGTAAGACCCCGAGACCAACTAACACCAATTGTCGTTGATTTATCTTGGGGCAAGAAAACAGATATTTCATGCAGCATGCAATTTGCTTGTCAAAACTGTGGCACCATTTTCCATATCCAAACAATTGGTCCGACCGTGCCACATTTTTACGCCCATTTCAACGCCATTTGTTGTCGTTTAGTCCGGGGGCTAGAAACCGAAAAAAATAACTCAAAATAAGACCCAGAGCAGGTAGCTTGGACCCCTGATTTATGTCGTTTCATTAGACAAGCACTTTTTTTTTTTTTGGCGGACTTTGGGTTTAGAAGCCCAAGTATCTAAGTATCTCACAGTTTGAAGTTTGGCTCTTTGGGGGGGGCAGCTGTCATTGGCTTTGATTAGTTTGTTGAACGCGGCAAGACCTTCGATTTCACTCAGCTGCGAAGGCGTTGGACACGGCATATGTACTCAGTAATTCCGATCGATCATTGAACTCCACTGCGAGAGGATCGCATCGATGATTCGCTCTGTCACACGGAAAATCTGCGAAAAAAATAAAAGAGAAACCCATCTTTCGACACTTTTTGGAAAAATAAACTTTAATGGGCTTGTGGGAAATTTCCTTGTCATTGTTTAACGAATGCAATAAATAATTTTCACAGATCCATCTTCGCAGATACTCTAGGCCACGAAATAAAAAAAAAACAGAATTATGCAATTCTCGGCTAATAAATATTTCTATAAATTGCCTTCTTACAGAGTCAACTGTCGGCAGATGAGATGTGCGTCCAATTTGTGGCAAAATTAATTATATAATTTCCAATCACCGCCAAAATCCCCGCAGAAAATCAACTGCACAAAAGAAGAGAAAGAGAAGCGATTGAATAGACAAGCCACGCGTTGCTAATGCGAAAGGAAACTCCCCGACAATCGCCAGAAATTGTGAAGAAATAAATAACGAAAATACAAAATGTCTATAAATAATAAAAGACATTCCCCATTTGGATTCGCTTGGAGCTCGTGGAGCGCCCTGCTGGTGCTCGCCGCCTGGTGCTGCTACCTCGGATACTTCGGATCGGAGGCCCATGTGGCCCTCACCTATCCACCTGCCCGCAAGTACGATCTGGACTTTTTGGACAATGCGCGAACAAAGGCGCCATGTGGCATGCCCAAAGGTGAGTGTTCTTTAAAGGGGTTTTGTTTGTTGGGGAAGTGACCTGGATATTGGGAAAGCAAGGGGGAATAACAAACCAGAACCAATTTGTTCTATTTTGTTTTAAAAGTGGGATACCATCTAAAAAAAATTACATATAAATTTATAGAAAGAAAAAGAAAAATAATAAAGTTCAGAATTTATAATTCCCTCATGTGGAATAATCAATCAAATGCAAGATTGTTAAAAGGATAACAAAATTTCTCAAAATATCTTCTCTTTTGTTAATTGTGCTAAACTTTGACAACAATTCGAACCTCCAACATTTATTGCAATCAAATTTAAATTTATCATGTCAATAAGGTATGAATTCCAAATTAGAGACTTTCAACAAAGATTTGAACAAATAAAAGATTCAATTTTTTCTGTGCAAAATCATTTCCCTGGCCTGATTCCGTTCGTGGGAAATACAGCTGCTGGAACAGGAGCAATAGTTGGCTGGGCTCCACGGAAAATGCATTTCCCAATTGCCGATTGTTGGCCAACTTTGCTTTTTGTTTGCTTTACCCAGCTCGTCTGCCAGGCACGCTTTGATTATAATATTATGGCTTATTATTGCTGGTTATGTGCGCTTTGTTTGCCGACCGTAATTGGTCAAGCACGTTCAATTCACACATGCATCGGAGAATAAACAGTGCGTTTCATAAGCTTAGATGGGAGCTGAAAGATAAATATATAATTAGACATTAAAAATATTATTGTGTCTTGTTGCTTAATCGTATTGGAAACCTTTACCAATAGTTGAGTCGGTAAAGGGTTACAAAAGTTGCCTAGTTTATAAACATTTTACAAAGACTTTATTTAGCCTTGAAATATTTATAGTAAAAGGGTTCTCAATTATTCAGCTAAATATGCTTGAAACACTTATTTCAACTACAAGTTGTAGTTGGAAAATATCAAGTCACAATATCCACACAATACCAAAGCTCGAAACCTTGAACATGTGTTAATAAAATCGATTTGTGTCACTGCAACGAGACTGCTAATGACTTACACCTGTGAAACGCACTGCACGCTGTTAAAATGTATTCATAATTTAGAGACGTGCATTTTGCAGCTGAAAAACTTTTGCTTTTGCACTCGCTTGCATAATATGCATATGCTTATGCTCCGCTGTTGTTATTGTTATGCATGTGGCATCTTGCTCAATGCAACATACTTGCCGCTCCGTTATTGTTGCCGCGGCTGAAAAGTGTTACCAATTAATTTGCATATCGCGAGCGAGCGAGCGAGGGAAGCGACCGCCATTCACCTGTTCACCGGCAGTGGAGCAGTGTGCGTGTGTAAATGAGGGGGAAAGGGGGAGGAAGGGGAGGGATCCACAACCAGGGAAATTGGGTCAGGCAAATTATGAGCATTACGCTTATGATGCTCGATGGATATCTTATGGGCAACGGGTAAAATGCACTTTCGAAAATAAATTAAAATAACACCTTTTGCTCTCGAGTTTTGACATTTGATTGCGTTGATTCAAGAGGCCGTTTTTTTTGTTTTTATTTATTTCCCTTCGTTATGGGATAGTCCCATCGATACTGTTTGCATATCAATTATCGACCCTCGAAGCCGACAATTGCCTTGAGACGCTTGGTAATTGGCGAACTGGCAACTGCTATCGGAGATCAGAGGCACAGGCACACGTGTGCCGCATCAAAATGCCAAATCAATTTCCATGGATATGTCCATAAAGTATCGCAGACACTTCAATAATGTGCAAAAAAAATATATATACCTACATACATATATAAAGATTGTACAACCCGTTAAGCGACATTTTTGTGCGCAGCACTTTTGCCCATGTTTTTATTTTCATTTTCAATTTCGTTTGCAGTTTCATTTCGCTTTGTTTTGCCCGGTTTTGTTAATTATATACGCGCGCACATTGCGTATACGCAACGTGGGCAACACGGTGGCACGTTTAACCCATTTTGGGGCATGACAACTTTTGCCTTCGCCTGCGGCTGCACCAGCTACTTGTTGTTGTTGTTGTTGTTTCTCTGTTTTTCTGTTTGCCATTTGCCGCTCGCTGCAGCTTGCCAAACGCGTCTTGAGTTGTTGGCCAAGTTGGTCTTAGCCATGGCAACTGCAACATTGCAACTGCGGTTGATGCTGCTGCTGCTGCTTCAGCTCACTGGCTGCCTTGATGATGATGTATGCGCCGACGAGAGCCAAAGTGGAATGCAACATGCTGCAAGTGAAAAACTTTCACTTGTGCATTACGGCACACAGAAGTCGCCGGGGGCAGAGCGCGTTGATTGGCGAGCGGCGTGTCGGCAGGGACTAAGTATTCCGGCCACAATCCGCGGTTACGGCATGACGAAAATGTTAACAACTCTATCCAGGGACGTAGCCATAAATACTTTGCGGTGGTGAAAAATTGCTTAGGTGTAGCTCTTTCATTGGGTAAACATAGAATGACGAATATACAAATATTATACCTACTACAATTTGTATAATTCTTTTTCCTTCGAAACTAAGAAAATCGATTAGATGTATTACAAGCGAGATAATTTTACTAATATTATTTTAGCATGAAAACAAAACATTAGAAACTCCGAACTTATAATCATTCTGTGCGTCAGCAAGCCAAGGAATGTAGAACTAAATGTGTTAAAATTATTAAGACTGTGTTATAAAATGTGAGCTTTGGAAATTTACTGGGAGACAACTCAGGTAAATCCAATTAAGATCCTTGAAAATGTATATAGATGTTTTTGAATGGAGTAAGTGTTAAGGGTTCGTAAGTGTGATGTAAACCTATCTTCACTAATTTGTATGTGTTTTGTTGACAAGCCAAGTTTAAAGTCATTTAAGAATTGCTTCATAAAGTGAGTAAAGAGTTCATAATCATTGTGATTTGCTTAAAAAAAAACTTTTAGTTTAGAAATATAAATTCTTAGTAAATCTACACCCATGAGCTATCTTAAGATGCGCTGTTGTTTTTGAATCTCCATCTGAGAGTGACAGCTAAATGAGGCTGCAATTGTTGATGTTTTTGCCGCTGCTGCCCTTTCTATCAACTGCAACTAGCAACTTGCAACTTGCAACTGGTTCAATGGGCCGCAAAAACGCAGGGATTGGAAATGGGGATCGCAGTGACTGACTGACTGAATGAATGACTGACTGAATGAGTGACTGCTGACCTCTGAGGAGCATCTTGCATCTTGTTTGCATTGCACTTACCCCTCTCAACACATCTCCACAGCCTCGTCTAATCCATCTCAATTTGTTCGTGTTTGACACTCTTTTCCACAGCCTTTGTCTCCGTGTCTGCTGCTACACGATTTGTTTTGATTTGGCTTTGTTTTTACGTTGTGTTGTTTTTTTTTTTTTTTTGTATCTTGTATCTTTCTTTGGTATTTTTATGGCCACAAAGACTTGACATGGCTTGTAATTGTCGGCTGGCGTGCTGAGCGCACTGGAAATGGAGGTCAAGTTGTGGTCGCCTCTTGTGTCACTTGTCGGGAACATCGGTTGGGCAACCCAATTGGGTTGACAAAACATCGGCTTCGATAATTAGAGGAGCAATCAGCTCAATGCAAATGTCAATTAGTCGGCCAAAGCTTTGCGATTCGTTATGCAGCCACCGACTTGGGAAAATATTCAATATACGAGTAAGCTGGCGCAGATTTATCATCGTAACTGCCGCGACAAAAGCCTATAGCCATTTATCACTAGAAACTGCAGTCGTTTGGCCAATGCCTCGAACTCATATTTCAGTTCGAAATCCCCTTCGTTTCGGATTTGCTAAATCCTGTAGCGAAATGTCGCATTGAGAGCCATTCAGAATACCAATGAGAGCGACCGGCACCGGTGACATTTAAGCCATCGAACACGGACCTCGCTACGTATACGTAATATAGTTGGGGAATTCATAAGTAGCCAGAGAACAGCAAAGCCATTGAAATGCATCTGCATCCCAGACCATTCAGAGCCATAAATACCAACCTGCAACTGGACTGGCAATGGAGCAGAGTGCAGAGCAGTGGATCGGATCGGATTGGATCCGATCGGAGTGGATTGGATCGGAGCGGATTGGAATGGATCGGTTGGACTCGGGCCCCCAAAGGGGCTGGCCAAGACAACGTCACGAGCAATTAACTACAGCGAAACTCCTTGACCAAAGCGGTAGCACCAGCACCACAGGGAATGCAAATAGCACACAGGGAGAAAAAGGGAGGTAGTAGTAGGTTAAATTTATGAATGATTTATTAAATTAAAAGTTCTTTATTTAAAAATACATTTTGGAAATGAATCACAAATAAATGTTGAAAATTAAATTCAGTTTAAAAACTGTAGTTCCAGATAAATCATGTTGAATGTGCAAAATTTAAAGTCTGGAGAAAGAACAATAACTAATGGTATTGAAATTCTCTTAATTTTAATAGTAATAGTAATGTCGTGTTATTCTTTTCCCAAATGTATTAAGATTTTTTGTTTTGTGTATCTTTTATTCTCCGTGCAACTGCACGATCAATATTGAGAGCTGCAAAACGCTGGCCAGACAGACGTTGGCCACTTGGCCAGGTTAATTTGTGGCAGTGGCGAACACGGCGTCGAACGGTGGCAACTGGCAGCCCGTGTAGGGTTGCCAAAGCGAAATTAATTTTATGGCACGTTACTTATTCAGCTCCACCCGCTCCTTCCCCCCTAACAACTCCCCTCCTTGCGACCCCTTCCCCGTTTTTGGCGGCAAGAAATGCTGAAATTTATTGCCCTCCACGGCGCATGCGCAACGCTTCGTTAGTCGAGAAAAACGCTGTGTGGAAGTGTATTTGTCAACCTTTCGCAGTGCACCCTGTACAGTGGTCCGTATGGCGGAAGTCTAGGCTTTGCGGCTTCGTGAGAGGCGTCGACCATATTTGGCTGTCGGTTTTTCTTTTTCGTTTCACTTGCTTCTGCAGTTGGCCAATGCAATTAGAATGCACGCAAGCGCACATTCTTCTATCAACGGCAGCAAATTGCCTTGAGGGGGAAAGGAGGGGAATGGAGTTGCATGGAGGATGATGTAATGTCGGCTATTATAAGAATTTTCCCCCAGGCACTTCCACCCAAGTGCAGAGAGATGGATTCCAGAAAATTGCTGTTCTTTAGTTAATTATAATACCTAGTTTTGATTTACCAAAAGTGTTTGTGGTGTGGTCTTCGTTGTTTGTTAAGAAATTTGGCAGTAATTTAATCTCAGAGATTCTTAAAACAATTAACAGGTATTATTCAGTGGGATAAATTAAAAATATACGGTTCACTTTCGTAACTAGTTATGATGACAATATTTATAGTTAAAGTAAAGTTAATAAGCTTGAAACATACAATAAACACTGATTGGCAATACTATTTTGATTGCAATCAAAGCTTAAACCAAAAAACTCCTCCTTTCAACTATCGATGGAATTCAACTTAAGATCAAATTAGCGAAGATTTCAATTAATTATAAACCGATTTCACGCGCATCTCCGAGGGAAAAAAAATAAGGCGGCCAGTCGAGTCAAGGCGGCCCCGACCGATTTGAATTTAGGAGGCGAGCGGGACGGACGGACTTTCGAAATGGCCAGACGACGCCGGCGAGTTCAAGCTCAACCAGCAGCACACACAGATACGATTTTCAGCAGCCTCCAAAAACAAAACGCAAAGGTGAACAACTTTCGCGGGCCTGCGATCATGGGAAATATGACGGAGTTGAGGCGAAACACGAAAAAGCGTACAAAAATATTAACCAGATAACTTCAATTGGTCTTGGGGCTGGCCAACCACCGATCGGTGGTGCGGACCATGGGAAACATTAATAAGAAATGTGGAAAAAAATCCGTAAAAAATATACGTACACCTGCTAATTTGGTGCATGGATTCAGATGCGATTCAGATTCGAAAATACAGGTCGAACACAAGTTTGGTTGCCGCCTTCTTTCGGGCATAATTTGTTCGTTGTTTCGGTTTTATTAATGGGAACAGTTGATTTATCCACCGCTAGTCGCTTAACCCATTTCTCGAATCTGGTTTGGCGGCTTTCCGTTTCGAGTCAAAACAAAGCGAAATCTGCGTTAAATCATGGGAAGCTGTGTGAGGTCTGCGGGGCCGTCAGGTGCAATTAAATGTGAGGAATGCACCGATCCGCATTCGATTCGAACTGATTTGCATTTCCCAGTGGCCCAGAAAACCAACCAGGGAAGCCTAGTTCGTTTCCAGCTGAGTGGAGTTGATTTTACCCCCCACTTCCAGCCCACAATGGTTGCGCAATAGAAACCAAGAGTTTTTCCGCCAAGAACGAGCATCCAGTGACCCACAAATGCTACAAACAGACTTAAGTGCAAGACAATCACTGAGGAATACCCTGAAATCGGAGCTCGAAATTTGCGGTTTGCAGTGTTCCTTATAGTGGATATACCTCTACCAACTTGGCGCGACTGTCATACTCATGACCATATTGGGACGAACAACTGGCAACTGCACGACCATTGAACATCCATCGAGTGACTCAAGTGGTCAGCGCTTTTTGTGTTCCCAGCTTCTATGACTTTGGCTGGTTGAGCTTGGACGGAGCGATCTCGTGCCAGCGGTAATCATAATTTTCAGCTTCCTTATTTGCCAAGACGAGTGCGGGGACATCGGGAAAGTGACACTCCTCCTTTCGCTTTCGCAGACCTGACATCGCTATAAACATTTAATGGCCTCAATTAGCGACTCGTTCGCCGTGTATTGGCTGCCAACGATGTGCGAGCTGGGCATTGATAGCTCCTCTGGTCCAACTGCATTGCGACACTGGCAAAAAACTGCAGTTCGCAGCATAAACTAATAACTAGATAGCAGAAAAACATTATGTGAAAATTAAAGTAGTTACATTTTTAACTCTAATTACAAAAAATATAGATCTAATTACAATAGCTTGAATAGAGTATATCGAATATACAAGACAAGACAAAGTTTTTGGATACTCTCTTGGTTTCTAAGATGATTTGTAAAACTCGGGCTATTGATAACAAATCTTAAGAAGACTAAAAAATGGTTTCTTATGGGCACAGCTTTATAGCTTAAGATTTAATAAGTTCTTTTATAATTTGTTGTAATGACAAATTTTCCCTGTGCACCTGCATCTGCATCCCTGTCCCTCCGGGCAAAGCCCAGGTTGTAATTTTTTCACAGCTGGTCAGCGAAGATTACCGCATGGCTCTTATGCAACTGACGTTTATTGAAATTCGTCTGGGTAGCAGCAGCAGCAGCTTTGCAAAGATGTTTTCGGGCTGGGTCTCTGCACGTACAGATGTGATTATCGGATGTCTAGTGGTGTCATGCACAATTTGCCGGGGGAGTTGGGCGTCCAAGGTGCAGGTGCACTCGTTGCCACTCAATGCAGAACCAGTCCAACAGTCCTACTCCAGGGGGAGTGGACTTAATCATGCAACTGAGGCTTGGGTAAATAGATGGCCCTGTCACCGGTAATCACCGGCCCACTGATCACGCTCCGATTTCTGATGTCTTGTGTCTGGTTTCTAACTTCTGACTTCTGATTTCCTACTTCCAGGCTCCATCCGCACCTCACTGCTCTCCGGCTCGCAGTTCAACGTCACCTGGCATTTGGCCTATGCGCACAAGGTAAGTTGGGTTGACGGCAATGGGAGCAGACACGCCCCTTTTAGGGTTCTTATCGCCGAGGGGCTAATTAGCCGAGAATCCATTCTCGAGCGATTGCCTCACGAGCACGCAGTCAAAGTCAAAGCCCCATGAATCGAGATTCCCATGTTTTTTTCTGCGGCCTGGCTGCACGACATCTCGTCACAAGTTCTCAGTCATTGTTTTGGCGCACACCACAATCATAATCGCTACATTTCCAGGGCGGCTTTCGGTTGCAACTATTGGATGCCCTCGATCGACCTGTTTTGGACCTCACGCCCCATGTGAATAACTCCGAGTTTGTCAGCACGGATGCCACGTAAGTCAAACCACCTAGCTTGTCCTTTGTACCATTAGAAAAGTAAATAGAAAATACATTTTTAAAAACTGTCAATTCAAGTTGCATAAATCAGATGTAGATATTTGAATTTTTCAAAGATTAAAACCACCTCACTCATATGACTTTCCATATTGATGATATAGTAAAATTATCTTGAAATTGCTTAAACCAATCAATATTTTAGTTAATAATATACACCTACTCTTTTTTTCATAGTGCCCAGTCCTACTTGGTGAACATTCCCAAGGACTTTGAGTGCTTCAACTGCACACTACGGCTGCTCCGCCAGGCGGATGAGTGGTCCACCAGCTATCGATTCTGGTCCTGTGCCGATGTAGACATCAGGCTGCGCAAGGACTTCAAGGAGACCTGTTCCGGCAACGGCAAATACTTCCCTTCGCGTTGCAAGTGCGACAAAAACTTCTACGGACCCCAGTGTCAGTACAAGGACGAGTGCTCCTCCGATGCCGACTGTGGTGTTCAGGGCAAGTGCGTGGATCATGGTGGAACCTCCCTGCCTCGACAGCAGTGCTACTGCAACTTTGGATGGTTCGGAATCGGATGCAACAAGCGATCTCCCTTCAAGAGCACCAACCTCGACCTCTCTTCCTATGCCAAAAAGGAGCTTTCGCCCGATTACCACGTCTACTGGAGGCTGCTCGAGGAGCAGAAGGAAATCGAGATGGTGCTCAAGGTCAACAGCACCTCGTGGGTTGGCTTGGGTTGGAGGCCGCGTGGAATGACGCCGGAGTGCAAGAACTTCCCACTGATAAGGGACATTGGAGACTTGACCACAACGCTGGAGAGCTCTGCTCCGGAACCGAAGAGCGAACCGGAACCGAAGAGCGAACCGGAACCTAAGAGCGAACCGGAGCCGAAGAGTGAGCCGGAACCGAAGAGTGAACCGGAACCAAAAAGCGAGCCCGAGCCGAAGAGTGAGCCCGAACCGAAGAGCGAACCCGAGCCAAAAAGCGAACCAGAGCCTAAGAGTGAACCGGAGCCTAAGAGTGAACCGGAACCTAAGAGCGAACCGGAACCCAAGAGCGAACCGGAACCCAAGAGCGAACCAGAACCTAAGAGCGAACCGGAGCCCAAGAGCGAACCTGAGCCCAAGCGATTGGCCGAGCTTAGAGCCGCACCGGAACCCACCAGTGAGCCGGAACCTAAGAGTGAGCCGGAACCGAAGAGTGAACCTGAACCCAAGAGTGAACCTGAGCCCAAGAGTGAGCCTGAGCCCAAGAGTGAACCGGAGCCTAAGAGTGAACCTGAACCTAAGAGCGAACCGGAACCCAAGAGTGAACCGGAACCTAAGAGTGAGCCAGAACCCAAGAGTGAACCGGAACCCAAGAGTGAACCGGAACCCAAGAGCGAACCGGAACCCAAGAGTGAACCGGAACCAACTAGTGAACCGGAACCCACGAGCGAACCGGAGCCGACGAGTACGCCTGAGCCTAAGAGTGAACCTGAACCGAAGAGTGAACCAGAGCCAAAAAGCGAACCCGAAGCACAGAACACCAAATCAAAGAGAGTTGCCGGAGATTTCAAGCAGGGTGTCTCTTCCGTTTCCACCAGCGTTTCCTATCGCGTGAGCACCAGTGCAGACCGCCATCGCCGAGAAGCAGGTAAGGATCATTATATAAATTATTTTGATAAATGAGTTGAACAGAGAATCAAATACCTAAACACTAGTAGATTCTCCAAACACATTTTGGTACAGTCTCTTAAGATTTCGATGATCCCTTTATAAAAAATTTCCGTTTCTCCACAGAATCACCCAAATACCGACTGAACCCGTACACACCACGACATGACTTCAATCCCATGGACTGCACGGACATCGTGATCGGATCAGCTCGAGGAATGGCCAGCAGAGTGGGTGACTACTACTCCCGGGATCGATCCACTCCACGCACCGATGAGGTCTTCGGCGGCAAGTCAAACTTGGCTTTGGGTACGGGCTTTGAAGAGAACGGAGTGACCACTATCATCTTCCGCAAAAAACTGGTTGCGGATGAGCCCACTGATCATACCCTCGACGATGCGCTCACCCATGTAATTTGGGCCAAGGGTCAGGAGCCAAGTGGTTATGTCCACGTTCCAGCCTCTGGTCTCGAGACACAAAAGTCCACGGTGAAGGACTTCTATAAGCAGGATGAACTGAAATACCACGGACACCAAATGCAACGAGGCGTGACTCAGATTAATTTCTTTGGTGAGTTAACTACTAACACTACTATTATTCGTTGCGTTATTTGATGATATCCCTTGTTTTAATAGAAAAAGAGAAGCCATCCGCAAGCACGGACCGCAATGACCTGGGAACCAATGTCCTGGACAACGATTGCTTTGGCCACTGGAAGTACCCATCTAGCTGCTCACCCCAGGAGCACTCCTGCGAGTACTACGCCAGCTGGGAGACGGTGGGCAAGGGTGACGAGATGCGGTGGCACATCGAAACGTCGAATACGCAGACCTGGACGGGAATCGGCTTCAGTGATGACCAGAGAATGTCGCAGACGGACGCGATCATTGGTTGGGTGGACGGACGCAGTGGCAGACCCTTCCTGATGGACACCTGGGTGTTGGGCTATGCACCGCCGAAGCTGGACGATCGCCAGGACATCTACAATGCCTCCGGACGCATCGAGAAGGGCGTCACCATCCTGGAGTTCAACCGCAAGCGGGTTAGCAACGATGAACAGGACTTGTCCTTCACGGACGACCATTGCCTGTATCTATTTTTCCCGGTTCTCGGTGGAGCCTTCAATGTGGTCAACAAGAAGATACGCAAGCATGAGCAGGTTCCGCCAATCTCCTCGCAACGTGTCTGTATCAAGTCCTGTGGCAAGGGTATGTTATTCTAAAGCTAAAAAGGAATTTTTAATTTAATTGCCATTTTATATCACAGAACTGGAATCCGTTTTTGTGGGCACCAGCACTCCGGCTCCAAGTCGACTGGTCTATGCCGTGGGCGTTAAGTTGATGAATCTGGGCGAATCCTATGAGGCTCCGAAGCCCGGAACCGTGGAGTTCAACAACCTGGCAGCCACTATTTCGGACTCCTTCAATGGCATCCTAAGTTCTCTGACTGGCTACTACAAAACTGAGATTCTGGGCTTCGAAAAGTGAGTAATAATAATAAAGTATTGGATTACAGTTAAAAGTTGCATAATACATACAAACTAAGTGTAGGTGTATTTTCTTATTTTATATTATTTTTGTGGCACAAATATTTTAATACATGTTATTAATGTGAAAAAAATTTATTCGGATATAAGATAAAGAAAGCACTTCTGTATTTTGTAGTAAATCAGTACCGATAAGTAAAACCAATCTCTGTATCACACTAAAAAAGAAAAAAATGTGCTACGACACGGGTTTTTTTCAATTTTACTTATAAAAGCAAACACATATAATATAAGATTAAATTTGTCTTATCAAAGCCAGCTTTCAAAATTGTTATAAATCAAGCCATTAAAATATTTTTGTGGGCAATAAATTAAAAAATGCTGAGACTAATAATAAAATAAAAAAGTCGTTAAACTTTTCATGATAGAAACTTAATAAATTTACTAATTGCTCTATACTATTTTCAGGGAGGGCAGCACCATGGTGGCGAAGGTTCAGGCCATGTTCGATAAGGCGGATGTGGAGAAGAAGCACGACTTGGAGACAAACACTATTGATAAAACCAGCGATTCAGCAGCGCAGAAGAACGCCGAAGCGATAAGAGCCGCCTTGAAGGACCAAATTGCCACCGGTCGAGTGGGTTCACTGACGGTCGATCCTCAGTATCTTGACTTTGAGGCCTTGGAATGTATGCATTTAATCAAAACCTTATTAATTAGATATGCTAAATAATCTTATCCCCCCTGTAGACAAGAGCTCCTCAGAGCCGAATGCCAAGGAGACGCTGCTCTCCTTCTTCGACCTCTCGGAGACCCGTTTGTACATCGTCCTGGGATTGATTGCAGCTTTGGTGCTCATCGCCCTCATCCAGGCATTCTGCACCATTTGGAAGACTTCGCGAAAGAGCAAGAGTACCAAGGTGAGTGGGCCAAGGATTTGAACCGATCAATTGGGTCAGCATTAGCCTAGCCGACACAGAATAGCAAGTTCCAAATTTAAAACACAAAATATGGGTATTTCGTATTATTATTTTTATTAAGAACCATTAAGAATATGGTTTATGAGAAATCCCCGAAGTGATTACGGTTGCTGTGCCCTTTCTGTGTCGGAGGGGCTTTTCCCATTCCTCTCTTATTATTAATATCTTCCCATTGTACCCGTGTCGTTTAAAGCTGGTTTACGTAATTCCCGAAGAGTGGCGCATGTACCAACAGCGACAGCACCAGCGCTACTATCAGCCCTCTAGCGATCTATAAAGTCCACTCTACAAACCAAACTCAGATCAGATATGCTATAAACAAATAATACTGCCCGATTCTGAAACCCGAAACCTGAGCATCAGCTACAACTGCCTTAAGCGCACTTACGTTTTATACCGAACCGAACCAATCTTATAGTTAGTTTAAGTACCGGAACCCTCTTGATTATGTGCTGTATCTGTGCCGCGTTTATCAAAATTCTATAACTAAATGGGTAATTCAAAACTCTATATTTTCTTGTGGTATCTGTTGTGGTATTAACCTTGTCACCTAACCAAAAAAAAAAAACTATAACAACTCACCTTGTCACTCTGGTCGGAAGTCTTTGAACTGCTTTTTACTTCTCTCTCTTTTTCTGTTTGTGTCTTAACCCATTTCTGTGTGTTTCCAGTTTGTTCTAAACCAATTTCATTTGCATTTCATCTACTTTGTGTGAGGTTTCTCCTGGCCAGTCAGCGTTTGACATATGCTAAGTAAACTCTGGGAACCTTTCCTAATCCTACTTCAGATCCCCAGCTGTTTTCCAACTATTAACTATTTTAATATTGATTCGGCTTAAACGCAGGCACAAGCACATCTGCAGAACATTCTATGAATATTTATAACCGCGTAGAGTATCCTTAAAAAATACCCACACCAAATGCTGGCTGGTTGAGCGCCTTTAAGAAACGATGCCAACGAAACCTAGTTCTAATTGTGGTAAAATCCCTTTCTGCTTGCAGGAGAAACTCATCCAAAACTCGCCCTGGAAGGAGTTTGCCTCGAACACCAACTACGCCTTCGATCCCTACGGCGAAACGGAGGAGAAGAATGTGGGCAATAGCAAGGAGAAGGCGCGCCATCGCCACCAGTCGACCACGAGCAGCCAGCAGACGACGCTGCCGATGTCCCACTCGCCCACCAGCAAGTCCCAGATGTACTACGAGAGTCCCAATGGCCAGGGCAAGAACGGCAGCCACAACAACAACGGTCGCAGCAATGGACGCACAGCCAACCAGGCGCAGGAGAGCAGCATCAGTGGAGGAGCTGGACCAGGAGCAGGACCCTATTCCCGCAGCTCCTACGCGGAGCGGGCGTACTCGCTGCCCCGCCAGGCGCATCACTACCAACAGAGCCCGGCCAGCATGCAGCCGTCGGGTTACTACACCCACGACAGGCGTACCGCTCGCCAGGGCAGTCGGGACAGGACGATGGAGCGGGAAAGGGAGCGGGAGCGGGCGAGGGAGGAGGAGAGACGGCAGCGACAGGATCGCGATCGGGACTCTGGCTACGATCGTTCGAGGGATGATCCGCGACAGAACGGTGGATCCGATACGCCGGACTTCTACTTCATGCCCTCGCAGCGCAAGTATTCCGGCGAGGTGGTGCGCGTCTACGTGGACTACAACAAGGATCCGAAGCATTAAGGCTCAAAGGACACACACATACGATTGTTTATTTAAAGCTCGATTTAAGTTCTACCATCTGTACTCTCCGTCCCTCCGTTTGGCGAGTCCGTTTCGTGTCCCTCACAGAAAGGATTTAAAGGAAATAGAGGTCAATTTGAGGTTTTACCTTTTTAAGATCTGTACAACAAAACTAGAAATCGTTATTTTACAAAAATCAAATCCCTTTTTTGAAAGTATATAATATAATTAAGGAACTAATATCAAGTTAGTCATTCAACGTTCGAGAAGAATAGGTTCAAGCTGACTTCTATTTAATATACTTCTGTGCACTTCCGTTTCCTTTGAGTTCTCCTTAGTTTCGATTTTGCCATAAAGCAGTTTAGCTGCAGGTGCGCAAGCTTTACCACAGAACGCACAACGCATGATTCCACAACTTAGTGAATTGTATATATTTTGCATAGACATTAAAGCTTTTACAACAAAGAACAAAACAAAGCCACACAAATCACATAAAATTATTAAGCTAACTTTGCAATTAGGTAAGTGCATTGAAAATGTTTTCGCATTGGTATATCTTGAATGTGCAAAGAAAAATAGTCACTGTATTTAATCAAATTAAATATACAAATTAAGTTCATACATATAAATAAAGATAAGTACATTTAAAATGAAAATCGGCGCAGTAACTGGGTCTTATGGGTCGTCAATACAAGAAGGCCTTTTAAGCTGTGGGTATGAAGCTTCTACATTTTAATGGTTTCACATTTTATTAGTTAATTAAGAAAAGTTTCAAACTTAAATCAAGCTTAAGCATTTTAAAATTAATTAAATGTAACGATATGGGAAATCCAATTTGTATAAGGCAAAATATTTGTTGCAACGTGCAGACCATTGAAAGAATAACTGACAATCCCTAGCAAAACGAATAGTTGCCTTCCAGGCTGATCCAACTCTTTTCCGAAAATAAAACCAGGCACTCCATCGTTATAAGGTGTTTCACTAGATCGAGTGCAAAATTCATTGGCTTGTATAACTCTATTAAATGTGTTTGCACATTCGACCGTGCGGATCCGCTCGATGTTTAATTTATAAGTTTGTATATGGTTCCATTGTTTCACATAACCAAAAGCAGTGAAAAATTGAAGAGATGCGGCTGCCTGCTGGTAATAAGGGCTTGTGACCATACATATCGGCTTCATACCGTCTGCAAATGAAAATGACTTAAAAACCGAGAATATTATAAAAAACTTAGATTACCTGTATTTGTCACCGGTCGATTGAGTTTTATTAAGGCTATATTACTACTTTCGTCAGGGTGCTTAAAGACTTTCTCAACTCTGTGATCTGCAAAGTCTAGGTTTGTTTGCATCACACCCACTTCTCTGTAAAGTTAATATATTTTGTAGGTAGCTCAAACATTTTTAATTAACAGGTTTATACACTTACAAGGAATAAGGATTATCTGGCAAGCCTCTGGAAACTGTGACGACAAACCCTAGACACGAAAACAGATTATTACCATATAAAACGAAACTTTAGGTTTAAAAATAAAAACACATTAAAAACTTTATTGGGTAGACATGGTACTCACGGTCTGTGATAAGGACGCCTCGTGCCACAAAATTAGGTCCCCAAATTTTTGCCAGTAAGTTTGATGCAATAGTAGCTCCATTGCAGTCATTGTACAACATTATATTCTCCGAATAATTAGGCTGAGTGGGTATTTGGGGTGGCTCAGGCTCATCGAACTCGAACTTCCTTATCGTTTCCTGTATCCAATCTACATAGCTAGTTACATCCACATTGACTCCCGGTCCATCGCAGTGTTCTCTGCCGTAGCTTACTATTCCGAGCTGCACTTCGCGAATGCCGTGTTCATAAAAGTTGAATTGCTTTGACAGCGGGCCACCGGAATCGCCTCTGCAAGTATCGCCTCCGTTAATGTCACCAGCACATATCTGCTTTTCATTGACGTTGACTAACAGGTAATTATGGCATACTGATCGATTTAAGTGGTCAAGTGTAATATTTTGAAGAATTGAGCTTTCTTTGCCGTCTCTTCGCCATCCCCAGCCTACAGCTGTAAAGGTCACAGCATTCTCCAAGGCGTTTTTCATTCCCTGTTTGTCCAAAACAACGCATATTGGATGAATTAAGGCTGTGAAGAAATTACAATAATATTATCTGTTTAACGACCACAACGTTCACTTACAATCGAATTGGACCGCATCCCTCAGTTTAAGAAGGCCAATATCATTGTGATACAAAATAGGAATGTGTAATTGGTGAATTATTTAACTGGCTCTTTTGGGTCATGAATAGCAGAAGGCTTTCTAAACTGTGAATATTAAGCGTCAACATTTTATTACGTTAATAAAAAAAATTTCAAATTTAAATCAAGCTTAAGTATTTCAAAATTAATTAGGTGCAACGTTATCGGTGATCCAATTTGTATAAGGCAAAATATCCGTTACAACGTGCAGATTATTGAAAGAATAACTGACACTCCCAAGCAAAACGAATGTATTCTTTTCAGTCTGATTCAGCTCTGTTCCCAAAATGAAGCCAGGCATTCCATAGTTATGAGGTGTTTCACCAGATTGAGCGCAAAATTCATTAGCTTGGATATCTCTATTTAATCTGATTGCACATTCGCGCTTGGGGATCCGCTTGAAGGTAGACCTATAAACTACTGTATGGTTCAACTTTTCATAATCGAAAGAAGTCAAAATTGGAACAGATTTGACTGCCTGCTGGTAATACGTGTTTGTGAGCAAACATATCGGCTTTATACCGTCTGCAAATGATAATGACTTAAAAACCGAGAAGATTATAAAAAACTTAGATTACCTATATTCACCGGTACATTGAGTTTTATTAAGGCTATATTACTTCTTTCGTCAGGGTGCTTAAAGACATTCTCAACTATATATTCCTCAAAGTCCAGGTTTTTTTGCATCACACCCACATTTCTGTAAAGTTAATATATTTTGTGAGTAGCTCAAACATTTTTATTTAACATGTTTAAACACTCACACTGAATAAGGTAAGTCTCTGGAAACTGTGACGACAAACCCTAGACACGAAAACAGATTATTATAAAACGATACTTTAGGTTGAAAAATAAAAACACATTAAAAACTTTATTGGGTAGACATGGTACTCACGGTCTGTGATAAGCGCGCCTTGTGCCTCAAAATTAGGTCCCCAAATTTTTGCCAGTAAGTTTGATGCAACGTTTTTTCCACCGCAGTCATTGTACAACATAATATTCTCCGAATAATTTGACTGAGTGGGTATTTGGTGTGACTCAGGCGAATCAAACTCGTGCTCGCTTATCGCTTTCTGTATCCAATCTACATAGCTAGTTACATCCACATTGACTCCTGGTCCATCGCAGCGTACACTGCCGTAGCTTACTATTCCGAGCTGCACTTCGCGAATGCCGTGTTCATAAAAGTTGAATTGATTTGACAGCGGGCCACCGGAATCGCCTCTGCAAGTATCGCCTCCGTTAATGTCACCAGCACATATCTGCTTTTCATTGACGTTGACTACCAGGTAATTATGGCATACTGATCGATTTAAGTGGTCAAGTGTAATACTTTGAAGAATTGAGCTTTCTTTGCCGTCTCTTCGCAATTCCCAGCCTACAGCTGTAAAGGTCACAGCATTCTCCACGGCGTTTTTCATTTCCTGCTTGGCCTTAACAACGCATATTGGATGAATTAAGGCTGTGAAGAAATTACAATAATATTTTCTGTTTAGCGACCACAACGTTCACTTACCATCGAATTGGACCGCATCCCTCAGTTTAAGAAGGCCAATATCATTGTGATACAAAATAGGAATGTTTAAGTTGTAACGAATCTTCTCGGGCTGGGATAGACCTCAGTCGTGCCAGAGATCCTTACAAGCAATTTGTAATTCACAGGGGGAACTTGTTTAAGATAGGAACTGTAGAGCGCGGATTTCGGATTAACGGTACTCCGGCTTTGGGCACACTGCGCACCCTGTGGCAGGCTTTGCGCCGTTAGCGAGAGGAGAGCGGAGCGGGAGGAGGTGCTCCCACGTGCCTGTGAGACACCGAGATTAGGTTTGGACACTAGATACGGGAATAGGGTGTGACTCCGACAGGGGCACGCCGACGTTCTCTGAGCTGACCAGGAATTGTCGTAGCCACGCCTGAGGGATCGGTAACTACTGGCAGGGATCGGGATATAAATCCAACAGGGGCACGCCGACGTTCTCTGGATCGACCAGGAATTGTCGTAGCCACGCCTGAGGGATCACTAACTACTGGTAGGGGGGTTGGGATAGGAATCCAACAGGGGCACGCCGACGTTCTCTGGGTTGACCAGGAATTGTCGTAGCCACGCCTGAGGGATCTCTAACTACTGGTAGGGATCGGAGAGGTTAGAGTTAGGGTTAGTTGTTATGAAGTCTACGAAATCAAGTACGCACTGGAATTAAATGTTCACAATATCTCACTTCACTTTATTTGATGCTCACCCTAACCTGTTTCCCTGCTGCTGCGCCGAGGTTTATTTGTTAGTTAAGCCGCGGTGGCTGTATGGCGCGTGGTTATGTGTTAAGCCGCGGTGGCTGTAGTGCGCGTCGCGAAACACGTGATCGGGGTTACCTGTTTGTGTGTGTGTGGTTAGGTTTCCCTTCTGCGGCGGACCGGGGGCAGAGACCGAGTTTGGAGCGCACGTCTGCTCGCTTCGGCTGTCCGGAAAGGAAGAGATCGAATTACCATACCGATCCTCTGACCAGGCTGTCAACGTGGCGATTTTTGACAGCCACGCGATCTGGCAGGGTTTGCGGTCTGGCAACATGTCAACCGATATCGATAGCGAAAATGGCAATGTTGGCCAGGACGCGAAATAAATGGCAATGTTGTTCAGGGTGCGAAATAAATGGCAATGTCGTTGATAACGCGCAATAAATGGCAACTTGGTTTAGCTTAATTTTGAATCTTATTTATGTAACGGTTTCTTAGAACTATAGTAACATAGGATTTCATTGTGTTTCTCTTACATGACTAATTAATTAAAACTAGGAAGAGATAACAAAGATAAAGCATAAAAAAAAATGTGCGACTCTTTGGGATGAGGCGTCACACCCCCTTCCTACTTCGGGGAGGGGTCAAAAAGAATCGAAACGAGGCCGTTTGTGCGGCTGGTGACCCGGTAGCTCCCCTCTGGGCGTCGAAGGCGGTACCGCTGACGGGACCTGGCTTGTAGTGCCCGGGTTTGGATGATGTCCGCGACGTTGGTGGGGATTCTCCCATCCGGCGTGTCAACTGTCCACCCCTCCGGGGGAAGTACCCGGATTTCGCCAGTGTCTGGTACCGAGGCAGCTGGGGCGCCTCCATCCGGCAGCCAGTCCAGGACCAGGCTCTCCACCTCTGGTGGGAGTTCAGCCATCAGGGCGTCCATCGCCTCGTCCGAAAATCCCAATTCCAGGATGTCGGCACTGGCTTCCGATGGAGGTCGACTTTGGGTAGGATGTGCGGTGGCACTCGCTGTCGGCTGCGGTTGAGGTTGCTGCGCACGCTTCCTCCTGCGGCTGCGTCGAAAAATGGCGACGCCGTCTGTGTCGGAGTCGCTCGACTGGGAGGACCAGGCCATGCACTTCCCACTAGCCGTATCCGACCATCCGGCATGGTTTGGCTGGCGGGTGACGACGTGTGCGGCATAGTGGTTCTCGGCACGCAGCATCCTCAGGGCGACTGGGATCCGATTGGAAGTGGCTTGTGCACCTCCCCAGGGAAAGGTGTCGCGTTCGTCCGGGTCGTCGAGGCCCAACGTGGAGCCGGCGGCTACGCGGGGATCATTCGTCGCTGACGTCAGGTCCAATGTTCTACCGGCTGAGCTATCCGGCCGCAGCACAGCGCTGAATGTGATGCTCGGTAGGGCCGTCGGGTCCAGGGCATCATCAGGAGCGGAGTAAACGCGCTCGGGCTGATGAGCCTGGCCGATGGTTGAGGGCCCAACGGGCGACGCAATGGTGGAGTCGGCCCGCGACGGAGTGGTCAGGTCCAAGGCGTCGTCATGAGCGGAGTGCGCGCGCTCGGGCTGACGAGCCTGGCCGGTGATTGGTTGCCCAGTAGGCGACGCAGGGCTTAGCCTGGTCCGCGAAGGGATGGTTAGGTCCAGGGCATCGCCAGGAGCGGAGTGGACGCGCTCGGGCTGACGAGCCTGGCCTGTGATTGGTTGCCCAGTAGGCGACGCAGGGCTTAGCCTGGTCCGCGAAGGGATGGTTAGGTCCAGGGCATCGCCAGGAGCGGAGTGGACGCGCTCGGGCTGACGAGCCTGGCCAGTGATTGGTTGCCCAGTAGGCGACGCAGCGCTGAGGCTGGTCTGAGCCGGGATCGGCGGGTCCAGGGCGTCGTCGACGTCACCTGCAATGGAATGCCCAGTGGGCGACGCAGCGCTGAGGCTGGTCTGTGATGGGGCCGTTAGGTCCAAGGCGCCGTCAGGAGCGGAGTTTGCGCGCTCGGGCTGACGAGCCTGACCGGGAGTAGAATGCCCAGTGGGCGACGCAGCGCTGAGGCTGGTCTGAGCCGGGATCGGCGGGTCCAGGGCGTCGTCGACGTCACCTGCAATGGAATGCCCAGTGGGCGACGCAGCGCTGAGGTTGGTCTGAGCCGGGATCGGCGGGTCCAGGGCGTCGTCGACGTCATCTGGATCTGGTCCTAACAGCGCTAGGTTAGGCTCCGGCGATGTTGGGGGCTCTACTATCGGATCCTCCGTTGGCCTAAAAGGCATCCGGATCCAGCACGAGGTATAATCGACCCGTAACAACTGCAACCAGTGGTCGTATCGGGTGACGCACCTCTCCGTGTGGGCGAAAAACTGGTGCGGAACACCTCCGTAGCCCGTCCCGGCATCGCTCGGCGTGTCGCGTCCCTCGCTATCTCCGTAGTCGTCATACCGCGGCCCGTCGTCGTCGTTGCTGTCATCCTGGACGTAGGCCTCCGGGGATGAAGCATAGCGAGGCCCATTGCAGTACCGAGGCGAACCGCCTCCGAAGTGGATTTCCTCGTCGCTCCATGGGTCGCGTGGCCCGCTGGCCCACTCGTCGTCGCTGACATCCTCAACATATGCCTCCGGGGGAGGGCCATAGCGTGGTGTGGCAGGACGGCGAGGGCAGGGAATTTCCTCATCGCGGTGAGGACTGGCGTCCGGAGCAGAGTGGTCTGCGTCCGACCCGTTGGGTGACCGGGCGAGAGGTGACCTCGTCGGTGCTGGCTGCGTCCCACGTCGCAGGCGCGGATCGCGGGGCTCGGGTGCCGAAGCCCGTGGTGGAGTCGCATCGCTGCCGCTGTCGTCGCATAAGTCGATAATCTCCTGGTTGTCCATGGTAGCTTCCTACTAAATATTTTAAAGTTAGGCCTTATCTAGCTTAGAATACGAATAGGTGTATGTATATATAAAGGCGCGCGAAAGACTCCTAATATCGGGCAGCAGCTAACAAATTTCCTAACAGTGAATTAAGTCTTAAAGCTAACAATAGTTTGGTTTATGCTTATAATCACCCCTCGTTGATACTTGGTGTCGTCGCTTCATCTTCCTCGGCTGGAACGGGTAGACACGGGCTTCGTGCGTCTTCGTGGTCATCATCTTCGGATTCGCTGATGCCTGTGGAGGAGGGAGAATGGAAAGCTTTTAAATCTGCGATATTGGCCAACCGCCCCTTTCGTTCGCCGGGGAGACGTAACCGAACGATATTGGGAGAGGTGAAGGCCACAACTTTATATGGTCCATCAAACTTCGGCGCTAACTTGGCCGCGAATCCTTCGGAAGCCTTAGAAAGGTGGTGTTGTCGCACCAAAACAAAGGATCCTAGGGCCGGACGCCATTCCCTGCGGCGGAGATTGTACTGGCGACCCTGATCTTTGCTTGCTCTCTGTATATTTCCTTGGACGATGCTGTAGATTTCCCGTAAGTGGTCGGCTCTCTGTGTGGGTGACTGCGGAACGGTTCCAGTTCCTGGGGTGACTTGATCGTACCAAGCTTTGGGTAACCGCGGTTCTCTGCCTTGTAGCAGGAATGCCGGGCTGTATCCCGTGGAGTCGGAGACGCTGGAATTCAATGCGAGAGTGATTTCGGGGATGAGAGTGTCCCATGTGTTCTGCTGATCGCCTAGGTACTGCGAGATCATCGTCTTGATTGTGCGGTTCGCCCTTTCGGTGGGGTTTTCGCGAGGACAGTAGGGTGCGGTATACTGGAGCTCTACTCCTATATCTGATAGAAAAGTTCGAAATACTTTGCTAGTAAATTGAGTGCCATTATCGCACACCAATTTCTTCGGCGCTCCGAAGTGACTTAGCACTCGTTCACGGAAGGCTCGAATTAGAGACGCCGAGGTTGCTTTGCGTAGCGGGATAAGTTCAATCCATTTAGTGAATGCATCGAAGAAAACAAGTAGCATGTTGTTTCCTTGCTTGGAACGGGGCAGCGGGCCTACGAAGTCTGCGCACAACACTGCAAATGGTTCCTCTACCTGTCTCGTGAGCATCATGCCGGCTTGCCTTCGTTGGTCTGCTTTAAACTTTTGACACAAGACACATTTTCGTACATATGCTCCGACGTCACGGAACATGCCAGGCCAGTAGTATTTCTGGGAGATACGGAGAATGGTCTTCCGTACCCCCAAGTGGCCTGCTGTGGGCGCGTCGTGGCATTCTTGTAAAATTCGTTGGCGATGCTCGCCCGGCACACATAACTTCCAAGGTATGTAGTCCTGATCGTCGGGACGATGTCCTAAGTGGCGATACAGTTCTCCGTTTTCGACGACGTAATCCGGAAACTTCTGTGGGTTATCCTTGATGTCCTGTAGTTTGCGTTGAATCCACTTACATCGCTGGTTGCCGGTCGTGATCCGCTGGAGCCTCTCTAACGGCTGTCGAGATAAAGCGTCTGCGACTACGTTGTATTTTCCTCGGCGGTATTGGACATCGTATTGATATTGTTGTAGCTCTAGCGCCCATCTGGCGATTCTTCCCGTGGGGTTCTCTATATGGTTCAGCCACTTAAGCGCTAAATGATCGGTGATTACATTAAAACAATAGCCTTCGAGATAACATCTGAGCTTGCGAATTCCCCAGACGATTGCCAAACATTCCTTTTCCATTGGGGAGTAGTTAAGCTCGGCCGCGTCTAGTTTACGGCTCACGTAGGCTATCACCCGTTCCTGTCCGTTGATGGTTTGCGTTAAAACACCGCCTAGTCCGTAATTACTAGCATCGGTTTGTAGAGTCATTTTCTCAGTAAAATCGGGGCACGCTAGGACGGGTGCGTCTGTCAAAAGTTCCTTGAGCCGATCGAAGGCCGAGTTCTGCTCCTCTCCCCAGGTCCACTTCTGGTTCTTTCTGAGTAAGTTGGTCATTGGTTGGACCACTGATGCAAAGTTGGGAACAAACCTCCGGTACCAGGAGGCCATTCCTAAACAACGTCGTAATTCTCGGATATTTTCCGGCGGTTTCAGCTTTCGCACAGCGGAGACTTTCTCTGGGTCGGTATGGATGCCTTGGTTGCTAATGACATGTCCTAAATACGTTAGTTTTTGCTGAAAGAAAGAGCATTTTTCTTGGTTGATACGCAAGTTGGCTCCTCTGAGCCGCTCAAAGACCCGACAAAGATTATTCATGTGCTCCTCTAAGGTAGCCCCGATGACAATTATGTCGTCTAGATAGGCGAAGGCGTGCGGCTCCATATCCGGGCCAATCACGCTGTCCAACGCACGCTGAAAAGTAGCGGGGGCGGAGTGCAAGCCGAAAGGCATGACTCGCCACTGATAAAGTCCTCTCCCCGGTACTGTGAAAGCGGTGCTTTCACGGCTGTCTGGCGCCATAGGTATCTGCCAATATCCATTGCGCAGATCCAATGTAGAGATGTACTTCGCGTTCCTGAGTCTCTCTAGAATATGATTGATTCTAGGCAGTGGGTATGCGTCAGGAATTGATCGGGCGTTAAGCTGACGGTAGTCAACGCACATGCGCCACTGTCCAGTCTTTTTCCGCACCAGCACCAAAGGAGCGCTGTGCGGGCTACGAGAAGGTTCTATACACCCTTGCTCGAGTAGGGC